GACTTTCCTACCGTACAAGAACTGTTTGAAGTTCTTTAAGTACACCACTACTGCCAATAACTCCCTGCGTGTGACGCAGTAGTTTCGCTCTGGTCTGGTTAACTTACGGCTGGCATATGCCAACACTTTCTCTTCTCCCTCTTGTATTTGGGACAACACCGCTCCGATACCGTCGCCACTTGCGTCAGTATCGAGGATGAAGTCTCCCTCTGGAATGGGGTAGGACAAAATGGGGGCTCTTTGAAGTCTACTCTTGAGGTCATCAAACGCACTTTGGCATGATTCGCTCCACTCAAACTCCCTTGACTTCTCTGTCAAGGCATGCAAAGGACTGGCTATCTCTGCAAAACCTTGAATGAACTTTCTGTAATAGGATGCAAGGCCAAGAAAGCTCCTTACATCCTTCACGCTCTTGGGAACAGGCCACTTGGCTACCGCCTCAACTTTCTTTGGATCCGTGGCCACGCCTTCGGATGACACTATGTGCCCTAAATAGGCCACTGACTCTTCAAACAAATGGCATTTGCTTGGCTTTAACTTCAGTCCTGCATTCCTCAATCTATTGAACACAAGCCTGAGCCTATCTATCATCTCTGTGACTGTTCTACCATAGACAATAATGTCATCCAGGTAGATCAACAGGATTTCCCATTGGAGTCCTGCCATCACCTTCTCCATTAGTCTTTCAAATGTAGCCGGGGCATTACAGAGCCCAAATGGCATACATTTCCATCTGTACAAACCATTTCTAACAACAAATGATGACTTCTGGCTGGCGTCGTCATCCAAGGCGACCTGCCAATATCCAGAGGCCAAATCAAGTGTTGAAAACCACTTGGCACCTCCTAACGCATCGAGAGTCTCGTCAATGCGAGGTACCGGATACGCGTCTTTGATGGTTACCGCGTTTAACTTTCTGTAGTCGATACAGAAACGCTTGGTACCATCTTTCTTGTTTACCAACACTACATTTGCTGCCCACGGACTATCCGAGGGTTCTATCACACCTCTTTTCTCCAGGTCAATGACCTGTCTCTGTATCTCTCTCTGGACACAGTCGGGGTGTCGTCTCGGTCTCTCTTTTATTGGTCTCGCTTCTCCAGTATCAATGTGATGCCTCACGGCATCAGTTGCACCAATATCCTGCTCACTGCTGGAGAAAACATCCTGAAACTCTATCAAGCACTCCTTAACTTGACCATGATAGTTGGTCTCTACATGGTTTCTACTCCTTGCATACAAGTCTTGCAAATATGGGGGCAAGCCCTCCTTTGCTTCTTCAGACTCATGTGCCTCACCTCTTATTGTCTCAGGGTCCACGGTGGAAATCAATCCCACAGTGGTCCCTTTTCGCGCCACTCTTTTCTCTTTTCCTGGGTTGAACAGCCGCAACGGAACAATTTGGTTCCCTGACTCCACTAGTGACCTGGCTAACACCAAGCCTTTCTGGGCTAAATCTCCGCCCCCCTCTAGCGGTTCCACTATGGCTGGGCCAGCCCACTCTTTTCCTCTGTGAGCAATAGTGCCAGGCACTACTGCCTCAGAACCAGATGGAATCACGGTTGCTTCAGCAATTACCACTCTCCCAACAAATGGCTCTCCAGCACTACTAGTGCATTTAATTCTCTCGCCATTTATTCTCCACTCTTTGGTGTGGAAATCCAAGTTACCGCCTGTGGGCAACAAGAAATCCATCCCCAGAATTCCGGGATACTTCATCTCTGTAAAAATCGCCCTGACTGGGTGCGTTGTTCGTCCAACTTGAACTTCGACCCAGGCGACTCCTAACACCGACAGGGAACTTCCATCCACCTGTTTCACTTTCACATTATCTGACTCTAAGACTGGTCTCTGTTCCTTGGGTATCTCATAATACACTGTACTACTAATTAATGTATCTGTGGCACCAGTGTCAACCAAAAATTGGCACTTGGTTTTTCTCACTACACCCTCTACAAACAAACCAAAGCGGGCATCACTCTTTGGGTTCGGTAACGTAATTACCTTTCCCTCCTCATACTTCCGCCGCTTCTCTCCTATGGCCCCCTTGCAATCTCTCCATCGTCTCTTTGCCCCTCTAGCACTTCCGAGGTGCCTACGGGCCCCTCGAGCAGCTGGCTCGACTTTTCCTGCCCCAGGCTCTCCCCCTGAGGGTCTGTTACAGTCTCTGGCAATGTGGCCGTGCTCTCCGCAATTGAAACACTTCCAGCCATCACGCTTTGGGCTACTCTTCTTTGGTTTCTTGCACTCTCGCGCAAAGTGACCTCGCTCCCCACAATTGAAGCATTTCCTAACACTTTGCTCACTCTTTTGTGACTTCTGGTCAGCAGGTTTCCCCACTAGGTCACTCTTTTCCTGGATTTGTTTCGTTAACTCTGTTAACAGTCCAGCCAAACTTTTCATTCCATTCTCCAATTCGTGGATCCTCTGTTCCACCCCGGTATCTAACACTCTAGCCAACCTCGGAGGCTTTCCATCGAGCATTCTCTGTTGCTCGACTTTTTCGAAATTCTCTGTTTCTATTGCAGCTCGAATGGCCTCATCTAAATTTTCAGGACGAGCCCTGTTTATGCCCTCCCGAGTTGACCGACTTTCGACCGCATCTAGAAAATGGTTCTTAGCCAACCGGTCACGTGACTCTTCCGGTATGTCAGGGTACGCTTTAACCGTCAACTCTTGTATGGCTTGGCCTAACTCTTGCAATGACTCTTTTGGGCCTTGTCGGCGATGCCGCAACTCGACAAGGTAATTTTCACTCTGGCGGCCTGAGCCAAATCTCTGTTCTAACAACTTCAACAGCCCACTGTAGGACTGTGTCTTTTCAGTGGGAACGTCACCCAACAATCTTAGGGCATTGCCTTGCAAACTAGCTACCAAATATTTAGCCGCTTGCTCTTCGCTCCACTGATTCACCAACCGGCAAGACTCGAAGTGCCTGAAATACTCTTTCCATAGCACCTTGCCATTGTATCTATCAGGAGTGATATTTGGCCGTCTACTAATTGGCCGCTCGACACTCCTCTCTTTCTCTGCCACTACTTTGGGCTCACTTGTCGGCGTTAAGGGCCCTGCTGAGGTCTTTAAACTACCTGCCAAACTGTTGGCACCTGTGCCCACTGAACTCGGGGCGAAACTCAGCAAATCTCTATTTACTTTTTCAGGAGAAACTGTTTCTCCCCTACTCGGGTTCTCTACAGTGCTATCTGTGCTCAACAGAAAGGACTGGAGCTCCTCTATTGCACTGCTCCCCGTTAAGATCTCTGGTCGGGTACTTCCTACACCACTACTCTTAAGGGGTGTACTTTCCCCAAACTTCACTCTTTTTCCCATCCTTGGTCCAAGTTCAACTTCAGGCGACCGTGCGGTCACCGAGGGACTCGCCCCTCCCTGGGAAAAATAACCAGAACTCTCTCTTGGCATCTGGAACTCGATTTCCGAATCGATCCGCACTAGCCCCTGTTCTTGGCTCTTTTTGTCTATACTTCCCACCGGGGAAGGTTCCTCATAATTGGCTCTCATGGCTTCTAATTTCTTAGCCATCAACTCTTTCTCCCATTGCAAAAATTGAGCATCTAATCTCAGCTTCTGCAGTTCACTCTCAATACTCGAAGTATTCTCTTGACTCATGTTTGTCTCTTTCTATGATTACTCTTCAACCACAGAAATCACTGTACTCAAAATCCTGCTTGATCTCTAGAACAAGACGCAATTTGTTTCTACTGGCCAACTCTTTAATCAGCACCAACTATCCCACTTCTGACACCATTTGTGGCGGAATCTCCCGAGGTCAATTTAAACCAGAGGTCAGGGAAGGCAATCACCGACTGAGGTGAAAGTTCCCCTAACCCCAAACTATGTTTTCTGCCTCGAACCTAGGGAAGTTTTCGAGCAGCCTCTAGGCCCAGGGATGCAAGCTCGTTTTGGTGGAAATCTACCGCCCAGTTGGATACTGATTACCAGGCCCTGTTACTCTAGTACAGAACAGAACAAACAGACGAAGAAACTGCAGAAATATTGGACACTGGGATACACAATTCTCTTTGTGGAAAGGAAATGATTGGTTTATTTAATCACGGACAATTCTGACTTGATTGGGAACTCTTTGATTTATAAGGTTATTATCGTTGGATTGTTATGATTATATAAGTTTGAGCGCCTTAGCTGATCAGTATACGACAAAACCCGTGTGACAATAAACTTGACCGAGTACAGTTATTGACTACCTGTGACTATTCCTCCCAGGCCTCTATGTCAACCTCTGGGTCGACCCTCTATGTTATCGCACGTCTCTGTGAACCCACGACAACAATCCTTATGCCTGTACTTAGTCACCCTACTCTGTAAGTCAAACACTCAACTGCAACAATGGTACAAAAATGCACTGAATTACACAATAAAGCAATTCGGTCCTACCAGGCTAACTGGGTCACACCACGGGGCTCTGCGCTCCGTACAATCGCTCAACCACGGTACGAGAAGTCAGGCCGAAACAGCGTCAACACCGGTACACTGCACCACACACGGCCTCGCCAAAGCAAACGCTAGCTTCGTCACGGACAATGGCAATTTCACTTGTACACTACTACTGAACCCGCTCCATACACAGAACTGAGGAACAACTTACGCAACTCACGCAACTGAACTCAACTGAACCAACTGAACTGATTCACGCCCGGCCGACCATGCGCTCAAGTACCACGGCAAGGGTAGCGGGGCCACGCCCAATCACGCCGTGATTGGCCGCCAACCCTTCACCTCTGCCCGGTAACACCAATCACGCATACGCGGATACAGGAAACACAGATCGCAAGTGCGGTCACGGCCTGCCTCGCCCCGCCCAGCGACAGCGAGCGCGCTCCGATTGGCGGCCACTCCCGCCAAAACCACGAGACATTGTCCGCTGACACGACCTGACTTCCTTGCCAAGAAATTACAAGTAAACACTACCAAATAAGGGGAATTAGACTGGTGTCGGCCCACCCCATCACGCCACAATATCTCAGTTTTTTCTCCCTAAGTTTTTCATAGTTTTCATATTTTTATACACTCTTCATTTCACTGGTCATCAAATTTGAAAATCCCAGGAGACTGCAGAACAATTCCCAAGATATCAGCAGTTTTAATATGTATCAAAATAGCAACAGCTATTTTTATGTGAATGGGGCTCACACTGTGCTTCAAATAACATTTGCACATGCACAATCCATATTTTTGTGTCTTCTCAATACACAAAAAATCACAAGGCTCAGTGAAATGTTCGCAAGACCTGGACTAAGTCCCAAGATCTTGGGAAAATTCCCAAGGAGGGGTCACACTGCTTCACTCTGTAGCATTACTTTTCAGCAATGTTCTCCATTGTCATCAACAGAGCTGTTTACAGTCTCAAGAATAAAAAAGGACCAGGATATATACTCCTCAGAAATCTTTCCTGATCCTGAACTTTGCCACGGGTCTCTGAGGGGTTGTGTCAGTCCGATTGGCAGCGGATTCGTCGGATTCATCCGCTGCTCTCGCCAGCTCCTCGTCTATCCTCTTGTGTCGGAGCATGTCATTGAAGATCTTGTCCATCCTTGCGACCCGCTTCTTACTGCTTCCGAGGGCTTGGCCACTTCCTGAGATGTGGAGAAGATAAACGAAACATGAGGAGGTTATTGCATGTACGGCTTACCGGACAAATCATACACTTAACTGTTTCAAAATCCTTTTCTACATGCATCCATACTCAACTTGGTCTGTGGTTAATGGGGGCACATTCAAATCAAATACATTTTGTATTTTTAAGTATTTTTGTTAGGAATTGAATTTCTTAACAAACATGAAGAAAAGAAAGACCATGGCAATGTCATAACCTGAAAATAGTAGGCCTATGCACCACAGGCAATTTTAAATGAGACTTAAAGGTTTGCATGGTGGATATGAACAAAGAATGGAAAGTTTGTGGTAACACCACATGAATAATATCTTAGCAAAATAGGTTACCAGTCAAATTCTCATGTGATGTTTACTGATTCCGACCAGTTCTCTGCTGAATTTCTTTTATAGAACAAAGTTTTCGGAGTGATATGTCTGGCCTAGCATTTCCATAAAATTTGGTAACACATTTTTTTCAGAGTGGATGGGGAAGATACACGTTCGTACCTGGCGTTCTTCGGGGAGCCATGTTGGTGACAGATGGTGTATCAATGTCAAAATCAAACTCTGTAGGTTCCTCTTCCCTAAAATAAATTGAAAGATAAAAAGTACAAGTGCATTTAGGGAAAAAAAGACATCCAAAATTATAAAACTAGTAATATGTCTAATAACCCAGATATATGAAACAATATAGCTTTGTTTTCATTTCAAATACACATCTTTATTATCAAAATCAAACCCTGTAGGTTCATCTGCCCTAAAAAAAATTGAAAGACAAAAAAATGGTTTTAAAAAACCTACATTTAACAAAACAAGACATCCAGAATAAAACACGAGGAATATATAGACACAGATATCAAAACTATATACATGTAATAACTTTGTTTTTCTATCATATATACATCTTTAAAGATCACTTTAAAGATCATCTAAAAATCCTTCAAGTTTCAAAAGGCCAACAAATGTTGTGCAGTTTGGGTTTTTTTTGTTGGATTTGTGTCGTTTTGTTTTGTTTTCTTTGTTTTAAAACAAATCCCACATGTTGCCAGTTCATATACTCTCTTCTTGTATTTAGTGGGTGTTGCACTCCGCATTGTATCATTGTATAGCCAATTCTGATGGAGAACTTCCCCTGAATCACAGAGAGAGAAAAAAAAACGAAACTCACTGTTTCTCTTCTTCCACATCTGGTTTCTCCGTCTCGTTCTCTGTCTTCTGCGCCTCCTCTTTCTTCTCGTCAACTTCTTCCGGAGGCGGGCGTCTTCCCGGACACTTCCACTGGAGCTCCAACACCCCTTCCTTGTCCAGTTTCTGGTACAGGTCTATGATTACATTGACATCCGGCATCCAAACACCGGACCTTTTCTTGTCCTTTGTTTCGTCGTTTTCATCGTCTGTTCCAAGAATGTTGAAATCGTCACTCAATTCCTCTGTAGCCTTCACTGGCTCTTTTTCAATTGGATCTGGAGATGTTGACGATGATTTCACATCGGAGACTTTGTCATCATTTTTGTCGTCGACAATTTCTTTTTCTTGATCAACTTCAACTTTATCTTTGGCCATTTCCTCTTGTACTTTGTCTTCCCCTTTCACACTTTTCTGCTCTCCACCGTCATCCTTTTGAGAACTTTCTTCCACTTTTGGATTTTCCTCTTTGATAGGAGCAGGTGCTGGTTCTGTTTCCATGGTAACCTCGGCAGTAACTTTAGATGAATCTTCCATCTGAGTTTCTTCAATTTCCATCTTGACTTCTGGTTCTACTGGTTCTTCCTTCTTGGCCTCGTCCGACGTTGTTTCCTCTTTAATTTCTTTCTCAGGTTCAGGTTTTTCTGGGACCACTTCCTCCATTTTGGAAACTTCCTCTGCTGGCTTTTCCTCAGTTTCCATCATTTTGACAAAATACTGGTGCAGTCTGTAGACCTGGGGAAGAAAACATTCTGAAGGTTATCGTATAGTTTAGGACACAACTATGATTTCAAAGTTCTGTTCATTAATCAAACCCAGTCCTCTTTCCACAAAATTAAATTAGATGATGTCTTATTCTTAGGGGAACTATTCAAAACACATAAATTGACTCTTAGTCTTGTATAAACACATAAATTAGACACATAAATTGACACTTGTATAAGTCCTAAAACACAATGTGTCTTTTGAATCATTCTCTTATTTTATATTGAACTGGGTCGTAAACTACACGATTACCGTTCTTAAGTTAACCTAAAATAATTGCCGTGGCAAAGGGTTTGATTTGGGTATTTTGAATGTTGATCAATATATTACTAAATTACTGATTATTAAAGGCCTATGATGAGTTTATGACAAATTGCCTTTGATAATAAATTAAATTGTGCTTGCGTTGTTATTATATATTTATACATATTTGATTGTTTATCATATTCTTTGTTATTGTATTTGGAAACCAATTCGTCCCATCTGTGAAAAAAAATATCGTCCGAATCAAACAGCACCGTTTGTCATGTTTGTTACTGTCCGGAAACTGAACATTCTGATTAACGGAGGCTTTTCTCTTGTCTATTTAACGAAATACACCACTAGTCACATCAAATATAATTTAAAAACTTACCAATTGTAGATATTTTACAGATAATATAAATTTGTGCAGGTTTTCACTCAAAAAATTGTGGTGAAATCTGTTACTTTCTTGTCGTTCATGGAAGCCGCCATCTTGATAATAAGCGTCGTGGAGTCGAGAATCCCAACAAACGCACGCTAAATGAAGAGCGTTGATTGGTTGATTTTTATGCCAATTTGCAAAGTGGTAAATTTGACTGCAACTTTGGCACCGGCAGCGCAGCAGCAGGTACGACAATTTTCCGTCTTCAAAGTATTATTAAAGATGTAAATCTTGCGAGTTTATGTATTCAGCTCAAGTGATACATAATTCACATTAACATTCGATCTGTTGTACAGATATTTCTCTTAAAATACACGGATCCAAACAGTTCAAACCAGGACAGAAAAATGTAAACAAAGTCAATCATGTCTGCATGTCAATGATTGAATAACTTGCTTTGCGTTACCTTTCTTCTACTTTTTTTTCTAGACCTAGACTAGAACTTGGCACACGGGTGCCTTCTAAAGTTCTGGTTCTCTAGAACGAAAGTATATGTACCACTGCCTGCACTGCCTATTCATAAAACACGCTCGTATGGGCTCCATTTTTTCCTCGAATTTCTTTGATATGACAACCCTACATGATTTCCACTGGAACTTCTTGGGTACATTGTGATTGTACGTACAGAACAATATAGTGCTTGTTAAATTTCAGACTGAAGTGGAATGTATATGACAGAGATTTCAAATGCGTCCAAAGTCCAGAGATTATGAACGGAACGTGGCTAGGCTATATAATATGTAGTTCTCTAGGAGTAATATGTAGCTACTCCTAGAACTATGAGGCTCCGCGTCACGCGGAGCCTCATAGTTCTAGGAGTAATATGTAGCCACGTTTACGGGTCTAGCTCCCCTGTGGTGACTTGGTCTAAAATATAAAAAAAATGCTATCCTTTTTCTTCACACCGTGACCATGTGCTGTAAATTGGAAATCAATCAGAACACCCAAGACTGTGAGAGTAAGAGTGACCATCATTAATGAAGTTAATTGAGGCATATCCCACTTTTTTTCTTAGAATGTAAGATTAAACGTTGTTTCAAATATGATTTAATAGTTTTCTTTGTTTTTTGTTTTGACAAAAAGGTGTCTAATACAAGTATGAGTAACGACAGCACTGCCACCAGGATAAAAGTGGCTATCCGCCTGCGCCCCGCCCTCAAAAGAGATGACAAAGGAAAGAAGCATTGCGTCCGAGGCCTGGACTCGACATCCTTGGAAATATGGAACTGGAGGGACACGCGCCAGACCATCAAGTACAACTTCGACGTCTTTCTGGATGCTGCGTCACGGCAGCAAGACGTCTACGAGAAATGCGTGAAACCGCTGATGGGTAAAACGTTGAGTGGGCAGAACGCGAGCATTTTTGCTTACGGACCGACCGGTGCTGGTAAGTCTTAACACTTAAGTCTTAAATCTAAAGAACAAAAACGTCTTGATAGCAACTCACATCGACCCAAATGGCATTTTGTTACAGACAAAATACATTGTGTTGTTTTTCCCCAAATGCGTTCCCCGAATATATCATCCAGACTGTTTTGTCACTTTATATTTACTACAGAAGCCACTTACCCGTCTTGGTGAAAAAGCAGGATATGTCGACTTATCCTGTAAAAATCCTGCAGTCATTTCGGACAAACTTTTTCCAAATTTCCCCTGAAAACTACAAGACAACTAGACAGTATATGCAAGTTCCTTTCTCATGTATTTATCATGTTGGGTTTGATTTCTCTCAGGTAAAACCCACACGATGCTGGGAACCTCCGAACGACCTGGTATTATTCCCCGAGCAGTCAACGACATTTTCCGCATGATCGACAAGCAGAAGAGGGACCCCATCAACGCCGATTGGACTTACAGCCTAAGCTTCTCCTACCTCGAAATCTACCAGGAAAAGGTTTGACATTTGGCACCTCATAGAGCTAATGACCACAAAATTTGCTCTCCACAAAAATACTTACTCAGCAAAAAAATGTTCCCAGCCAAAATGTTATCTGATCACAGTGATTAGTGACTGGTTCTCTGTAATATTTTGGCTTAGCACAATTTGCTAAGAAGCTACCTGTATATAAATTATGAAATCGGGCCCTCCAGGCCCTTTAAGATTAACAAATGGAAATATTAAAATACAAAATAATCCATTGAAGCTGTATATGAAAAAGGTAATTCTCAGGGAATGCAAAGACTGACTTCATAAACAAAATTAAACAAGATTGTCAAGATCTCTTTTCCGTTGACAGGTGTATGACCTTCTGGAGGTTAAAGGTCAAGATCTGCCAATCAGAGAGGATCGTGATCGGACCATCTTCATCCCAAACCTTGCAGAGAGGGTCATTTCTTGCTTGGAGGACTTCCATGAATTGTTTGTGCCCGCCAGCAAGAATAGGTTAGCGACTCCACCTGCAAACCCCAGCCCTGACCTTACCCTTACCCCACACACGACCTCACCCCACCCCCATCCTCACCCTCCCAACCCCAACCTTACCCCAACCCCTGTCCACCCTATCCCAACCCAACCCACCCCATACCAACCCCTTACCCAAGCCTACCCTACCCCCATCCCTAGCCCCATATCTGAACCACACAAAAGATTAAACATTGTGCTACCGCAAAAAGGCTGAGCACCCCACATTTCTCAACTTCTGAGTGTGGTTTGAGTCCCACCCAAGTCAGCTTGTGAATTCATTTCTAGTTTAAGCCTCTGTGAAAGCACAGAGTCCATAGTACTCATGAGAATTATGTCAATGAAGGGTAAAGCCCAATATTTTTTTTTTAAACCCTTCACTGATTCTCCACCATGCAAACTTTCTGGTGTTATTAGCCCTGTTTTTAGAAAAACTCTGGTGACATTTTTCTATTGTAGGACTACAGCAGCCACAAAGCTAAACAGTAGATCCAGCAGAAGCCATTCTATTCTACTGCTCAAGGTTTGTCAACAATTATATAATATTTATCCCTCTCTAACTTTTTTTTCACCCCAACCATACTACCACTCACCCTCATTGTTCCTTCCTTTTAGTTGATCACTGCAGAAACACTAGTTATCAAAACTTGGGACAAGGTTTTTTTGGGAGCATCCAAATTGAAAACAACAATTCAAGGCAAAAATCTTGCAATAAAAATTGACCCAAACATATTTTGATAAGGTAGGGGGCTCACAAAAAAAACTGGTATTGCCAGATCTTTCAAAATCCTGAAAGGTTTTGGAGAATTTGTTAAGATAAAGTAAAATAGAGCCAAGCCACTATTTCTTTTACATGGGGCTTGATCGTTTCTCCTTGAAACTTGGTAGGTACAAAGAGTGCGCCATTGGTTTCCTGCACAGCGGAGGATTTGTAGGATTCAGGAAGGTTCCTAGCAAAGATGCTATAAAGCAAGTTTAGATTTCAAAGTTTCGACCTTTGAAAAAAAAATCTAAGACAAGACACAAATGCGTGTGCATGTTTTTCATGTACAAAGATATCAGGGATAATATTGGCAACTCCAGCATTACCAAAGGAAGTGCAGTGTCTGTGACGGGGCCAATTAACCATGATATCTAATTAATGATTCAGAGAACCATTACTAGATGATAGATGTAAAAGATTTAGAAAACTACAATTTCAGGTTTATTCACCGAGCTCCAAGCTCTGTCACGAATATTACATAACGTTGGAAGTGCCCTTATCCCACTAACTATACTTACACTGATATTTTCTCAAAAGATATTGAGATTTTTTTTTACCAACGATGATTATTTCACAACCTTGTATCCAGGTGGTGAGGAAACAGCAACTGCCCCCGTACAAGAAACAAATTGGGAAAGTCTACCTGATTGATTTGGCTGGTAGCGAGAACAACAAGCGAACCGGTAACCAGGGCATCAGGTAAAGATATCCTCATCGCTATGGCAACCTATATCATGGGAGGTGGGGGCATTCTAGAATGTTTTCAATTCTTTAACTATTCAATTGCCAAAAAATCAAACCTGATTTCCATTCCAATTTAGATTAGGGATGATTTGATTCAAATGGTTCAATTTTTAAACATTCATGTTTCAAGGCAAACATAATTGCAGCTTTGTAATACCTTTTAATTTTTGTGAACAACTGCCCCTGGGAAACAAGGACTTAGTTAAAATAGTTTCAGCAAATACAAAATTGTACTGAAGTATTTTATACCAACTTTTTTTTTTAACTTTGGAGTGTTTCATGTTACAATACTCAACAAAATAAAAATTGTTTGAACGTTCAGTGAGTATTTAAATATTTATGCAAATTATTTCCTTACCTGTTTATATATGCAGTCTTGCAAAACAAAAATCAACTGAATATAAAATTGTGCATCTCAATGTTTTTGTAAAATCTAGATCAACGATTTTTCATTTTATTGTGTGTGTTTAGACTGAAGGAGAGTGGAGCTATCAACACATCACTGTTTGTTTTTGGTCAAGTTGTAGATGCACTCAACCAGGGACTGGTATGTTTTACTTGAAACTTGTCATGTAACATGGCTTGCCAGGGCTTTAGGTGACCTTTGACCCAAGAATGACCTTTAACCCAAAAATAATCTCAACCCAAGAACAACCTTCAACCAAACATCTAGGAACCTCTTTGACCTGCATTCTCCAAAATTTCCTTGGAGGCAGAGCTCAGGATGACTTAATAAGCTTGGTATGACCATTGACCCAACATCCAGTCATCCAGGCACCTGTGTTTTGTTTTTCCAAGGGTCGTATTCCATACAGGGACAGCAAACTGACCCGCCTCCTGCAAGACTCCCTCGGAGGCTCCGCCCATGCCTGCATGATCACCAACATCGCCCCCGAGGAAAGCAACTACATGGAGACTTACACAGCACTCAACTTTGCCTCCAAGTCCAGACACATCGTCAACAAGCCTTTCACCAATGAGACGATAGGTGAGGGGTGGGGCTACACTAAAGACCTTGAGAGGGGGGGGGGGTTCCCAAACCTCACAATGCCCATAGTCTTTGGCAGTGTCTGAATTAAGTGGGTATGTATACTGCTGAAACTTACACATGCGCCTATATGGAAGTGGCTGCAGCCACCTGTGTTATTTCAAGCCGTTGACAAGTAATTCGGACGCTGCATTATATCACTTTGCTTTCTGACACTCACTATTACACTTGCTTTCTGCCTTTCAGAGAAGCCGAGCGTTCAACACCCTTCTAAGCGTCCAAGCAGCAGTAATGATGGACAGAACGGCACATCAAGCCCGCCACCTAAGAAGGCAAAGAGAGAGTCCAATCAAGACAAAGTAGCAGCAGGAACCAAGTCTGCCAGGCAAATGGCCAAACCGCAGGAAAATGCACCATTCCTGAGGTGAAAAAAATAGACAAATAAGCATCAACAACTTCTACAGGATTACTCCGAAACATAAACATCATATGCAGTCTACTCTCGTTAATCCAACTGTTTTAATACAAATTCTGGTTAAAGTGAACATATAAGTCTCGGTCCTGACTGTGCGTTTATGTGCGCAATGAATGGGACGGACGCTCCTCTTAATATAAAATTCTGATATAACAAACATTTTGGCTAGGCCTGGCTGGGTTTGTATTAACAGAAGTCAACACACAAAGGCATACTGAAAAGCTCACTATTACATAAGATCAGGCTAAACTTCGGATCTATGACTGGAGTGGGAATAGAACCTGTGACCCCTCAAACACTTTCCTAGTCTACCAACTAGCAATTTCAAAGGAGTTTTTTTAATGTTGCACCAACATATTCCTCAATACCCATCAGAATGATAAACTGCTTGGCATGTCAAAATGGAGACCCGGGAATGCTCTTTCTAATGTCCTTAAGACTCATTTCGTGGGATCCTTAGTCACATATTGATATTATTCTCTATTCTTCCATATCCATCAGAATGATAAACTGAGTGGTATATCAAAATGGAGACCAGAGAATGTTCTTTCTAATGTCCTTAAGACTCATTTTGTGGTATCCTTAGTCACATATTGATATTATTCTCTATCCCTCCATATTCATCAGAATGTTAAACTGAGTGGTTTATCAAAATAGAGACCAGAGAATGTTCTTTCTAATGTCCTTAAGACTCATTTTGTGGTATCCTTAGTCACATATTGATATTATTCTCTATCCCTCCGTATTCATCAGAATGTTAAACCGAGTGGTTTATCAAAATGGAGACCTGAGAATGCTCTTTCTAATGTCCTTAAGACTCATTTCGTGGGAGCCTTAGTCACATATTGATATTATTCTCTATTCCTCCATATCCATCAGAATGATAAACCGAGTGGTTTATCAAAATGGAGACCCGAGAATGCTCTTTCTAATGTCCTCAAGACTCATTTCGTGGGATCCTTAGTCGCATATTGATATTTTTCTCTATTCCTCCATATCCATCAGAATGATAAACTGAGTGGTTTATCAAAATGGAGACCCGAGAATGCTCTTTCTAATGTCCTTAACACTCATTTCGTGGGATCCTTAGTCCCATATTGATAGTATTCTCTATTCCTCCATAGTCGTCAGAATGATAAAACTGAGTGGTATATCAAAATGGAGACCCAAGAATGCTCTTTCTAATGTCCTTAAGACTCATTTCGTGGGATCCTTAGTCACATATTGATATTATTCTCTATTCCTCCATATCCATCAGAATGATAAACTGAGTGGTACATCAAAATGGAGAAAACGAGAATGCTCTTTCTAATGATTAGAAAAATGTCCTTAAGACTCATTTCATGGGATCCTTAGTCATATTATTGATATTATTCTCTTACCTCCAGCCCATTGTTGAGACGGCAGGCCAACTTTGAAGAGAGTGTGAAACAGAGACTACAATCACTTGAGACAAACATCATGACGCGTCTGAACCCCTCGGCCAATCACGGCCAAGCGCACCAGTCACATGACCAACAGAACCGTCAGATACTGCAGCAACTTAAAGAGAGTAGCAAACAGCTCTCTGAGGTAACAAGAAACTTCATTTTTAATATACATCAACAATTTTTTTCTCAATTTTTTTTTTTTTTAACAAAAGGTGTGCAGTCCCATGCACTTTGGAGATTTGATATCTTGTAAGATACTTTTGGACATCTGTAGAAGTGTGCAAACCAACACATTTTTAGAAATCTGAAACTGTAACCGAAATAAACCACTTGCTTCTTGTGTTTCGTTCAATACATTTATGGAGATTCAAATTTCTCAGCAAATATTTGCTGAATGAAATATCCCAAACTCTGGCGTTCCAAACATTTTTCGAGGCCTGAGTTATATTACATGTATACTATGTATTTTTCTCACCCCATAATCTCCAAAAAGCAAATAAAAAAGGTAGACAACAATTCATTTGTTAATTTTATTACAGTTACAAAAGCAGAACAGCAAGTTTCACCAGGCGCTAGCAAACAGCAGAAAGAACAAGAAGGATCTACCTCTGCTGAAGAGACCATCAGATTCTGGTACATGTACCAAGAATACAGATCGGGTGGTGAATAATCACTCTGGACGTCCTGTTGCCATACCTAAAGCAGTTGTCAAACCCTTAACAGGTATGCAATTAACTAGTCCCAAAGTTTGTGACACAACCCTCCAGTGAGGTTTTTGAGTACACGCACATTTTAATGTTCTCAGGGGCTTTTTGCAGTCAAGCTTGGCATGAGACAACTACAAAAGCCTCCCAAACAGTGGAAAACGTGTTAGTTTTCTGCATAATTATATCTCTTTAAAAAAGGATGCGTTCTTCTTAGCAGAAAGAACTTTGTTCAGAACTTCTTAGCAGATAGAACTTGGTTCAGATTCGAACCAGCCAGCCGTTGACAGTTGGTTGACAATCGCGTTACAAAATCTCATCTGAGTAGTTTCATTCAATATTAATAATACTCTTTACTCTCATGTCGATATCACAGCGTCATCACAACCAAATATTGTCCCGCCATCTGCACCCAAAGCAACCACAATAAAAGCATGCGTGCCAGACGTGCAGTTCATGAAGATCAAGACATGCAGTGACAGCAAAGAGACAAATCTGAAAGAGAACGCCTGCAAACTCCAGCCCAACCCGGAGCTACAAGCCAAACACAGTAAGTCTGGGAACTGTTTTTTGGGTCTTAACAAACACTACCTCCAATTTAAGCATAAACTCTGGCTCCAGTAAGTCAGTGACTCAGTCAGTCAGCAGACAGTGGCCAAAAAGAACCCTCACTCAAAAAAGGGAATATTCCTGAATCGTTTAAAATACTCCACTGCAACTTTCCAACAGCTTGGTAGATTTTGACTGATCAGGAAGGGTTCGGGCTTACCTTATCTCCCAGATTCTACAAAACCATCAGGAGGTTTTGGAGGGTTTTTAGCATTGAGGAAGTAAAGCCCAGCCACTATTACTTTACACAGGGCTTGATGCCCCTTCAAACTTGGTAGGTACAAAGAGTGTGCCATTGGGTTCATACACAGCGGAGGATTTTAGCCACTGTTAATCAACGCGGGGATAAAAACCTCTTGAAACGTGGTAGGTACAGAGAGTCTGCCATTGCTTTCTTACACAGTGGAGGATTTGGGAGGATTCGGGATGGTTCCTCACAAAAATACTAATAGAGTGAAGGTAAAGTGATTCAATTTGAATTGTTTTTTGACAGCTGCGGAGATAATACGCCTGCTGAACACAGGATCCGTGAAGCAACTGAAGTCTCTACAGAGCGTCGGGGAGAAACGTGCTCAACTCATCCACAGCTGGCGAGAGGTCTTTGGGCAATTCACAAGCGTAAGTAGGGTCTACTAGATAATAATGGTCAACAGGGTTCTAATTGAAGAAAATACTGCTCAAGAAAGTTTTGAGCTAAGCGAAAATATAGATTTGCCCCTTTTCATAGAGCTGGTCAGCAAAGACGTTTTTAAGCATGGAATATATTTGCTTAGCAAAAATTGATAACCATCTTAAAGGTAGGGGTGGGGGAGTGTAGCCTTTGTGGTCAGGGTTCGTGACTCATGATCCGAGGATCCAGCCACTAGTTCAAATCCAGCTGCCGGCCATATGTTGTGTCCTTGGGCAAGCCACTTCATCCCCACTTGTCTCTTTCCACCCATGAGTATAAATGGTACAAGCATTAAGCCGGGGGGTGAAACTGCAACAGACTGGCATCCCCTTCAGGGGGAATAGAAATATTCTTAGTTGTTTCATGCCAAGGAAACTTATGATAAATGCCGGCCTGATGGGCCATATTGGCTTGTGACAAACTTCATTTGTTACTTAAAGGTAGAGAGATTGCAATATAATTTGAAGTGTACCTTTTTTTTCTTCAAATAATACTTAAAATATTCTGATCATGGAAAATTTATCTTATCATAAAAATATATGTTTTGTTCTTGCTATGCAGATTGACGACCTTAGGAATGTAAATGGTCTTCCTCCAAAGACAGTGGACGCCATCATTAGAAACAACCTCCTTTGCCACGTAATGGCGAAAGTTTGACATGGAGTTCTAACGGGAGTAAGAGTCTGCAGGCTATTTCAATCTATGCAAGACTTGAAATGTTTAAACTCAGCAAAATAAACAAAACAAAACAAAAACAAGTATTCAAAAACTTGGTGAGATACCAGTCCTGAACTTATTTTTTTAACTCAGGAAAATAAACAAAACAAAACAAAAATAAAGAATTAAAAATCTTGGTGAGATACCAGTCCAAAATTTATTTTTTTTTTACTCGGGAAAATAAACAAAACAAAACAAAAATAAAGAATTAAAAAACGTGGTGAGATACCAGTCCCAAACTTATATTTTAAACTCAGCAAAATAAACAAAAAACAAAGTATTATAAAACTTGGTGAGGTACCAGTCCCAAACTTATTTTTTATTGAGTGACATTGTTTTTTAACCTGATATAAAATTAAAATTTGTTGTAAATTGGAATATTACATTTTCCATTTTATATAATTATGCAAACTGATAAATGTTGGTGTTAAAAACTTATCGATTTTTGTTGTATACATGTACATTGTAACTCTCCTTTTATTGTATGATGATTGTATGGGTTCTTAAGTTAGCTTTTCTTGTCTGCATGTGTAAGTAAGAGTGTATCTTGTCAGAAGGCCATTTTTTTGGAGTAAATGAGGGTTCTGTTATGACACCGTTAGTTGGGAGTATAATTTTCCTGTTGGGAAAAACGGGCCAAATTTAGTAACTGTATGTAATTGTGAAGTATAAAACATGTAAACTTCAATTATATGTTTATATCACCAAAATGGAATTGGTACAGCGTTGTACTTTGCCAAAAAAAAATGTCCTATTTGCAGGCAAACCAATGCAAGGTGTAATATGCATGTGATAAGACTAAGACTTTCCTCACACAAAATCGGTTTCGTCAATGAAATAGTAGTCTCGTAAATTTGTGATAATCTAGTAATCGTGGTCGGTATTAAGACTTATCTGCTTTAGACATCAGCTGACTTGACGTTGGTTTTGTTCTGGAACACAAATGTGATCAGACTTCCCGCTGGGAGTAAATGCCCGTCCTACAGAAGCAAAAAAAAACCAACTTTTTTTCATGTTATCTTGAACTAAAATGAACACTGTAGAATCATTTAAATAAGACATTTCTGTCAACAACTAATGTTCATGTTGTGCTAAAAATGTTTTTGAAGTTCTTGCTACTATGAAACATGTTTTTTGTTCAACAAAATCTCAAAATATAAGAGGATTTCATTTACGTTATGATACTTAAGTCAATATGATAGTAATTTTCAATAAAAAAAAATGTCCAAAAAGGAATTTGGTGAACATTTCTATTTATGCTTTCTTACCTCAAAAACTGAGCTTAACGGTCCTGGGAAATGTTTCCACTCCATGAGTTGGTTCATTGACAGATTCTGCATGAGGCAAAATAAGTGTGAAGTTAAATTTATTGGTCTTTAAACCTCAAAAGATACATGTTCATAGTTGTACAATAAATGTTCAATTTTTTTTTTACACAACCACAAAAAAATTGTTGTTTCCGTGTTGTTAGCCTTTGATAGTGAGCTTTGATTATTTCATATTCATTCTAAATACAAGTCGGTATATCTGCTGAAAAGGTCCTTGTATTTCCTCCTCTAAAGTTATGAAAGAAACCTATTTTTAATTGAAAATAGCTCATACTACCGTCTGCACTCTATTTGGCATTTGGAGAAAAAAATTGGCTAGATTTTGAGATATATGCTACTACTACTAGTAAGCAGCAACTTCCTTGGAATGAGGAATAGAACACTCCAAATAACAAAATGGACTAATATTCTGTTACAATTATCTAATTTATCTCATGTTTGAAAAGTAACAGTTCAATTTGACATATGGGAAGATATGGCATGAAGACACAAACTTTAATATTTGACCCAATCCAAGTCATATGCAATGGAAATTAAGAGGAACTTTCGTCATTTTCACCCACGTGTCCATATTTATCAAGATGTTAATTGCTGAGTGATATATCAAAATGAAGAGCCGCATGTGTTCCTTTACTTTAAAATCCAAACAAACTGTCTTCAAGTATCGTTTAGCGGGATCCAGTCACAGACATGAGATATCGAGGCATTGTTAAGACCCTTTCGTACCTTCAAGTCTTTTTTTTTCTTGGCTCCTATTTGGCATGCCCTGCTAGGAGCAGTCCGTGGGGCTTCGGTGACTGTTTCCCCCTTCAGACATTTACAGTCCATCATGTCGTGGGTGATGCACGCTGTGCTCTCATGTAGGGTAAACAAATCCTGCAAAAATATCCAAGTGGTAACCCAGAGGTAACCAAATGGTAACCCAAGGGTAACCAAAGGGTAAACCAAAGGGTAACCAAAAGGTAACCAAAAGGAAACCAAATGGTAACCAAATGGTGACATAATTTTGAAAAAAATGTACATGTACATCACATTAGATTTTGGCTGGTGACCTGTTTTTGCTATTAGGCCACACACAAAAAAAGTCGGTCTCTGGTTAGACTGAAGTTCAATAATTGATGCGGCGACGCGTTTTTTTTTTTTTTTTTTGGCTTTTTTTTTTTCAAGCTTGTATTGTACAGACAAGGTGGGTACTATTTTGCTTTTTTGTGTCCTCATTATACATTGGTGTCCTCCATAATTTGCCTTGGTGCCCTTTATCATTTGCCTTGGTGCAATTTCCCCATTCCTTGGTGCTCCTTGGTACAAAAATTTGAGGAGGCGCGGCAATAGAGGGCGCTGTTGTAGCTTCCGTGTTAATTTGAAGAAAAAACAAATGTTGACTAAAATCGACGCACGCGCTGACCAGAGACCGAGTATATTTTTTTTTTTGGCCTTAAGCAAATATTTTTTGTGCTTAGTGTAAATTCTGCTTACCCTGAGATCTTCCAGTGAGAATTTGACATGGCCGTGGCTCTTTGCATCCACGACAGCTCCGCTTAGACCCTGCTTGCTGATTTGTCTTTGATACACCTTCTCTTCAATTGTACCCTTCCAATAAAAAAGTAAATTCGGGTAAGTGAAAGTACATTTGAGGCCATGATGGTTGGGGTGGGGAGGGCCAGGGAAACAAACCTTGTACTCTTAACCGGAAAATACATTGGTAAGAGTAAGAAGTGAAACTTGTCATAATTGGGTCTGAAGAGGAGAGAAATATATACCAAGGTAGAACTATACCAATTATACCAAGGTAGAATTATACCAATTATACCAAGGTAGAATATTACATGTATACCAAGGTAAATTATACCACGGTTTTGACTGGACTTACTGTTGTGATGAGTCTGTAGATGTGAACCCGTTTCTTCTGACCATCTCTCCACACTCTTGCCATTGCCTAAACAAGTTACAGAGAAACATACAAAAACATAAGTCTTTGGGCTGTTTTTTCCATTGTCCAACTAATGCTAAGTTAAAATTGTTCCATGGGCAATAGTCAGAATCCATAAACCCACTCCAAGTGATGCCCGTTTGCTATTTCCCAGGTTTGCAGCATTTGCTAAGGTATGCTAGCATCATGACTTTGGGCATAATGCCTGGTTAAATTGCATAAACGGTTTATGGCTTCTGATTAGGGCACATTGAACAAAGACATTGACAAAATGGGGAACTGCCAACATAGGGTTGGATAGCTCAGTTGGTAGAGCGCCAGTACGGTAATCTGGAGGTCGCGGCTTCAAACCCCCCACTCCACTCTATTTCTTTGTTCAACTTGAAACTTATTAAAATGCACCTACCTTGTTACCCTTTGATTTATTTAAAAGTCTTATATTTCTGAGCTTTGTTTTTCTCCCCGGAGACATTTTGATTCTTGCGAATATGTATACCTGAAGGTCATTGGCTGGATTCCAGTCGATGTCATACAGTAGCAACCTGGACGCACCAATCAGATTTAAGCCGACGCCTCCAGCTTTGGAGCTCAATAAAAACACAGCTGTAAAAAAAAAGATCAATGAAATTCATTGAAATTATTTCATTTTAAGACATTAAAATAATGAAACAGTCATCTACAACTTGACCTGTGAGTTTTTCATTCCACAAAGCTTTTACTGAAATGATATTTCTTCAGGTGAGAACCCTATCTTCTGTGGCACTTTTGATCAGAAACTGTCCGAATCCACCAATGTGAAGGATATCAACGGTACATACTTTTCAATGGGCATCAAGTTCGTAATTGCTGGGCCCCACCTTCCTAAATCCTAAACAAATCCTACAAATTCTCATGAATTTTGAAGGAATAAATATTGAACTTACTTTCGTGCGCACAGGAGATATTGAACTCTTCAACAATCTCTTTGCGCTTTGCAGTTACTGCAGTGCAATCTTAATGTTTAAGGACATCTTAAAAAGTGCTCTAAAGTGGCTGGCTTCTACATTCCTCAATCTTATAGAAACATACAAATTTTTGATAGATTTTAAAGGATTAGGAGTCTAGGGTATAAATGAACTTACTTTCCTGTGCAAAGGAGCTGTTGAAGTATTCTACAATGTCCGGATGCTTTGCGGTTGCGCACTGTTATTTTCAATCTTTGAAGACATCTTTAAATACTCTACAGTGGCTGGGCTCTAAATTCCTTAATCCTACAAAATCCTACAAATTTTGATGGATTTTGAAGGATCTAAGAATCTAGTGTGTGAATTAACTTACTTTCCTGTGCATATGAGCTGTTGAAGTGTTCAACAATCTCTTGTCGTTTGGCAGTCGGCGTACTTCCATCCAGACGACAGAATTTGTATCCTTCCTGCTCACAGAGCTTCTGCAGAAGACTCAATGTCTGAAGAAAAAAATATAATAAATGGGAACTGAAGGATAACTCATGATTCATAAACAATAACATTTTTGGCATATGTGCTGATAAAAACTCCCTGAATCCTTCAAATTCAACCATTTTGCAGGAACTTGATAGCAAAATCTTTGTTCCCTCCGCAGGAATTCGTTCCAGACTCGCGCCCATCCAAAATAGCAATAATAGGCTACTCTACTGAACATAAATAGATTTTTCTTTTTAAGACAGGCGAACGTAACCCCAACCCTCTTGGATAAGGCATGTATTTGCATGGATAAGGCCTCTAATACAGAACAGAACTATACCTGTGTATAATTTGACACCAGAACAATTTTCTCCTTCAGCTCATCTTTGTGCATCGAGTGTAGAAGATCAGCAAGCACTTTCATTTTGCCTGAATGTTCTACATTGAGGCTTTCTGTTGTGAAGATGTCGGGGAAAAGGGGCAGCAAGTCCTTGTATAACGACTCCTGCAGAACAATAACAAAAGTACCTGTGAATAGTTGCATGACATTTATCCAATGGAAATTCTTATAAGAGTGTTGGGAATTGTAACATTGGGTTTACATATTTTTCTGGATGAAGGGTAATGTGGGAGAAGCAAATTGTGACAAAGTGTCTTGCCTGAGAACACAAACACCTAACCCCAACAGGCTGAACCTCAAACCCACAATCTACTGTCAATACAGGACTAATGTGGGTGCTGAAGCAATTAGTGATAAAGTGTCTTGCCTGAGGACACAAGCACCTCACCCCCACAGGCTGAACCTCAACCCACAATCTACTGTCAATACAGGACTAATGTGGGTGCGGGGGTAATTAGTGATAAAGTGTCTTGCCTGAGGACACAAGCACGAAACGCCCATAGGCTGGACTCGAACCCATAATCTACAGAAATAATTACCCACGTTTTTAATTTGACACACCAGTCCATGAGGCCAAGGCGCTCTGTTGCAGTTTGCAATTGAATCCGTTCTGTTAGCCTCACTACAAGTAAGTAAGCTCACCTCCAAAACGAATCCCTCATCAGCTGCACTAGTCTCCCTTTGCTCCATCGCAGCATCCAAGCAGACTTGATGCAACAGGCCCGGGTGATTGCACAGCTTCTTCAAAGCCATGATGCAGACCAGGTGAGGCGAGGAGGACGAGCTGTCGGCGTACTGACTGGATGCGGTCAGGCAGCCACGGAGCACTCGAGAGCCCAAGAGCTTCTGGTATAAGAGGAGCTGGAGGGGGCTTGGCTTGCAGAAGACTACCGTTTCCACTGGAAATGATTTATTATAAAAGGCGTAGAGGATCAATTGCGTTTTCATACATTTTGTTTGTTTCCAATAATAACACCACTCAGAATCCAAAGAAGAATGTTCAAAATGTGATCTGTTGAGGTTTCAGCTCAGTGGGAGGAAAATGCCTGAATGCAGAATATTTTTCTCATACCTTTCGGGGGCAGATACTTGTTGTTGATTTCCTGTGTTCTTCTGAGGACAAACAGGCCAGTCAGTCTTGACAACTGGCAAAAAATAAAGACAAATCCAAATTAGTCAACGCAAATTTAACTTAACTCACCTTCTGAACTCTAGTTTGAATGAACAAGGCAAGGCTTAAACATAATGGGATAGACCACATGAACGTAGTAAAGACTGAGGCACATACAGACGCAAATCTATTGTCGGAATTTGTTTCCTCGGTGTCATACCTCTGCTGCTCTTGTGGCGGCCAGCGTTTTCTCTTCGGCCGTTGCCTGTGGCTGGTTCCCCTTGGTGATTGGGTCTTCGTAGACACGGTGAAAAGAGGCGCTGGATCCTGGAAAATAAGGTTGGCAACTTCACAGCTTGAAATGTGACGTGAGAATTTAGATTCTTTCATCAATTTTTTTTTAATGTAATCAGTTTTTTAAACTCACCTAGCACGCCAGGGTTACAGAACTCAACGATGGAGTGGAACTCCTGAAGATCATTCTGCAGTGAAAAAGAAGTGGAAGATTTTGGTTTGAAATCTACAAAGATATTGTGAACTGCAAGGCTGAAACGGGCATCCAGAGCTATGGCTACGTCTATTGTCAGCACGTTTTAATATAATTGTAACTGCCAAAGTCTCAGACAATCAGTTCAAAACAATGGCTTCGTATATCTGACCATGGTAAAAGATTTTGACGATCTGCACGTCACAGCTTCAAAGTATTTAATTGAACTAGTTTGTTATGTCCCACCCTAAAAATCAATTGTTACCTGAACTGGTGTTCCTGTCAGTAGAATTCTTCTTTGTACAGGTAGGCTTGATATGAGCTGCAATACATCAAAATTAAAAGAAATTAGCAAGTACTTGAATTCTAAAATTTGAAGGTTTCAATGGGGGAGGGGGGGGGGGTCGTCATTGTAAGTGCATAATATGCACCCCGAGGACAGACAAAGGAAGTACAAAAGATTCTTTGGTGTCCTCGAAAGGGAAAGACAATACTTTGTCCTCGAGAGTTATGTAAAGTAGGACTATGTGTGCTTAGCCATGTGAGTCTGGGTACCAGACTTATCGATGTGGTTTTGATATTGGTGTTCTTGAGTTGGTGGTCTTCATTCAAGGGGAGGGGTAACCATCTATCATTATGTGCGAGATGCGAGTCTGGGTACAAGACTTACTGATGTAGTTTTGATATTGGTGTTTTTGAGTCGGTGCCCCTCGTCGCAGACGATGAGGTCAAAGGTGATCTTTCGGATGTCATCGATGGAGCGAACGAACATCTCATAGCTGATTACAAGGACAGGGTAGATGGGGCTACTCGCAAACTCCTGCAAGAGATAAAATATCTAATGGGTGAAAAATGTTTATCAAGTCAATTTATTTTATTAATATTTTTCTAAAGCAGACACAATGCCAACAATTCGAAGTAGTAACTGACCTGTACTTTCTTGTCAGCGCTAACTGGAAAGACCCGCATTCTTTCATTGCCAAGCCATTTCTTGAACTCTCGACACCAATTCTGAAAAATGAAATAAACCATCCCACAAAACTGTCAAAATTGAATTAAAGCTATAGTCCATCATTTGCAGCCATCCGAAAAGTAACTGGTGTAATTACTGTTGAAAAACAAACTTGGTTGAAAGATAGTAAGGGAACTAAACTCCCTGTGAAATTATTCTTTCTGGGAAGCTGTCATTTTGAAGTAATCAACGAAAGAAGGAATTTCCAACGATGATTCTTAAGAAGCACCGTAGGAAAATTTAAATTAGTAGTTCGTTTTGTTATTCAGCGCAGCGCGTACAAGTATTGGAACGACGCATATGCGCTCGCGGTTGTTATAATTCGTCGGATCAGTGCGCGACGCCGCGTATAGCTGCAATTCAAAACAATTCAAAACATGATTCAGTAACTTTTGATTTGAAATTGAGATCTTAGAATGCTGCTTTTCTCGGAATGTACAGCTGAAGCTTAGCTAAACACTTCATCAGGTTAGTTGCTCAGTATCCTTCATTAGATTTTGAACACTTTTGTTGCTTCAAACGAACAAAATGCACTAATTACAAATGAGGGACTATAGCTTTAACAAGACCTTTTTCTTCAAAGAGAAACTAAAGTAGTTTGTAACTGGAACAGAGGACATTTATTTTTTGGACATACCTTGACTAGACTGCCTGGAGTTACAACCAAAATTCTTTTGACGACGGGCTTGGCTCGGTATGGTCCCTGCTTGAGAAGTGTCCTGAGTTTTTTGTCACCACAAAAATGGTTCCAAAAAAAAATAGTGATCATATGTTATAAGTGTATCTTTTGAATGGAGAATAAGAGCTTCAAGATTTCAACTGTTGCACACACTTTTCTTCAGTTTTTATGCTCTATTCTTGTGTGAAGATCAAAATTGAAATTTGTGACTTGGATGAGTTCTTTTAATTAGAAAATGTCTGTACAATTTTTCAAAGCTTTGTCAGGCTCCATGTCCAAACACTTAAACAAAATAGTCTACATAGCCTTAGTGCTTTAGCCTGATTCCTACAATACCACTCTCTAGTTGATTTGACTACAAGAAGTTAATACTGTGCATTGAGTATGCTTCATTCAATTAAGATCTTACCATATGAGACAAATACACTGTAGGGTCTTCCCAAGTCCCATGTCATCACTATAAAAGAACACAACAAAAATATTTTAATAAAAATAGCCAATCTATGAATTTCGCTCCAGAATCAATGTTATGATCTTAAAAAGGTAACTTGTAAAATCTTGATAAATGTGTAAAATCTTGAGCTGAGTTGGGCCATGAATCTTTAACTGTTCTTTTCCTAGATCTTACAAACTCATACAGGCATAGAGGTTTTGAGGGATTTTGCAGGATTTAGGAATGCCAAGACCAAGCGCTGTAACTTTATATGGTGCTAAATGCACAGTGGAAAATTTTGTAGGATTCATGAAGGATTTTATGGATGTGGAGAGTGCTGGTTCATCCGACAGTAACAACTTTGGATGTAATAAAATGATTGAAAGAAAAACTGACAGCAGAAATTTGCATTTTTTTTGCTCACGCTAATATTGCTCCGTTGCCTTGGAAACCCCGCATCCCCATTACACACTCGTACAAGAAGAGAACTCCCTCTCGTTGATGGGGTCTGAGCTTTGATGACAAGTATGGATCCAAGACCACATCCACTACAGGGTGGTGGGCGGGGTTGTGGGCCCACTGGTGGGCAGGGGAGGGACGGGGCATGACCAGAGCATCGGGATGGGTGGGGTCGTGCAACGGCTTGGGTGTTGATTTCACGGTCATAGCAGCCTGAACGATAAAGAAAGGGTTGAACAAACAAATAGCAAAACTTTGAAAAAATAAAAGAACAGTGGATGATTTTAGGGGATTTAGACAGTTTCTTACAAAAGTGACTTCCGAGTTGGGTTTCAGGATTGAGCTTACTTCATTATTTTCAGACGATGTTGCTTTCTGAGGATTTGTGAACGGCTTTGCGGGTGCTGGCCGCGGCTTGGTTAGGAAGGAGTCTGACGGAAGAGAGGACACTGCTGCTGTTGTCTGGAAGCATTTACCGGAGGTGAAATCTTCATGTTTTATCTCTCCCATAACCTGAGAATGAATGGAAAAAACACAGCATTTATGAGAGTTGGTAATCACAAGTCAATCACAAGTCAAACATAAGTCATCCATTGCAAAGTAAAATGAACTATGGCCAAGATATGAATTCCTTTTTTATTCCTCAATCCCAGACACGACTTGTGATTCGACTAGGGACAGGCTTGTGATTAAATTTGTGATAGATTTGACTTGTGACCGAGTAATGCTTGACTTGTGATTTGACTTTTGCTTTAGTTACAATTTGACCCGAGATCAACTTGTGATTGACTCTTGATCAAATTGTGTTTGTGATTTGACATGTGCTTGACTTATTATTGCTTTGTGATTTGACTTGCTTTTAACTTATGATGACTTGTGATTGTCCTATGATTAGCTTGTAATTGACTTGCAGTGCAATTGCGATTGACTTGTGACCCGAATTGTGATTGACTTGTGATGACTTGTGACCACATTGTGATTAACTTATGATTTGTGATGGGCTTGTGATGACCTATGATTGATTTGTCATTGGCTTGCGATGACCTATGATTTTGATGACATGAGCGCCGACATTACATAAACATTTGACATACCTCAATCTCCTTCCCACCGATGCACAAGGTGTGGCCTTCGGCCATGCTACTCAGCTCACTCGATTTATATCCTCTACCTTTACCAATCCTAACATTCACAGACAAAAAGTGTGTAAATCGTACATGTGCATTCATAACCCGCCAATCGAAAGTGTTCATATTTCGCATCTTCACAAAGGTGACATAATTGAAAAGAAAAATATGCATTTATCAAAGAAAATTAAAAGATTTAAACTGACTGGACAACGAAGAGAGATTTACACTTACTCCTTGCCTTCAGTGTCTAGAAGTGTAACTGACTTTCCCTTCGTAACCAGAATGGCTGTAAAAATAAAATCATTTCTTGCCTTAAGTTCTTTATTACAGAATTTATAAGGCAAGTTCTAAATGACTTTAAAAAAAAAAGCGCATCTTTTTAAACATGGTCACATACATATTACATGCACATTTTCAAAGAAAATTTGTAAAAAATCTTTTACATATATTGAGAGAGTGAAAGGAAAACCATACCCAATGTATTTTCATGCAACTTACCATCGCCTTCCCATTTCTTGTGCTTCTTTTTGGACAATTTGCACCTGATGAGATCAAATAAGGAAAACAATTGTCATGGGGCAGTTGCTTTGTAAAATAGCTGGCACAATACTTTCCCCATTGACGGGAGCCTCCGTGAATGTACAGCGATAGTGTGATCGGAAATTGTTTTGTTAAAAACAAGAATCTGACAAAGTCTATGGTTTGTTACAGGTAGAGTATAACATTTGTCATTTGTGCATTTTTTTCATTTGAAGCAACACAAGTGCTTAAAATCTAAAGATGGTTGCTTAACAACTAACATAATGAAGTGTTAGCTCAGTGAATGCCGTTTATTCTGAGAAAACAATATTCTAGGATCTCAATTTCAAATTGAAAGTTGTTGAGTCATGTTTTGAAATGCGCCCGAAATCGGGGTCCGGGACACGTTCTCATTCAGCGGATTGCAGCTACGCGATGTCACGCACTGAACTGACGAATTATAGCAGCCGCGCATGCATGTGCATCGTGTCAACGCTTGCGCACACAGATTCACGGCTTGTTTTTGTAATATTATTTTTAACTGGAACAGTATATTAGCTCTCATTTCCGTTAGTGCGCTATTATGATCCTCCCATCGCAATGGACACATACCAAACAACATTGTAGTAGTGAGACGCAGCCTCCTCCAAACTTTCCTCTGCGATGGGTTTTGAAGGAAGAGGTTTCTGTAGCAGAGGCTGTCTGAATGTGCCACGATGGAGGCCATTGATTCTCGGCTTCACGGAGGGGTTGCTAGTTGTCGGCGTTGCTTGCTCTGGTGACGAGATGTTCTCATCGTTCACTGTCTTATGGCAAGATTCTTTTTCGCCGTCATTAGAGCTGCTTGTCAGTTTTGAACTCTGTTCTGTAGGTCCTGAAGGTTGGTTTGGAAGTGAGCAAGGCAGTATTGCAGCATCAGTCAAACAGCTCACTAGCTTAGCACCACTGACCTTACCCGAATGTGAATTTTCTTTAGCTGCTGCTGAGTGACCACTAGCAAAACCAGTGTTAACCCGAGGTCGTTCCAACTTTGTCCGAGAACTTGGACCGTTACAGGACAGCTGTTCGGCAGATTCTTTCTTCTGCTGCACGAGTTGCAGAACGTTTGATGTCCCTGTTGAGACTTCTGTGTTCATCAGAGATGGATTAGAAGTTGACGAATTTGGAACAGATCTTTGTGCAGTACTGGTAGTGTTTCCTGCAAATGGTGGGGTAAACCTTGGCCGTTTGCTAGCTGAGGCGAGCTGTGAGGGAGCCGCCGAACGTCTCATGATTCAGGTGTTATCTTCAAAACATCAGATCTGCAGATCAGGAGTACAAAAAAATCTGAATCCAGGGAAGAAAAAAAAAAAATAATCAGCCCTACGCTAAAATTTAGTTTACTCCAACATTAAACAACTGAGCCATTTCATACGGAATTGCAGGCTTGTAAGCCTTGCATTCAAAAAAAGGGAAAAAGCAGAGAAACTACCAAATGTAGTACTATTTCCGACATGATTGAGCAAAAACTGGCAATAAAGAAAAAAAATCTTGACTTTGTCTTTGACTTTGTCTTTAAATAAACATTGGCTAGGCTTACACAAAAATAGGCCTAGGAATACCTGGTTAATTTTGATAGGGCCAAACATCAAGCATTATATATTACAACATGAAAGAGAATTCAATTATTGACAAAAATAATTTTCATTTTTTTTTGAAAATATGAAAATGTTGATGCAAATGTGAAGTCTGGTTGAACAGAAATAACCATCCTGGCCGGTTCACGCCGGTAAACCCTACTTAATTTATCTTACCTCAACATTGTCATTGGCTGTGTTGATGCTATTATTAGTTTTTAAAAATCTTAATCTGTGTTTTAATTTTTCCAATTCCATGACGAAGTCTTCACCACACACGTCATGCTAGACCCGTGAACGTGGCTAGGCTATATACAACGCCACGTTCACGGGTCTAACGTCATGCATGTCATGCGCGTCATGTGAACTAAAAGTAAAACCGTAATGTGTCCGGAAACTGGACAACCTCACAAGTTCTAATTCTCAACCAGCAGTAAGGCTTACAGGCATTTATGTTAAATAAAGACACCTCGCAAAGTTAGCCAACAAGATATTCATCCAAAATATATTCCTCATATATCGCTGAACCGGATAAATACTCCAAAAGATAAAATACGCTACGAAAACTTGACGAAGTTCACGAGTTTGATTCTTCCCGCCGCATGTCTAGTTTCCGCCGCGGGTCGATCGTCGTGGATGGGATGATCCGTGATATTAAGCCAAATTTAAGAAGTCAAGTACATGTATGTCTATATGTGTCGGCCGTACAGTCAAAAGATTTGGAAACCAGTCTAGACGAATTTTGCATGACATCGTCGCAAAATTAATCCATCTGGAGAAGTAAACATTCCAAAATACACCAATTATTGTTAAATGGACAAAATTGCATATTTTGTTCTAGTTTATTTTTGTCGTCTGCGCTGCGTCAACTGTATGCAGTAAATTAAACGACTTGTGATTGGTCAATTTTTCGAGTACAGGGCAACATCTGTTACTTTGACCAATATTAATAAAGTCTTAGTGTTAAACTTTCGCCCAATGACTTTGCGCGCCAAAGGTTAATCTGTTTCGTCTGCTAGCTCCATCTGCATGCAGTAAATGAAATGACTTGTGATTAGTCAATTTTTTCCAGTACAGGGCAACTTCTATTACTTTGACCAATCGTTTATGTCCTTATGTTAAACTTTCGCTTAATGACTTTTGCGTGGCAAATTGATCGGTGTCATATAAACATTGACTTATTTTTAAACCGGTCTCTCTGTTATTGCATGTATAATATTATAACGATTTCTGCGAGGTGAGACATGTGCAATGTGCTTAAGAGTCCGTTTTGCTTTGGAGTCAAACTTTTTATCTACACCGGAAACTAAATTTTGTTAGGCCTAGATTGTTTTGTTCGGGTGGAGTAAATTATTTTATTTTCTGTTTCATTTCAGCGGCACGGCATTGCATGCAGCAGAATGATGGATTTTACGAACTTCTGTCGTGACGTGATATAATTGCGGAAAGATGTTTCACAACACTACTCGAGGCAAACAGGCAACAGTGTGAGTAGAAAAGCTAAAATAATGCCCCGGGTTCGGGGTGTGCTAGCCCAGGTTGGACTCCGTTGTGTCAGTCGTAATGCATGTAATGCAATGAACATGATGAAGACGCCCCGACTGTAGGCCTATTCTGTTTTTAAATTAGGCCTAGATTTGGGAATGGTTTCAATTTGCCTCCTCTATGTTTTTATCAAATCTGACATTTAATTAAAGTAGGCCTAGATTTCATTTTCTTATTTTTAACGAGTGTCTTTTTAGGATTTTGTTTTAAAGAGAAATAAAGTCTGAGAACCATTTGGATTTTGGTTGATCATGGAGGTAGAATTAGAATTAGTCTAATTCTACCTCCATGGGTTGATGTAGGCCTAGCCCTAGGCCTTGTCTGGTTCTAACAGCCAAAGATCCTGATATTTAATACTACTACCAACTACTAGATAAGGGAACCAGACGGTTGACTGCCTTAATAGTAGCCACTGTGTTTTTAATTAGCATCCCTAACTCTATCCTACTATACTGGGCATAGGCCTAATTATGGTCTGGAACTGCAACTTCTATCAAATTAAAAAAGTTCTCTGTTTTTAACAGACGACCATTCATCAAACATCAGTCAAGTGCTGTCCCAGTTCCTCCATCTTCAGCCAGTGAAATCTTTGGCTCCCAGTCATTTCGAGAGGATGATGATTATGATGACGATGAAATAGACATAACTGCATCTCAACTTATAAGAGAAAGCAACTTCAAAGGTTGTGGCATTCACTGTTGCAAATGTTCAATTTTAATCTATGTTCAGTTCACTTTGTTTAAAAGAATACAATAGCATACAAAACAAATTTAAATGGGACACTGTTTGCCCACAGACTTTACTATTTAAAACAGTTTTAGGAGAAACTATTTCTTCATTGAGACAAATCAACTGTTAAAGCAAAATACAAATTTTTAAACTTTAGCAGAAGAAACATCTTTAAAAAGTTATAATGAATATTTTGTTTTAATTTGAAGGTTAATTATTGATCTTTAAGATGCATCGTCGGTTGGAATTTACAATGACAGTCAGGACTTTTTGTTACATCAATAAGTTTAGTTAAACAAAATGCAAAGACAATTGCAAACTACTGTAAAATATATTTTTGAACTTAAAAAAAAAGATTTATTGCTATTTGAACAGGATGACAAATAGTTTATTGTGTACTAGGCAGTGTTTGTAATTTTACCCTATTATTGTAAGACCGATAACTGTGGCTGACACCAAGTTGTTTATTTAATCTCAAGCATAATTTTTTGTCGAAAACAAAGTTCCAACAGCTCCACGTGGGATTTTGAAAAGAAGTAGCTATCCTGCAAGGAGAGACCATTTAGAGGAAAGCTTCTTTGGATCTCAAAGTGGCTTGTTTGATGAAAGCAGCAGTCATTATGAAGATCCTAATGATTCGCCAGCTTTTGATTTAAATGACGATGAAGATCTATTTGGCAGCCAGCATGGTCTTGCAAGCCAGCAACCGTTTTCTCAAAGTGAAGATTTGATACCAAGCTCCCAGCCCGTTAGGTAATTGTTTTTGGTCTATTTTTTTTAGTCAGCAATGTGAAATTTAATATTCATTTTCATTAGAAATAAATCATTTATACAGTTCAAGTCAAACAGCAAGCATGTGTACTACATTACAACAAATTCATAAATTGTGTTAAGTGAAGATACTTTTCAATAAAAAGAATTTGTAAATGTTTGTGCTATACTGTGGACACACACAAAATCTGTGTAAGCTAGATCCCACATCCTTTTTGAATATTAAAAGACTTAATTGACACATTGAATATACTTGAAAGTTTACTGCAGTTTCAGAATACAAAAATAATTAAATAAAGAATTAACCTGTTTTGATGCGAAAATGCTGTGAGAATGATTTTCTTTTGAAATGTTATATTACTGAGCATACCCAAATCAAAATTGAAACAATTGAGACGAATTTCAATTTAGAAATTATTTAGTTTTTGGGGTCAGTATTTTTATTGTCTCTTTCCTATTTCCCAGACATGGGCAACGGTTCATTCCATCGTTTACACCCAAGAGAGTGAGAATTGCTGATGCAGTAACTAGTCAAGTAACAAATAGCACCAGGCCAGGCAACCATGACATTTACGGTAGCCAAACTCCAGCACTGGTTCAAGAAAGCCCATATGGTGCACTGGATATCCCGGGTAAGTCAATTTACATATTTCCATCACTAATATGCGTTTTTTCCTTGCACAGCCAGTTAACCAGTTCGTCTCATTTTCCCTGAATTTTGCATGTGAAATTTGTGTTGTTAGCCTTTGAGAATCTCAATATTGTCTAATTCTCTTTTAGAACTTTTCAGCTAAATATTAATCCTAAATTTAAAATACATGTTCAATTTTCTGCTGTGTCATTTCCATTTGAGACTTCCGAGTATCATGAAAACTCTCAGTTAATTCAAAAACTTGTATAAATTTACTGGGCAATATTTCACAACTTCAGATATATCTTTGTCGAGTTTACTTCCAATAACATGCTAACTGGAGTCCAAGTGTTAATAAAGTAGGTGGAACAGTTGGAGCTTAAAAGAGTTATGATTGAGATCCAATATTGTGTATGACAGCTAGATGTATCATACATTCAGCCCTATGTCCCCATTAACACATTATGACTGTGGAAACTGCCTTTCACATATTCTGTTCGCTAGGATTTACAACCCCAGGTGGAACCACACATTCCGGCAACAAGCTGCGCTCTGTGACGGAGATCCGTATCCTTTCCACACAATAAAGTGAATTCCATTTTACAGGAGGGTTGGTAAATGTGACCTGTACTATGGCTAGTAATGAATTAAGAGATCATCCAAAAAGTTGTTTGGCGGGAAAAAATAATTACCACATTATAGAATTTGCAAAATTTAATCTCTCAAGATGAGATAGTGAATAACAGTAGAACTGCTCTTACACCCTAAATCAACCATAAATGTTTTAGAACCATGCCTTGATGTATTATTGTCAAATGACTGTTATTATCCGTAAAGAATAACAAAAAGCTAAGCAATACAGGAGTGTGTTTCCCTTTCCATACTTCAATATTGTGCAGTCAAAAGTCCTAGATGATGTAAGTAAAACAATTGATCTCTGTATTATGTTATTTAAATGTTAAGTCAGCCAGCTCTGCTGAGGACCACAGAAACTCACAAAATTGATTTGAGTACATGGTATTTGTACTGCAGACTGCTTGATTTTAATTTAAGGTACTTTCCAACATGCCGATATCTATATCTGGCTATTTTATTATTTGTATTTTACTAGCAACCTAGCAAGAAGTGGGATCTAAAACTTATTCAAACCAACATTTTGATCATTAAATAAACAAAAAGTTGAAGGGTCGAAATGTGCGGAGAGACATTTTTCCTACCAGTTTCATTGCGGTCACAGAATACGTAGAACCCCACATTAATAAACAAGAAACTGATTTCAAAATATTGTAATTTGGCCTTTTCTCTGGTAATAAAAAACTATCTGGTCATTTTCTTCTAAGGTCCTGTATACAGACAAGCACATGGTTGTATGTGCTCCCACTGGATCAGGCAAGACGGCTGTGTTTGAATTGGCCATCGTACATTTGCTGATTGCTATGGGAGCCAATGCAGTCAAGGCTAAGATTGTTTACAGTAAGTTACAAAATATAACTGATTACATTTTTGTGTGGAGACAAATATTGCTTTGAGTTCTAGGGTAGTTATTAACTTGTACTGTAATAGTTGTAGGTTCACTAGTTGATCTAGTAAGTTTTACATGAAGCAAAAAGGATTTAATTCCACTGATACATGCAAATGTTACAGTTCGGGAAAGTCCTCATCACAAGACAATTACAAGTCGTCCATTCCCAAGAATATTCACAAGCTATTCAAATATATGACAAGTACATAGGACCAAATTTTACACTATTGTATTTTTCCTCTAATCCCTTTTTCTTTAATTCCAGTGGCCCCAATCAAAGCCCTGTGCAGCCAGAGATGCCAGGACTGGAAAGACAAATTTGAACCTTTAGGGCTGAAGTGCCAGGAACTGACCGGTGACACAGAATTGGACGACTACTTCCAACTGCAAGAGGTCAACATTGTCATGACCACACCTGTAAGTGCACATATTTTTTCATTAATTAACCATAAGCCCTAACTCCCTAGGGGGTGTGCAAAATTATATTGAAATTGGAGGATTCAGGACAGTAAGGGCTATCACTTGAATAACTATTACATTGTATTTACTCCTTGATGATTCCTTGAAACTATTTAGTGCTGGGGCACTGTTTTAAGGAGCTGTCAGGCAGAGCGGACTAAACTGAGGGTTAATATATGTACTCCATGCATGATTATACCATCTTTGGAAAACATACAAAATATAACTGGGAAGTAAGGTTGAAAAATAAGTGTTAATTTACCTGCTGTCCACCTCTGGAGGTTCACTCCTGCATGGTTCTTTGAGTTTCTCAGGAATAGTGTAATGAAATTACCTTCAGTTATTTTGTACCCAATACATTGCACTTACATGTAAGAAGCTTTTAAAGTGTCACTCCTTGTTGCCTTTTGACCTTGTTAATTTTGGAATAATCCATTATTTGTGCAGTTATAAGTAAATGGAACAGTCCAAGTTGGTTGGCTGGAGATTAGCCTTTTACAGGTTTAGCTCACTATTGTTTGAAGTGACCTATATCTCTCTGGAATAATCCATTATTTGTGCAGTTATAAGTAAATGGAACAGTCCCAGTTGGTTGGCTGAAGATTAGTTCTTTACTGGTTAAGCTCACTTTTGTTTGAAGTGACCTATATCTCTCTGGAATAATCCATTATTTGTGCAGTTATAAGTAAATGGAACAGTCCAATTTGGCTGGCTGGAGATTAGCCTTTTACAGGTTAAGCTCACTATTGTTTGAAGTGACCTATTTCTCTCTCCTTGCTAGGGCCAGACAGCAAGTTACAATGGTCTTTTGTTATGTATTAAGCTTCTCTGGCCATGCTCTAGTCTGGCATGATTTAAGTCATCAGCTCATTCCAGAAGGATTTTCTTAAGCCATGTAAAACTGTGGCGCAAGCAATTTCAATAGGAACATTTGTGACTGGGACACGCCCAGAGAACATCCACAGGGCTGTTGGATGTTCTTGCTGTTTCATTTCTTTCTGTATGCAAGTTTTGTATTTCCTTTCTAAATGATGGGTCCAATCCAGCCATTTCTTTTCTCCTGATTTGTATGTTTCTTGTGCATGTGGTCAGGTTACAGTTTTGTCAGGTCTTTATCCGGGGGAGGGCGTTGCCCGGACTGTGGCTGTTTTGTTTGTTGCACATTTTAAATTGAAATTGGCTAACAGATCTCCAAGCTTTAGTACCATGTGCACTTCTAATAAAGGAATACTGACTTTATTGCACGAACGAATTAAATACACTAATATAAATAAACTATTAAAAAAGAGCACTTCAGTGCCATTCAGTCTGTCAGTTATTGCATTCAAAATATGCATTTGTTTGTCATGTGTTCATTTAATGTTAATCTGATTTTTTCCTAGGAAAAATGGGATAGCATGACCAGAAAATGGAGAGACAACAAATGTTTGGTCCAGCTGCTGAAACTCTTCCTCATTGATGAGGTACTTTTCCAGATTTGCATTACCATCTTTAAAAACATGGCTTAGAGTACAATATTTATTAGGCTAGACACCATGCATATTTTTTATTTTGGCCACTTTTCAGAGAATTAGTTGGGTTTTTTTTAATGTTTCTGAAATAGACTCCCAAAGTCCTCCAGTTGTCTGAAACTATCCTCAAAAGTGAAATACATTCCATTTTCCCCTGCAATATAATATTTCAGGTACACTGCTAAATTTGATTTGTAACACTGGTTGACCATGCCAAAAGTCAGTTCATTGTGAACGTAGACTAAAACTTGCAGGGATTACAATATACATGTACATCATTTGTTTTGGCAGGTTCATTCTCTGAATGAGGAAAACAGGGGTGCAACCGTTGAAGCAGTCATCAGTCGCATGAAGACAGTGCAAGCGGCTGTTGTAAGAGAGACAACAACAAATGAAAAGAAGCAAGGAGAGGAGAGAACACCAGAGCTACGATTTCTCGCTGTCTCAGCTACCATTCCAAATATTGAAGATGTAAGAGCAGAATTTTTTTCCCATGCATTTGAACGTTTGCAATTGTTATAATAATACAGGGGTGAGTTTTGCCAAGATTTAAAAAAAAAATCCCTGTTGAAATAGGCAATTTGAGAGGTTTTACCTTAAAGGTGTCCCAATGAAAGTTGGTGAACATGACAGGAAAAAAATTAATTGGTACTTTAAGGGGTGAGTTTAGGCAAATACAAACATATACCATAGTCCTGGTTGCATTACAAAAAGTTTTCTCATTTGTTTCTGCAGGTTGCTAAATGGCTGGAGACTGGTGGAAATCATGCAGTTTATCACAAGTAAGGATTTGGCCAACTTAAAGACAGCATTTATGAATCCAATGTCAGTTTTCAGAGAGCTTGACTTTTCAAGCCTCTAATGATTGCATATAATGTTAAGCTAATTAAGATGAAGAAGTAAACTTAGGTGCATTAATAAAAGGAAATAAGATGGTATAGATTAAAAGATTCTCCAAGACATTTTTCAATCTGTGTATTTTTGGGAATCTGAGCCCTTGAATAATTTTAATTTTACAGACTAGATGAAAGCCACAGACCAGTCAAGCTAAGAAAGGTGGTCCTGTCCTACCCCTGCTCAGAACGAATGTCTGAATTCCGGTTTGGTCTGTCCCTCAACTACAAACTCAGCGGTGTCATCCACACATACTCGGACCAGAAACCAACCCTTGTGGTGAGCTCAGTAGAATTATTTTAAAGCCTCTAAAAATACGCATACGTTTATTCACACTTCATTAATTTACAACATTTTGGTGGTAAGGAGTGACCAGAATTGGTGACCATTTAATTAATAGCCAAGTCGTTCATATGGTTTTTGATGAACTTTGGTGCAGTATTACAATCACGTTTTTTATTGACTTTAAAAAATAATAATCATGATCTCTTTTGAAATGAAAGTTATGAGAGGAAAGTGATAAAATATACAGCAAAGACGTGGTCAAGTCTTCACAATTCAAATCGCAAGTCAAGTATTTCAAATCACAAGAAAGACGGGATAAACGATGACGTTTGAACGGCTAATATTAACTTCAGTGTAGATGACTTGAGATTGACTCATGATTGACTGTGATAAATTGTGAGTACTTGACTAACAGCTTTGCTCCAAAAAGAAACATTTTGCTCATGCTTTGTACATTGAACAATTAAATGTTCTCAATTGTCGTTTGGTCTCAGTTTTGTGCCACCCGTAAAGGCGTACAGCAATCAGCAAGCATACTGGTCAAAGAGGCCCGTTTCATCATGAACGCCCAGCACCGCCAAAGACTGCAGAAGATGGCCAATATGGTCAGGGAAATCAAACTAAGAGGTGGGAGTTTATGGTATTCCCAGCATTTAGGTTTTTCTTGTAGTCCCATATTGAAATAAAACAAGTCTTTGGGGAATTTGTAAATTTTAGATTGATTTTGTCAGTTGAAATTTATTCAATATTTTTTTTTGTGACAAACATTTCACTGATTTTAAAAAAAATTTGACTGTTCTTTACCCAGGAAAGGTTAGAATAAGATAAATGTTTAGTCAAAAACTTTGGTACACTTGCAGAATAGTAAACTTTTCTAAGCTTATTTTTGAATTTAAGAATTTTTCAAATTATACCTTGACGCCAAATAGGGTATAAGTTGCACATAATTAAAGCATATTCCACTGCCTTACCCATCCACCTTAGCACTATTTGTACAAAAAAAATGTTGTCATGACTGTTTCTAAATGCACATATTAACGGGTGTATTTGGTTTTCCTACATGTATTTTGTTTTGTGTGCTCGATCTTTTAAAAAATTTGGTCAGAGTTATTGCTGAATGGTGTTGCCTTTCACCACGCTGGACTGGATGCCCAAGACAGGAAATTCATCGAGGACTTGTTCATCAGTGGAGACATTCCAGTTCTCTGTAAGAAAAGAGGCATTATAAATCTTATATCCAGTCATTTTATCTGGGAAAGAGCTTAATCTAGGGGCCCTCTAATTTTGTTGAAAGAGCTGAATAATTAAAAGAAAGATATTTAAAAAATAACAAGCTTACTTTTAACTCATAAATTGCTAAAAAAGTAATCAAATGCCAATAACTGCTCTCTACTGATTTTCTTTTTATTGAGGAATTCATTTATTTATTTATTTAATCATTCAATTCTTTCTGGTATTAAAATTGGCAAGGACTTGAAAAAAAGGTTTGCTTATAACATTCTCATGTGATTTCATAGTTGCAACCAGTACTCTAGCCATGGGCGTCAACCTACCAGCCCATCTGGTAGTGGTGAAATCAACGCAGCACTACGTATCGGGAATGTACTGTGAGTACACCGAGACCCAGATACTGCAGATGATTGGCAGGGCTGGACGGCCGCAGTTTGACACCACAGCTACTGCTGTCATCATGACCAAACACGACAGCAAGGTGAGCAAAAAAAGATGTCGTTAGACAAAAAAATGAATTTCTGATATAGAATCACATGCACTCAATTGAACTTAGTCAGATGAGGCAAGTAGTTCAATCTTGCCATGAATGTTGAGAATTAGGCTGATAGAACAACTTCAGTGTCAAAGCTTCGCGGCATTCTTCTTTTTTATTATAAAGTCATTAATTTATTTTGTTTTGTATTCAGAGGAAGTATGAGGCCCTCTTGAATGGAGCTGATGATATTGAAAGCAGGTAAGACCCAAAAGCCAAAATACCACCGAGCATTTAGCATTAACTATTTTAGATTGAACCTTGCATTCCCTACTTGAAACAAAATTTGCTTTATTTCTACCTATGTTCTTTCAAAATCCCAAGAAACATGAACATTAGCTTTTGTGACTGTTCTTTTATTCCATTCTGTTGTTGCTAGTTTGTAGCCTACGCCGTGAGTGATTCTTGGCCTAGTGTTTTGACAATACCTGGGTTTTTATTTTTAAATTGTTACTTTTCTTACAGTCTTCACAATCACCTGATAGAGCATCTGAATGCCGAGATAGTCCTGCACACCATCAATGACATCTCCATAGCGCTGGAGTGGCTCAAGTCTACTTTCCTGTACATCCGCATCATGAAGAACCCCTCCCACTACGGCATCCCCACAGGTCTGAGCAAGGAACAGATGGAGAAAAAACTACAGGGTCAGTGATAGGATCAGTAACAATCCAATCGGTTACAAGTCAAGTTACAAGCCTGGTCACAAACAACGGAAGATAAATATTGACATAGAAATGTCTTCACACAGTTCATTTAAATACATGTGTATAGCTCATGACTTTAACAGACTTAAGAATGAAGAACTAATGACTTTCTTACAATGCTGTGAAGGTGAGTTTGCCCATGTAAAGATTAAAATCTCCAGCAATATGAAACTTTTTACTTGATTTTATATACTGTATGTCACCCAAACCTTCCAGCTAGATTCAAAAATGACAATTTACAAAGTGGTTCAGATGTCCGTGTTGCATGTCCATGCAATGAAGATTCCAATTTTCCATTACCTCCAGTCTAATATTTTGCTACATAATCCTACATTTATGAGTAATTTTATTGACCAGTAATAAATACATCATTAAGTGTGGAAGAAATGTTCACATCACAATAATTGTTGTTCAGTGTTTTGCAGCATCAGCTAGGTGCTGTACTTTGCAGGCAAACATTTTTGGACTATTGACCAGGAGTTCCATTTAAAAAAGGAATGTATTTTGTTTTATTCTCATGAAGATATGTGCATTAGAGACCTGAATCTGCTGTCTAACTTTGGACTGGTCAAGATGGACCCAGAGACTATGGATCTGAAACCACTAGGTAATGAAGAACATAATAGCCTTTTTAGAACCAATGAAAGTATAGAACAAATAATGAATAAGTACTTAATAAGGGGTTAACGTTGACATTATCCTTTGGGCCGCGAAGTTTGTGAGCTGATTATGACTCCCTTGGTATCTTTCTTGGCGGACTTAATTTTGCTATAAGCTTATTCAAGCTGTCCTCTGCAGGTTTTGAATCCGTTAAAAATTGTCTGTTCCCGTAACTAGAATGTTATTTGACTGGCTGGCAGTGGCTTTAGTAAAAGCAAGAATTGCTCAACAACAAAGTTTAGACAATTTGAACTTTTTATTTTCTTCAGAAACTGGTCGTCTGATGGCAAGGTACTGCATTGCCTTTGACACCATGAAGCAGTTTAGTGAAATATCAGGCACAGAGTCCACTGAGGATCTGGTAAGTGTGTCATTCAAAGTACCCTCAAGGACAGTGAAAGTATGACAAAAATATATCGATAGAAACAAGTAGAAGTAGGCCTAGAATTAATTTCTGGGAATTTATTTTGAATAATTGGTTTATTTAGAAACAGTTACTTCTCTTAAGAAGTTCTGAGATTGATCATTGTTTCATACAGATGTTTAATTTTTATCCCAAAATGCATTGAACCAATTGTAGTCCTAAACATTACTTCAGGAGAATTGAATTACTTTTAGAGAGAATGCATGATTATTTTCTGAAAAAAATGTGGAAAATCCCTTTTTATAATGCATGGACATAGACCTGGTTCAAACTTTGCTTTTTAAGTGTTGTTTACAGAAGGGGAATAAAAAAAACAGGAGGAATCAGTTATGGTACGTAGGGGAACAGACATGGAGCCTGCTTATTGGTCTAAAAGTAATTTTTTTGTCTTTTTTTAGATGACCATGCTGTGTCAATGCAAGGAGTTCTCGGACATTCAGCTGAGAGTCAACGAGAGGAAGATCCTGAACACGCTCAACAAGGACAAGAACCGAGTCACCATCAGGTTTCCTATGAAGGGCAAAATCAAGACCACGGACATGAAAGTCAACTGGTATGTTATCCATTGGGATGTGTTTTACATTGAATGCATTGTGCATTTATCCCCTGATGAAACTATAAAACCGTACAGTGTTGGGGTGGAAGTTGGTACAGGGAATACAAGGCATAAGTAAATGGCTTAGTTAAGAATTCAGGTTTTTAGATTTCAGGTTTTTTTTCCATACTATTATAAAGCCAGTAAAATACAAGGGAAACATACACAGGACTTGGTATAATAGCATGGGGAGGTCATGTAATATTAAGCAAGAACTCAATCTGCCCCTGTCAAAAGAATACAAAAAGTTATATTTTCAGTTAAGAAATTCATGATATTTCTTTTGAGAAATGTGAACAGAAGTGGAAATATTTATTTTCAGAATATTGACAGAAAGCTTTGTGCAAAACTGTATGTAGGTGTATCTCTTCCAATCCTTTTCAGCTTGGTTCAATCAACCTTGGGATGCCTACCCATCCAGGACTTTGGTCTGGCTCAGGACTGTACTCGGATCTTTAGAGCAGGACAGAGACTCACAAGATGTAAGTTCAAAAGTGAAAAAATTAGTTGTGTGTACTTCAGACCATATGCATGAGAACCATTGTACATGCGCTGTGTGTTCTGCACACAAGTGGCATCAAGTGTTCATGCACAGAGTCCTTCCTTCAATATCGGTCCTCTTTTTCATTTTCACTGTGGAGGGGGTACTTTCTTCTACACGTAAGTAATGTTGCATGACTATTTGCCCCTATAGGTTTGCTGGAGTACCTGATGCAGCGAAACAACTTCCAGGTTCTCCTGCACGCGACCGTCATTGCCAAGTGCTTCCAGGCACGACTGTGGGAGAACTCCAAGAATGTGGTGCGGCAGATCGACAAGATAGGCCCGGCACTGGGCACGGCCTTGGTCAACGCCGGCATCGTCAATTTCCAGAAACTGGAGAGCACGAACCCAAGGGAACTTGAACTGGTAAGTCTATGATCACATTGTGTATCAGAGTTCACAAGATTATAACTTTGAATAAAGATATTGGCAGAAGCAGGATTTTGTCACAAAACAGGTAAGTAGCAAAGCTGGTTGAGCTTTGGGTTGCACAAAAGTTATCAGGTGGGGAGAGGCATATAGTAATAAAAGGGTTATGCAATTATATATAATGTATTGTCACCAAAAAAAGCAATATTTTTTTAAAAGCCAATTTGTTTTCTCTCAATTTGTAATGCCTGCTTATACAATTTCAAGAACCAAAAACTTCCTGTATTTTGTTGCTAGATCTTGAACAGGCATCCTCCCTTCGGTAACCAGATCCTAGATGCTGTTACTCACCTTCCAAAGTATGATGTCTCTATTGAACAGGCAAGTATTGTTTCTTGAAGGTACTTACAGATCCAAAACGTATCTGGAGTGACTCAGGTCGACCAATATAGATGTTTGGTTTCAGACAGGGTGAATTTTATATGTCAATTCTCCATTATTAAACCTAACCCTGGAGTTGCTTCATCTTTCATAGGTCAGTCTTCCAACGTAGTTCCTATTTGTTTCATATGTCCAACTTTGAACATACTTATGATTTAAATCTTTAGAATTTTTGGTTTGACAGGAATCTAGAACATCTAAAACCGGTGTACCCATATTGGGGTTTTTTCTTCCACAGGCCCCAAGGTACAACGCCCATTCAGCCGAGATCACTGTGACTATCACTCTGATAAACCAAGAGAAGCTGTCAGAGAAACAGACGGCCAAGCGTAATCACTGCTGCCTGCTGCTGATCGGGGACGCTGATAACGGCATCGTCTACAAACAGAGAATCACGTAAAATATGGGTTCAAATTTAAATGCCCTAAACTTAGTGACTACAGTACTTAGTTCTGTTTTGGATTCACACTCGTTATGTTATCCAACCCCAGCAAACTGGAAGGTGTCTGCACTGGTCATGGCTTCATATCCCATCCATTTAAGCTTGGCAATTTTTGGCCCACAGACTCTAAGATAGCACTGAGAAATATAATACTTACAACTTCACCAGTCAACTAACGTCAGTTACAAGGGTAGGTTGTTTGTATACCAGGCACACTATTGTGCATAGTGTGGAAGTAAAGAAACTCACTGAACTCGAGAGAAGTGCTAAGTCTCAAGCTTTTAATATAGATATATAGAGAATTCAAAATCCTCCGTAAGCTGCTGTAGTTAGAAATAAAGCAGGGGAAATTTCCACCCACGTCCTTTAAAAGTCGTAAGGGGCTGAGCTGTAAATTTTGTTTTAATACAACACACTGTACTAGGATTAGCATTCAGAATAATGATGGAATTCTGTCTGGTTGCATGTGCAGAGATATGCAGCTCCTGAGAGGAGGGCCCTGGTGCAAGCGGATTGAGGTCAGGAGAGCAAATAAAGCAGAGGAACTCAGCGTGAATCTCGTCAGTCAAGACTATGGTAACATCTCCAAAAAAACCCCAACAAACTGGGTAATATTCCTGTAATTTATGCCACTACAAATTCCTTGACTATGGCTTGCAATAGATAAATGTGCCTATGGAAGCAGTGAAAGCCACTTTTCCAAAATTATACGATAAGGAAAAATAAACTTTGGTAATGACATTCATCTAGTCAATCCTTGATTGACTGTTCAGTGCATAATTCCTTGATATTTAACTTTACATTGATTGACCAACAGTTGGTCTGGACGTGCAGAACACCTATACTCCATTCTACTCGGGACCCAAACACCTACGAACAGCTGCCCAAGAGAGTTCCAGCAGCCAGCCCAAAAAGCAACCAGCAAAGAACACCAAGCTTATTCTGAAAAGACGACAGTCTACACCGATGAACTCATCACACACTGATCAGTGGCTAGGAAGTGACAATGGTAAGTTGCTCGGTATATAATTTGACTCTTTGTTAGAATCAAGGTCAATAATAGAACTTAATTGCTCCTATTTTCCTATTAATTTTAGGCAAAACAGCACCCCTCTGTAGTTCACGCACGGCATCAATACACTTTTTGTTATTACCTCATTGATTCAAAAGATCCAAAGACAGACGAGGAAGACCTGTTTGAGTTTGGCAACCGCAAGCCCTGCAGCCACCGGTGCTCCGACAAAGACACCTGCGCTCACGAGTGCTGCAAGTTTGGCGTCCTGATTCGACATCGGCCACAACTGCTGGAAACGCCGAGACGTGATAGGTCAGCAGGTCAAAGGCAATCAGGTCAAAGTTCAGCGGCAGCCTCGACGACGCCCTCTACAGCAGGCCAGATGCCGAGGCTGTCTCGGCTGGAACGGTACTTCAGTGAGCTGCATGCTAAGGCGGATGAGCTGGAAACACCGACTGTGAAACGAATCAAAGTGAGAAAATGCTGTTTCACACATTGACAAATGATCCAATACTCGGATCAGCAGCTAGTTCTAAAAGAATTCTTTTTTAAAAACAATGACAATATTGCCTCAGGATACACATTTAACATATATGAACAATGTTGTTTAAGATGTTTTACAAATCTACCCACACAGGTTGCACAAGGCAGCAACAACACATGCAACGTGGACCTGGACAAATTTGCCTTCACACCCAAATCCAAACCTTCGGTCCCCGCCACCCTGTCTTCATCCGCAGCTACCCCAAGCCTGACCCCCAAGCTTAATCCCCACATACCCGCCACCCCAACAGCAGCCAAAGGTTGGGAGATGCTGGACATGTACCAGCAGGCCCAATGTCAAGAGATGAGTGAGGAACAGCAGATGGAGGAATTTGAAGGTTATAGTTACTCTGTAGTAGACTTTGATACTCTGTGCGAGAATCACATAGAGTTGGTTTCAATCTCAGGATAGCAATGGTGTTTCCACTATTTTGTTTTTTAAAGAATACAGGATTCATACTATTATGGAAATGCCACTCAATCCAAAAAAAGATCAGTGCCTCTGAGACTTTTTGCATAGCAAGACATTTGCATCAAAAGTGAATGTCAAATCATTAGATTAGCACTCATTGTCGCACTTGTCACCGTGAAATAGTTTGGTTGAAAAAATCTAGTACATTTTTGTTATTTTCATTTAACACCAAATTATCTTTTTTTCAAATCATGAACAACATACTGAAATTATTCATTCCAATTTCAGACCAAAGTCTCAACCAAGCTACATCAGTCTGGACTGACGATCCATGGATCAACAACTTGGACAATTTTGACATGTCCTGGTCAGACTCGGACAAAGAGGAGATGGTGTTGGATAGATACGTGCAGGGAGGTGATGAAGGTAAGAAGAATTTATTCTGTTATCATTAAACAAGGAAGGCTGTAAGCCATACCCCAGTACAACTCTAGTGGACTTTTGTAGCTTTGAAACTTGGTGGAATACAGGAACCTTCCTTTTGTGTAACAAGTAACTTTCTTCTCAACTGCCTTTGTCAACTATTCACACAAATGGGGAACCGCCAAAATTGGGCTGGATGGCTAGTCGGTAGAGCACCGGTAAGGTACGTATTCGGAGGTCAGGTTCAATTTCTCTGCTCAACCTTTTCAACTGTCAACTTTTGTCATCAAAAGACTGTTTTTCAAAACTAATTTTGATAAAATATTTTCTACATCTTTGAAAAATTTGAATGAGTGGAGAAAAAAAGTTTTTTTTCATTTCAGATTTTCAGAATGACTTGGGGCTGCTGTCAGACCACAGTCCGCCTTTACCAGATCTTTACAGAGCAGAACCAGCAATCCAGAATCTACAGCAACAGTATAACCATCCAGAACAGCAACAACATTCAAGTTTCTACAATCCTGCAATCAACAAGAACCAACAACAACATCAAAAGTTGGGACAACAGCCACGAGCCGATATCTCCCAACCAGCTACAGGCCAGAATCAACAACATCTTGATCCAGGGCAGCAGCAACGACTTTCAAGTTTATACAGACCTGCGACAAGCCAGAACCAACAGCTGCTTGAAGATACGGCACAGCATCACAATCCAAAACAAAATCTGAATCTTGAAAAGCAACAGCTTCCAAGTTTCTACCAGCCACCGACGAGCCAGTACCAACATCAGCAACCTGATGTAGAACAGCAGCGAATGAAGAGTATCTACAAACAAGCAGCAAACAAGCAAAATGATCAAGAACAGCAACAACTCACCAGTTTGTACAGACCTGCAACAAGCCATTACCAACAGCGTCAACACCCAGGAAAGCAGCTACAACCTCCAAGTATCTACAAATCAGTTTCAACAAACCACTACCAGGCTCAGCAGTCACGACCTCAGCCATCCAGCACACCAGTTCCAAGACGCAGAGGACAGGTCTTTGCTTGGAAGTCCCCTACAAGCCGACCACAAACTGGGTATGCACCAGTCATAATTCCCTTTTTTTTGGGGGGGGGGGGGGGACATTTGCCCTGTTTAATATGCATATGCTAACAATGGCCTGATTATTGTTGATCACCTTATTAAATGTGCATAATTTTATTATTCGGTCATTCTTTGGTCAATTGCAGATGTAGTTTGCTGTGCTGTTTTGCAATAAAACTATTTTTAGTTCTAATTTTTGTAATTACTAAACCTTTCATTATTTAAAATTATACTATTGTTGTCCATTACATGTATAACAAAATTAGTTTCATAATTCACTGTTTGATTCTGAGTAAGTGCTTGAATGTTGTGGTTTGAATTATTCTTGAGCCATAAATAAGCAGAGTTTTGGGAAGTTGGCAAGATTTATCAAACCCATTAGTTACTATACTGCCACAAAGTGCCCTTGATAAATACCGCCCTAAACTGCCATGGCACTGTATGGTTTCGTGAAGTCATCAGGAATACAACGTAATACAAATTCTTTTTACCTCAAGGCGATTTTCATCCAATGCAAAGTACAATGCCGGTAACTTTGTGTCAGCCAAGACAGCTCTGGCCTCCATGGAACCCTCCACCTCAGCACAGCTGCCATCAACTACTAAACCAAGAAGCAATGTTGTCTCAGCGACACAAGACAAAGAGATGAAAAATGCCTACAAGACAAAAGACACACCAAGTATTGAGCCACAATCGCCATCAGGTTAGTGATGAAAGAGTTGCTTTCTTTTCAGCTATAAAATGAAGTTTAGTATTGACTGACCTGAATTATGCACTTTTGGAAAGTGGAGGGCCTGATATTTTAATCCTAATAAAATCTTTCTCAGGGCAAATCATTATGGAAGCAATAATTAGCAGGAAACGGACAAGCTGGAAACTCGTAATCAATACATAACTTTAAACAAAAAAATGAATTAAAATTAAGTTTTAGATTTAAAGACTAAAGTACATTGCGCAAAAAATCGCTAATCTGCAACCTACAGTAGTATTATGTAGTCAAGTCCATATCACAAGTCCCTGCAAGTCAAATCACAGGCTATTCAAATAACCTTTGAAAAGGTATTCCTTTGTTACTGCTCATTCAAGGTTTCTTGTGACTGGAATTGTGATTGACTTGTGATCTACTTGTGATGGACCCGACAACATCCCTGGTAGCATATATTCTGAATTGCATTCAAGTTTATCACAAGTTCATCACAAGGCAGATCACAAGTCAAATCACAAGTTAGTTGCAAGTTGTATCACAAAACAGGCCACAAGTATCAGGGGATGAACCATGAAAAAACTACCACCATCAAAGTTATTTTGTTCCGCGACAAAATGACTTGACAACCACTCCAAGCATGTTTAAAAAAAAAAAAATGAAGCATGATTCCTTACCTTACAGAATCAAGAGAAGAAAATGTGACAGTCTCCAGCTCTGATTCACCCATCATTGTCCTATCCGATGAAGAAACAACCTTAGACATCAGCAACAACAGTCATCCCTACATCATGAACTCCAGCTCCGACGAGGAGTTTCTGCTAAGCTGCCTGGAGGTGGAATCACAAGAGGCAAACAAGGTGCAGAATGAGCCTCGGTCAGTAAAGTCACCTTCGGCTGAAAAGTCCAAGGAATCCCCACTTCAGATCCCAAGATCATCTCCTAGTGAATGTCTTTTCTCTCAGATAAGCTCACTATGTGGATCCATGTCAGTTAATAAATCTGCAAAACAGAAGTCCTTTGCTTCTAGTCACTCCAACAAGTCATCTCTTCCAGAACCAAGACCATCTCTCAATATGAGCATACAGATCTTGCCAGAAAGCTGCAACAAGGCGCCAGAGTGGTCTACAGGGCAGTTGGTGTGTCACATGTCACCCCTTCCCCCTGATGATCAACAAGCTACTAAGCCCATCCAGAGCCCATCACTTGGGGTAGGTCTCCAAATACCGTCCAGCAGCAATGTGAACAAATCCATGGGCAAGCCACAGTCTACCGACACCTCCGCTAAGGAATCTTCACAACTTACCCAGAGTCTTCACTTGTCAGTTAAAAGCAGTACTCCCAAATCATTGAGCCATAAATCATCTACCTTCACCTCCAACCAAGAGTCTTCTCAGCTTTTCCAGAGCCCGCCTAATGGTGCAAAGCACAGCTCTCAAGCAAGCAACACATCAACCAAATCTCCAAACCAAGAGTCATCAAACAACAAGGTATCTGCTTGTCATCAAGAGATGATACATCTCACTCCACAGCCTTCTGTTGGCGTTAGTCTTAGCTCCCCACCGAGCTCGTCAAGTGGTAGTAGAAGCTCGCTATGGGGAAGGAAGCTCTGCAGTCCACTCCTGAGGAGACAGAAGACAAGGGATTTCTTCACTGCCAATCCTGACAAGTGCGTGTTTAAATATCTAGCATGAATTGGGTTGGACCTGCAAACACAGGAACTTTGTACCGACACTCTACCAAAAGAGGTACCCGACCCTATGTTTGCGACCTTCCATTTGACTACGTCTTCATTCGTGGGGTACAAGTCAGAGGCCTCTTGATAACAGACATTGGCAAACTGGGAGAGCGCCAGTACAGGGCCGGATAGCTCAGTTGGTAGAGCACTAGTGCAGTCTTCCAGTGATCGCAGGTTCAAATCCATTTCCAGTCATTTCTTTGTTCAACATTACATTGATCAAGAGTGAATGCAGCTATTTTGTTGTTGCAATTTATCTGATGATTTTTAAATACTACGCAGTGCAGAATTGAAATAAAAGTTTGACATTGGTTCAACGAATCCCTATCATCGAAGATACATGTATATAAGTAAAAACAGTCAAATTTTTTACAACGAATTTGTTAATAAGAGCAAAAAATATAAAGCAATGGAGCCGTCGAAAGTATATTTTCAGTTAATAAAAGGAGATAGTCACTAACCAATTATTGCCTGATCTTGTGACACTATAAAACTGAATGGTCTTTCTTGCAGATCCCCGAAGGGTGCAGATGACGCCAAATCTATATACGACAAGCTTTTTGAAGGAATATTCTAACAAGATGCAAATTAAGGTAAGGAAAAATGATAGGCTTCGAGGAGACTCCAAAGTGCATTCTACATATTTACAACTTTGCTTTATTTACATCATGACTGGTACACAAGGGACAAATAAAATAATTACATGTGATATTTTTGAATCGCAAATTAAACTCGATGGCATGTCTTCATTGTTGAAGTAAATTTGTAGCAAGGAATGTGCTGACAAAAAATAACCTTGGAGCTAACTAGTAAAATATAATAGCTTCTGTTTATGTTCCAGTAATTATTTTAAAATTAAAATACAAACGAAGATATTTAAGATATGGAAAATTCTCAAATATTTTGAAATCTGAAATATACATTGAAGAGTAATATATTGAAGTAACTTATGCAAAATGGAACCAAAAGTATTTATTAGCGTTCAGGTTGTGTTGAGGTTGTATGAATGTATATATAATGGAGTTATTCTTTTACTATTTCATTGTTCCAAGGTTCGTCTTTTTTCTTGTTTCTATTTAGTAATATACACATATATTATATGAATCATATTTAACAGCGCTTGAGTAGATAATATGAAAAACTACAGAATTTCCACACTTACATTTTAAAACAAATAAATAATGGGGTTTATATTGGCCACAATGTGACCCATGTTTAGGAAAATGTGTTGAGGTTTTAGACTGATTGCCATTTGTAGAACTTTCTAATTTTCTGTTGGAGCAAATCACTTAAACACACAATATTTGTACCAAGTGCAGATTTTAAAATACTTGAAAGGCATAAGAAAAAGGGGTTTGTTTTTTTGCTTCAGATGGTGAAGATCAAAATAAAATCATTTTCATCAACGTTCTGAAGCCTCACATTTTAAATAAACATCTCTAAAGAGCACTTTCCTATTTACACTTTGTACAAAATGTCAAATAATTTCTCTCGGTTTAAACATGACAAATGGACTAGGTCCTAAAATAATTATTTTTGAGGTAAGTATTTGCGTTCTTGCACATCCACTTTTAAGAAAAATCCACATGAATCCTCAAAAAAATTACCATCATATGTTTCAAATTCTAGAAATTTCTACATGGAATTTCAAATTAAAAGGTTTACGAGGTTTGCTGATTGTGTGCACCATTCAAAACACTTCCACTAACTTAGGGTATCAAAGCCTTCCATTGAGAATATTTTGGTATGAACAGGCGATTTTATTTTAGAGGGTAGACTCCCTAGATCCTCAAATTATGTCAGGAGTGAGATGAGGGCATCAAAGAATTTGCTGCGGTCTTCGTTCTTCATCTCAATCACTGCACATGCCCAAAATACAAAAAAAAACCAAAGATCAAAAATAAATTTCAACCTACACGGATAAAACATAACAAACCATGTTTGTTAGGTCATTGTGGATTTCTTTATAGGTCTTATCCCTTAGAATTTCAATAGTACAAAAATTCCTTGAAGAATGGACATAATTCTTGTTTTGCAATATGGAATTTGAAATTTGTATCATATCTTTTTACTGATTCTTCGCCAACCAAATGCAACTTGTTAATATCATATTATTTGTTTTGAAACCAAAGAAATAAGTGTTGCTTATTGATTGCAAAATTAATTAATGTTTAAATATCTGTACCCGGTAAAACTTTTATTTCATTTAAAATGGTTAATTTCAAGTTTAGTTATGAAACAGTATTTATCAACCTGTTTATGTGTGGTTCAGTGTGCAATTGATGGATGTTGGATTAAATATAATACATTGAAAAAAACGTCAAATTGAATTGACTTACCGGAGGAATCAAAGTTGTCGTGAAGGATTCTTGAGCTAGTCTTCTTTCCAGCCTGCTCAAAAGCCCTCCCAAAGAAACTTTTAAACAAAAATTGAAAAACATAAAAAAAAAAAATATTAAAATGTTGCTCAAGCATTTACCAAATCAATCAATGCTTACTCCAAAATCCAGAGAAAGTCAGATGAATGCAAGTTCTAAACATATGTTTGGTGTAATTCTCAAAGCGAGTTTCAACTGTTCTGTAGTATTGTGTCCATTATATGAGCTTTTTAAAAGAAATACCAAGAGCACTTGGGTCAACATAGCGGTGCTTGCTTTGACTTTCAGCCAAAAGTGTATTGGGTTTTTAGTCCCTTCCTGATTCTGTAAGTTTTCCTCTGAAAATAATTCTGTGTTTTCCTCCCATCTCTGACACCGACACTTCCATCATTTTCTATCAGGTTTCGTTTTGGGGATTTTAAGCAATGTTACCCCTTATAATGAGAATAAAATAATTCTGAACTTACTTCTTTGAGCTTTGTTCCAGTTCTGGCAGCGGAGGTATTCCAACCACGAGCAGAGTTCCCGTTTCTAGATTGAGGGGTGCTGTCATGACCAACGGAAGGGTTCGAGCTTTCCTGTTTTTGGACTGAGACAGAAAGAGTGGGATAACTAAGAATTATTGCATTACATGTGATGTATATTTAATTCCCTTTATTTCCAACATTATCTACAATTTTTCACACAGGAGCAACAGACAGTTGCAAACTGCTATAAATGTGCAGTCATGTCACAAATCAACCATAAAAATTGACCCTAGAATGATAAAATCATTAAACCAACTTCTTTTTGTCAGACTCACCATTTTCACGTAGGCCTCAAGTGTAAATCTTGCCAGCATACCCAGGCAGTTGGGCCGGGCAAAATACCTGGTGTCGGGCGTCCCTTCCTGGATGAATGCATAGAGGAAGGATCCTGCCGAAATGACCTGGGTCATGTCCAGCAAGGACTGGACGGTGTTGACCGTGGCGCGGAACTGACGTTTGGATAGCTCCAGGCCGTGCGCAAGCTTGTCGATGTTGGATCTGAAAAGAGAGCAATTTAAAGATGTTGTTCAGAGCAAGGTTATTAAAGAACAACAGTTAACCTTAATCTATTTTTTTCTCCGTGCACGCAACACAAAGATTTTTTGGCCTGCCAGACTTTTTTCACAAAACATGAAAATGCCGGAAAACTGGCAAAACTGCTCCCATTTTGGTCAGTTCTGAGACATCAAGGAGCAATTCTATCTTACCTTGACAGGCAGTCCAGAGCTTCCAAGAAATAACCTTCCTGGGACTTCTCTGTTTCCTAGTGAGGAAAAGGCAAAGAACAGCGCTTAAAATTTGGGATAACATAATTGGACAAATAGAGCCATTTCTGCAGAGTGTTCCTTTGGGTTTTAGGGTTAATTCACTGCACATTTCCATGTCTGGTGGCTATTTGTAAAAAGTCTATTCCAATTTCACACACACCACATCAACATTCATCATCATTTCATGGTTGTGATGATTTCAAAATTTTGCACCTTTTTTAACTACTGACATTAATCACAAAGCATAGAAAAAAGTACTCACCACAGATTCCAACAGGGCATTGACTCCATAAGCTACATCAAAGGCACAGAACTAGCAAGAAAAAGAATGTTTGTTAGTAATTGGTAAAATTATACTTTATTTATATCTTATTCATTTCATAGTTTTGTGCTATTTATGAATAAAGACTTTTTTTAAAGTGTTTGTGTTTGCACTAGTAAAATAAAAAATGGTCTGAGACTGAAAATTAACAATAATTACCTTGTTCTTGAAGCCGTATTGGGCATGGAAAGAAGACAGTGTGATTTGTTCCAAGCTGTTCAAAAAGGGAAGAAAAATAAAACTAGTGCTTGGGTTTTTAAATGGAAAACAAAAAGTGTCCTTAAAAGAACCGAGGTTAAGGCCAAATCTGACTTTGGCCTAGCATGTGATGTTAACTGAAAGATCTATAAAACCCATTTCTAATAAGAAATGCCAAATCTGAAGTCAGCCAATATTTAGAAATGTTGAGCACAGTCTGAAATAGGTTCTTAAATGATCAAAAAGGTGCTATTTTTTGTGAGTCGCTCCTTTCCTCAAAAAGTCACAATTTCAATTCTAATGTGGAATCGAAGCTATTTGATTCTGACTTTTCAATTGATATGAAATGACTGTACACTTGAGGTCTTCTCGTGCATCTGTTCTAGACAATGGTCCAGTTGTAGTTACAGGGTATTCCTAGACAGAAGCACTGCCTAGCTTTAAAGTGAGTGAGTCAGTCAGTCAGTAATGTAAGTACAAAGAGGACACCGGGCTGGACTCTGAAACCAGCAAAAAGTACCAGAAAGATTTAAGTTCCCCCAAAATGTATTGAAAACATTTTCTCACCCAAATTTCCGAGCTGATGTGACCAACCAATCAGTGACGTTGTCCTTAAGGCCCATGTCCATGGCCGAGAACTTCTGTTTGCATTCTGACAACGGCACGCCCATGTCCGCCAGAAACTCATGTAGTTTCTTGAAACCTTTCAGAGTCCACAGCTTTAGACTTTAAAACAGGAGAGCAAAAAATGTTTTGGTCAGTACGAGTCCAAGACTCAATAATGAGGGCATCCTTGTGAACTTTTAACGATGACACAAAGAGCAAGTTTAAAGGTAAAACTATATGATAAATATTAGACCGATCACTCCAACATAATGCACGATAATTAATAACAGTTTGATAGTTTTTTATTTGTTTGTACTTTAAAATCCACAAGGGCACCCTCTATAGTTCATGCAAGGAGTCGAAAGCAAACTACGGTTAACTATATTTTTGACAAACTTCTCTAGGAATCTACAATACTTGAAGACAGTTGAGATATACATTATCAAATTTCACATTAATTGTATTTGTTGTAACAATTAGCAGGTTTGAACAACAGCTACCACAATGATGCGCCCACACCTATGGTGTCCCGCAGACAACAACGATCAGGCACTTGATTCATATAACCATTGTCTAGCTTTAATTAAATTGAAACAAAAAACTTTTTTTCAATTGCTCTTTATTAGTAGAGATATTGTGGACAATGGCTGCCACAATGCTGTGGCCACAGTTAAGGTGTCCCTTGGATGTGAAATGGCCCACTGAACAATATGATGGACTTGATTCACATGACCTTTTTAACAAGAAGATATGGAACAACATTACTTACTTGCAAGCTGTATATGAGGAGTGCCTGAGACTTTCAAAGAGAGACCAGTGTCTGTATAAGGCAAGTTGCAGTCTGGACAATGAACAATTCAGGAAATAAATAAGAGTTGAAAATATAATAACAACAAGCAATCAAACCAATTTTTCTGAGCTGAGACCTTTAGTTTCTATGGCATAACAGGACTGAGAAGTCAGTCTGTAACAGATTACTTCCCAACTTATGCGGATATTCATTTATACTCCTGGCTGGAGAAGGGAGTAATTGGAGTAAAATGGCTTGCTTAAGGACAAACGTGCACTTCAAAATTAGCCTTTCTTAATTTGTCATTAGACATTTAGCAAGAGGCTATTCTTATTGGGGTTTTAAAGTTGCTTGCCCGAGGACACACGTGGCCAGCAGCTGGATTTGAAGTCCTCACCCTCTGATAACGAGTCGCAAACCTACCCACTAGGCAACACTCCATTGGCTGTTCATTACACTTCAAAGATTCACATCCTTTTTGACAGTGTGATGTTTGGCTAGAGGCTCTGAATTTAATAGGTGTAAAGTGGCTTGCCTAAGAACACAATGTATGGTTACCAGCTTGAGTTGAACCCTACACAATTTTAATTTGTACATGTATTATTTTGACAAATCTTTGTGAATTTTGAAACTATTTTAAGGATACTCTGAGGTGAAGGATATCCTCATGGAGTTGATGGAGACGGAATCTTCCTCTTCGTCACCTCGGTGGTTGTGACGTGCTACGTGGCGGTTTAACTCCGTGGCCTCAAGAACATAGGTCTCCCTGTTAAAAAATTGTAAAACAAATCTTGGCCTGGTAATATATAGGTGTGATTTGCCGTCAAAGTGGTAAGTCATGTACTACATTTTAGCTGTTCATACACATTGCATTGTGAATTTGTTACTGTATTCAAAGTGTAGCATAAAATTAGCAACTTTTTACTAGAGAAAAAGGTCTATACCTGTCAATCTTCTTGGACAACAACTGGTCTGTTAAGCCAACAATGGCCCACCTGTAAAAACAATATAATGAATTCAGTGACCTAGTAATTTATTGAAAAAGAGTGAGATTTTAACCTTGCTATCAAATATATCTTTCAGTTTTGTTCTATTTTGTAATTTCAAGGAAATGTTTTCCATATTTGAAGTTTACAAATTTTAAGATTTATTTTTAACCTTTGTGGAAGATCCTGCGCTAGGATCAAAATGACAGGCCCTCCAATTTTTTTTATTTGCGTATTTCCATGTCAATCCAGTCGGTAAGCAGTTGTCATTTTTTCAGGATTAAGATCAGATTAATAAAAACTTTTTAAGAACTGTTTGGAAACTGTAAAACAAAAAACTTAGCCAAAAGTAACCGAAAATGGGGAGGCGGTGGTTTAGAAGATTTCTAGATGGAAAGAACAGTGGTTTTGCATTGCACAAGTTGAGTCACATTGATAGAATTGTTGACAAGAAATTTCTCAGTTCCTGACCACTGAGGACATAACTGCTGATTTCTGCTGAACAAGTAAATGTACTTAACAACTTTAGCACGGCAACCGGTAAGCCCCATTCCCAAATAATGGACTAGCACAACAATTGTCAACAAGCTATCTACAAAAAGAAACAACTTACCAGAGCAGGTCGTTTGTGTCCTTGGACATCTTCCACGCCAAGTCATACATGATCATTGCAGCCTTTTGAAATAGCAAAGAAAGGATTAGATCAGATACCGTCTGTGACCCAACATTTTAGGCCTTTTCATAGAGAGCACTAGACTGAAACTAAACAAATGAACGTGGTGGATATTTCAAGCCTTGATGCATGTTATTTAAAAGACCAGTTTACTCACAGATTGGCCATAGCCTGAGAACTCCTCGTAATCGAACAGAAGTTGGTGCCTGTGTCCATCCCATTCCCTCCGCTTGCGGCGTCTTTCCATACGCCTCTCCAAGACATCCTAAAACAAATAATTCACAATGTTTACAATTTTTACAATAGGTCAACAAGTCTGAATTTACCGGTACTCTGGAACAAAACAGAGAAGTTTTGCTATTGCTGAGCACGAGATAACTTTCTTTTCAGTTTAATTTATAGTTCAAGGAACTGGTTAATACTTGTTATTCCCACAACCAGTTTACTAATGTCAACCAGTTAATTTTTTAGACATTTCCTTGTAAACTGGTTTAACCAGTTAAGCCTTGAACTGGTTAATACTTGCTATTCCCACAACCAGTTTACTAATGTCAACCAGTTAATTTTTTAAAGACATTTCCTTGTAAACTGGTTTAACCAGTTTCGCCTTGAGCTGGTTAATACTTGCTATTCCCACAACCAGTTACTAATGTCAACCAGTTAATTTTTTTGAGACATTTCCTTGTAAACTGGTTTAACCAGTTAAGCCTTGCTACCCAGGGTTAATTTCATGCATGTAATTCAGCTCACTGCATTTTTTTGTCTGCATAAGAATTTTCTGCAATTTGTTAGCACAAAACTTTTGACAACAAGCACAGCTGGGTCATTCAATAAATTTGCGGTCCACTTTTTTCCTGTCCCTGTTAATTCTGATGCTCTCCTTAAAACTGTAGTCCTCCAAGAGTGATTATGAATAAAAAATGTCACACTCTTGACACTAAATTTATAGAATGACCCATAAAATTAGGCTCAGTTGGCAGGCACATAACTTAAAATAAAAATGACAGTGCTCCAATTGCTAAAAAAAAATAGGTGTCCTTTTACCTCATCAAATCGTCTCCTCTTCCCATTAGGCTCTGAACCATCGCTGTCATTCCCAATATCATCCTCATCATCGGACTAAGGAAAAAATTAATTAATTTTCAAATTATCAGATTTCATATTTCTCTTGAACTGAACTTTTTCTTTAACAAATGTATGATGGTTGTAGCACCATTTTGCCCTTTCTCTTTCTGTCGTTCAAATCTCACCTCATCATCCCTGAAGATGTCCTCATACTTGGGGATGCTTTCTTCAGGAGACATCAGCAACTTCACCTGAAGTACAAAGCAAAGTTTTCACTTGACTGCAGAAACAAGTTCAGATAAAGTCCTCATGCATTACTTGCACCGGTACTACATATTTTTCTGGTCTGAGACGGGCCAGCCTATAGCACTTTGTAAGCGACCCACTGACACTTGTGAATAAAGACTTACTATCTTGTGAATTATCAGACTTACTTAAGTCTCACCTTGTTCCAAGAGTTTGAAATAGGATTGTTTGTAACACAAATTAATGGAGTGTCATGGCCTAGTGGTTAAGAGCACCGGACTCATGTTCAGGTGTTTCAGAGGCAACAGTGACGTGGGTTCGAGCCCGCCGGCGGACACTTGTGCTCTTAAGCAAGGCACTTAACCATTATTGCTTCGTCCTTCGGATGGGACGTTAAGCCGTAGGTCCCGTGTGTTGCATAAATGCACGTAAAAGAACTCAGTAAACACTTATCGCTAAGAGATGGGGTTTGCCCCGGTGTTTCTGGCCTCTTGTATAAACTCCCACGCGGAGTATTTAGGAGAAGAACCAACCAAGAACCAAGAATGGGCTAAATTTGCCAATTAAGGATGAATGAAATATAGCCAGAATTACAATTGTTTTTTTTCTTCTTTCAGTAATTACCTGTGTGTCATTGTAGACATTGACAAGATCCATAGGCCGATGACTGTCACATACAAAGAACGTCACATTCTCCTCTGGTTGCAGCGTCTCCAGGATGTCCAACGTTGCACCGCAGTTGATCATGACGACAAACTCCAGCTGGAGAAAGTAACAGAGGACATTGAGTCATAAAAAAATACAAAAATTGGTTTCATACAATTTTTGCCAGAATAGTTAATTCTTGTAACATAAATGACTTCAGTTGGAAAGTTTTTCTTAACCTTTTAATATTTTTTTCTCACTTTTTCAGAGTTAGTTTTCAGGATAAAGGCTTAAGTAACAATATCCAACTTGTCTTAAAACTGAAGACTGATTGTTTTTCAGGTAGGCCTATCATTCCAAATTTAATTGTTAGGGCAGTTTTGATTTTAGTATTAATTTTCTTTTGGGGGGGGGGGGGATGGGGATATCATTTCAACTTGGCTGTTGAATTTCTCTGAGACTCATATAGCTATCAAAATGGTATTCTTTTAAGTATTCTGGTAGTTAAGATGTTTAGGTAAACATACATGTCTTTTTTTATATATCTTTTTGTTTAGGTTTTTATCATTTTTTAAGGTTCCAATATAAAGTACCTGTTCTGCATGTTCTGAAAATACTCGTTCCCAATCCATCTTGCCGGCGACTGGCACCAACGTGTACTGCACACTGTCGCAGTGGAACAACGCTTTCAGGATCTTGCATGCGCATATCGCATCGACGTCAAACGAGACCAAGACAAGGACACGCTACAGAAAGGAAGACAATCGTAAAATGCCATTCAACAAGTCCAATATTTTAGTACAAATTCTTCAGTTGAAAGTTGAAGAGTCCAGCCATGACAGTACCAGCATGACCAGTATACTTTCAATTTATTTTAATGCACAAAACTTGACAACTACCCCCCCAACAACATTATTAGGCCAATTTATAAAACAATATACTTAACTTAGTTTTGTACATGACTTTTTCTAAGGCAAAATAAAAAAAAAAACATGTTTAGCGTCCTGCCTCTTTGACAAAAAGGAAGGAGGAGGCCCTTTTTTTTTTTTTTTTTTTCTTTTCAAAATGGCCGCCCGACACATTTTTCAAGACAACGCGGCCGGGCTATTTTTCAAGATGGTTACCAGCTTTTTTCAAAATGGCCGCCACTTGGACTCATTGACTATTTCCACAGCTTTATACACGGTATAAAAGTCTAAAAATACGATTTCTTTCGTCAGAGATCGTTAAAATTTATCAATTTTTGTCTTTTAAAAAAAAAAAAAAAAAAAGGAGGCGGCCTCTAAAAAGGAAGCGGGCGGGGACGCTAAACATGTTTTTTTTTTTACTTCGCCTAATGTTAATTGTAGCCTAACAAATAATTTTTAAATGATTTTTGTAATGAATAGGCCTATACATTTTAGTTGACTGTTGAAGTTGGTGTTTAGTGTTATATTTTTTAATTTTTAAGGGAAAACTTGACTTGTTTGAAACACGTTGAAATGGACAAATCTAAATTACTAAATTCAATCAAATCAGACTGATTGTAAATTTCAATTTGTGTTAATTTCTTCTTCATTTTTTAAAAAGAATAAGCTTAACAAATCCAATATCCATGAACAAATAATTAACGTTACTGACAAATACTGTCGTTACGTTACATACAACATGTTTAGTCAAAGGAGGAAAAATAAGGCCTAACGACTAACGTTAGGCCCAATTCAACTGTTATGACGAGTTGGGTTCACAAGTGCACTTTTGTCATGTTTGTCAATGTCATGTCATGTGTTTGTAAATTGTCAGATTGTACTAAATAATATTAATAATATCCACGATTTTTTTGGCCTACCTTGTGCAGCACTTTCTCGTAAAAATCCTTCCGGATGTCAGTGACAAACATGGTGATTCACTGTCGGTGTTTAGGGCCTAACGTCACCCCAGAACTTGCAGTTGCACTTTTGAAAGTAAATCGTTCTTTACAGATGTCCGGTTCAACAAAATTTCTTCTTTAATTTTCCCGCGGAATGGCGTAGTCTGGTATCCGTCTTCCACAATTTCAATGATATTTTGAGGGACGCTGGTCAAGCGCCGGCCTCGCACACTCTTGCGCGCATATTCGTGTATGATCGTGTTTATTATTTTCTCAGGTCAAAGGTTAAGGGTTAAAGTTTCAACAAAAGCAAGTCATCGTCCGCTGATATCCGACAAAAAGCTTTGAAAATCTCATTTTCAAGATAGAACTCATCAACAAATTTCAACATGGTATGTACAGAAGGTCTATGGAATGCGTTGATGTCATTTTAAAGGAGTGAAATATTATGGAATTGTCTGCTGCAATGGTTTTTCTGATTTGTTTTGAAGATAGATCTTCACACAGTATTCAGTAACAATTAGAGTGAGACTTGAGTTGAGCATGTAGCGTTGAGTGGCAGATGGATGTGACATTCATTTACAGTGGCAATTGTGACCTGCCATAGCATAATGAGGAATAACCCCACCTTTGACATGTTGGGTTTTTAGATTTTTAAAAGAACAACTCTAACTAGCTGTAGCTTACCGATGATGCCAAAGATATTTCTGTAGCATATTAATAATTAATAGGTCTCGTTCAAATGATGTCATTTCCTACAGACCATGTCATTGTCAGATGTCAGGTGTCGAATACTTAAATCAAAACAAGGTTTTGGGGGGCATTCTTCCTTTTTTGCCTCAAAAAGTAGGTCACATTTAATAATGACTGTAAGACTAAGAGTGTAGTGAAGTCATTTAATAGTGTCAACGCATTTCAGGACAGTTTTTTAGAATACCAAAAATTCCTATTGGTGGGTTGGGCAGTGTTTTGTTTCCCCCATTTTTTACTGTTTTTTTTTAATTTTGAAATAAAACAAAAATTTGCAACAATTGCAAAGAACTTTTGAGGCCTTCCAAACTTTTACTATTTAGGAAGTAGGCCTACTTAAATGTAAAATAATGTAATAACTGGAAAGTCATATTTGGTATTAAATCTTGTGTATATTTTAGTTTGGATTTCAGATGTTCGGGCAGATCCCTCAGCAGTTCAATAAGCAGTATCGATGCTACTCCGTGTCGATGCTGAATGACAGGCAGGATGTCGAACGAGGAGGGAAAAGTAAGATCTTGGCCAATTTTTTTGGGCTGAGCAAATTTCATTGCTTAGTAAAAATCAGGTGGGAACCAGTCAAAAACAGTACGCACAGTATACAGTTTTGGCTGGTAACCTGTATTTTTGTGCTTAGCAAATGTTTGTGCTTACCAGCCCCATGATGGATATTACTCTCTGACCTGAATTGATGAAGCTTACTTGAACCCACGACCTCCTGCAAGCTCGCTGTGGTTGGCTGGCTGATTTGAATCTGATAAAGCAGTGGGTACGGCAACCAGGTAATTCATAGGATGGAATTTGCATTAAGGAAACTTAAATGTAGAGAATAAGAAGTTGGTCAAGGGCAAAACCAATTTTGAAGTTTCGTATAATTTGTTAATATATCATAATATATAACAGTTTATTGAGTATATTTTTTCTCTCTATGACAGTCATCATGCCTCCATCAGCTTTGGATGTGTTAAGTAAGTTTTAAATTCTGTCAGTTCTGTAATTTCTTTGCTGATAATTTCTTTCAATTTTGTTGTCTAAAGAACTTAACTGAAAGGTAAATCTTGAGTGAAAAAAAAGTCTTTAAAAAATAAGGAAGAAAGTGGAAATGTGTTTGTGCTAGGAAAAAAATATGACAATTCTTGAGCTTTTGTATATTGAAATTATATGATTCACATGTTTGAAAGTTGCATTTTAACCAGAATTTATTGATGACATAACAGAGATGATTATTTTTGTTTGTTTATTGTTTATTTTTAAGATACTGTTAATTGACATTTAAAATGGCATCTGACAAAACTTAATGTGTGTTTCCCATGCAGCACGGCAAAACATTGTGTACCCGATGCTTTTTAAATTGACGAATAAAAAAATGGACCGAAAAACTCACTGCGGAGTGTTGGAGTTCGTCGCTGACGAAGGGAAAGTTTACATTCCATATTGGGTAAGCCCCTTGGCACCTTAAATTTCCCTAGATCTTACAAAATCTATCAGGTTCTGGAGGATGAACAAAGTTGAACAAAGAAATTAACTGGAGCAGAGTTGGAACCTGCGACCTCCGGATTGCCGTTCCGGTGCTCTACCAATTGAGCTATCCAGCCCTTTGTTGGCGGTTCCCCATTTCGTCAATGTCTTTGTTCGTGGGGCGCTAGTCCGAAGCCATAAACCTGTATATGCCATGTAGCCAGAGATGCCTTACCAACAGTTTCAAGTTTGCGGTTTGGGACCGGATGACTTGGGATTGACTATTGATGGACTTAGCACCTAGATGACAGCAGTGTCTTTCTCTCTTTACAGATGATGAGGAATTTACTCCTAGATGAAGGTGATTTATTGACAGTTGAGAGCAGCAGTCTGTCCGTGGCAACCTACTCCAAGTTTCAGCCTCAGTCTGTGGACTTCCTAGACATCTCAAACCCCAAAGCAGTGTATCCTTATAACCCCCCCCCCCATGCCAAAAATTGTTTACATATAATTCACAATCCATAAATGTATGTTTACATGTACAGTTGTACACATTGGAGGGCACTTCATGGCATACTTACATGTATGTCAGGCTTGTATTTGGGATATCATTTTTCACTTCAAATTTAACATTTCAATTGATATTTGTGGAAGACTTTCCTTAAATTTCCATCTTCTAGTCTTGAGAATATCCTGCGTGGTTTTGCCTGCCTTACCAAAGGGGACATGGTTGCAATCAAGTACAATGATAAGGTAAGGAGTAATCACAAGTCAGTCACAAGTCAATCTTATGTCAGTCACATGCCAATCACAAGTCAATCACAAGCCTGTCACATTTTGATCAAAAGTCAGTCACAGGTCAATCACAACTTGATCACAAGTCAATTGCAAGTCAGTCACAAGTCAATCACAAGCCAATCACAAGTTGATCACAAATCAATTACAAGTCGATCACCAGTCAATTGCAAGTCAATATCAACCACAAGTCAGTCACAAGTTAATCACAAGTTGATCACAAGTCAATTGCTAGTCAATCACAGTTTGATCACAAGTCAATCACATGTCGATCACAAGTCATCCTGTCTCATGTCATTACCACCGCAATTTGAAACTTGTTAATTGTTTCTTTTCCCCTCAGATTTATGAGTTGCAGGTTTTGGAGACGAAGCCTAGTGATGCTGTATCCATCATTGAATGTGATATGAGTGTGAGTACAATAACAAACAGAATTCAACAAGTCAATGACCTACAAAAACTTTTATTTAAATCTATATTTTTAATATTTTTCATGTATTGCTTTTGGCAAAGTCCATTCCAGACACGTTATGTGACCTTTTTTGTCTTTTCAAAATATCACTTAGGCAAAAAAAACGGTAAGCACATCTTCAAAGAAATCCAAAACCTAACAGAAAAATTCATCCTCCAACAGGTGGAATTTGCGGCCCCCGTCGGTTACGTTGAACCGGAGAGACAAAAACAGGCTGAGCAAGACACAGAGGTTTGTCCCAGTGCTGATTTCCTTTAATCGAAGCTCAGTATCAGATAGGCTTGGACAATATTTTCCAAATACCGAAGAACACTACCAAATGATGTTAAAATACCAAAATACCGAGAAAAAAATCAGTATGGAAATTCATTGCTACGGTATTTCCTCTAAACTGTTGCCACATGTGCACAAAACCCTTTTAAAAAAGCAACACCTTGGCAAGATCTGCCCTAAATGATTTATTGTTGAAATTATTTGAGGTCACGGTATCTAGATAAGACAAAAATTGTGGTGCTGGACTCATAACTGATACATTTAACCATGCAGCAGCTACCAATACCACACAAGCCTAGAATTAGACCACAGTCCAATAGAAATCCCTCTGCAATTTGAAGGACAAAAAGAGGATGGTCACTTTCAATTTCAAGACAAGGGTGTGCTCTTAAGCAAATGAAAATAGAATTGGCAGTATTTGGTGACTGTACGTAAAAGAAAAAAGACATAAGTATGCATATTCCCTTTTCACACTTTCGAGTGTCTAAATTACCCACAGCTGATTCACCCCATGCATTCTCACTGTTTTTTTGTAAAGTATTTCTCAGTTTTCTGAATTTCATTCCTCTCATTTGTATTTCTTTTTGTAGGATATGCAGGTTGACGGTCCCGGCTCTACACAATATGTAGACACAGATGCATTCATGGTAAAAAATATTACTGATAAATGTTAAAACAAATTCTACCACAATCCAAAGCTTCTTCATTTGTTACTCCTAACACCCTGGATATTTAAGTATATATGTATTTATAATACTACCATGGGGTTTTAATTTCTGTGTTTATTCAGGATTTTTCACTGTTTTAAATTTTATTTCTTTTTTTAATTTTCTGATCAGGCTTTTCAGGGTCAGGGCAATCGTTTAGACGGCAAAAAGAAACACTCGGATGCCAAACCAGTCCCCCTGACTGCGGCTGTTTTGAAAAGGTAAGTCATGTCAGTCTCAAGCCAATACTAAAATATCTCCATTCCCCCTGGATAGGATGCCAGTCCATCGCAGGATACTCCCCAGCTACAGCCTGTACCATTCATTCTCATTGGCAGGAAAGCAAATGGGCTAAAGTAGATTGCCCGTGGACACATGTTGTCGGCAGCTGGATTTGAACCACCGTTTCCTTGTTTCTTGGCATAAAGTGACTTAGAATACTTCTTTTCTCCCTGGATGGGATGCCATCCCATTGCAGGTTACTCCCCAGCTAATGCCTGTACCATTTATAGTCATTGGTGGGAAATCAAATTGAGTAAAGTGGATTGCCAATGGACACAAAAGTGATCGGCGGCTGGAGTTGAACCACCGTCTCCTTGTTTCTTGCCATGAAGCAACTTGGTGTCTCTGGATGGGGTGCCCATCGCAGGTTACTCCCCAGCTAATGCCTGTACCATTTAAGTCATTTACAGGGAAAAGTAAACGGAGTAAAGTGGACAGCCCATGGACACAAAATGTGCTTTAAAACCCTGGTTGTAAATTACAATCATTTGGTTGTAGTTACAATCGTTTTGACGAGTATGAGAGCACAACAGGACAAGGCAAGCCTAGTCAAGCTGGTCCCAGAGTGCACACAGTTCTACTCAATTGATTCAGAATGGTTATTCACTGGAAGTCTTTTTCGTTCATCTGGTCTACACAATAGGCCGGATTTAGCCATTTTGGGGTATCCCATACAATAGCACTGCCCGGTTCTCTTCACCAGCCGCCAACCAAGCCAAGCCACAAATGACAGTCAACAGTCAGTCTGTTAGATAGGTACAAAGAGGACACTAGGCTGGCCTTCTGGGAAACAGGTGTCCTTACGTATTACAACAATGTTGAGTCAATTTTAAGTTCTACAACAGCGTACTACCAAGATGTCAGTGAGCGAGACCATTTCATTTAACATGGCGTCCTCTGAATTGCGCAAAGATCCCTCAATATTATTTAGTCTACTGTCTTCCATAAAAAAAATTATGTATAATTCATATTGCATGTTTCTTTTTTTTTTCATACCAGGGGTATTCCAAACTACGATTACCAGAAGGGGACGATAACATTTATCAGAACAGCCAAGCCAGCAGTTACCAATGGCACAAATAGTGAGGTAATAATTTTAATATCCCGTAGGAATAAGAAGGGATAAAATGCTCCTAATTCAAAACTAGAAACTTATTTAATCTTCTTCCCATTGTGGGCCAATGTTTTCGTGCAGTGTTCCTTCGTAAGCCTATAATTTTTTTAATGCTAGAGAATTAGTAATTTAATTTGAAATTTTTAGTGTGCCACACCTTAAAACCTTGGACTTTCAAATTTTATCCAATATTTTTTCCAGTATCTCATGCAAAATGCCACTAAAGTCATTGCTAATTTTATTTCAAAATGCTGGGTTAACGTTTTATTATTCCTTTTCTTATTTTCATAATTCAGGATGTTCCGGACTTGTTTGAGGCATTCAAGGGAGAGGGGCAGAAATTACGTCAAAAGCACAAAAAGAAATGATACAGCTTTGATCATAGAAGACTTTAGAATATGATATTTATGTGAAACAACTTTGTAAGATATGGTAATTGGTATGCACTACAAGGACATTGCCAGAATTTCCGTTGGCCACAAGTCTCGGTATTCCCGGGAAATAGTTTTCATCATTACCGGCAGGATCTGAGTTGAAGAGTCTCCAAGTGCATCATGGAAAACAGGGCTGCTTCCAAGATGTCAATAAGCGAGATATCGTCATTTAACATAGCATCTTCTGAATTGTGCCAAGATCCATCAAGAATATTTTGTGAAAAGTACAGGTGTGAATGTTGGCAGGTGTCGCTAGATTGAGGGAAGGGGGGGGGGGGGACACAACCCCGCCCCAACCCTGCCACAACTTTTTGTCTTTGGCAAAATTGTGTGAAAACAAAAACACTACTTAGACAAGATGCTAAACGTGGATATGTAGGCCTACGTAATGAATATAATGGTACCATCAAGATTGCCATGAAGTTTATGACCCAATTACAATGGAATTTGAAACAGCATGGTTCCTAGCAGTGTGGGTGTTTTTTTTTTTGGGGGGGGGAGAGGGGAGGGTGTGGATGAGGCATTAAGTCAACACATATAGACCAAAGGTCTGAAGCAATGAGTCCAATACTGAGTGATGACCTTATTCAGGGAGCATAAACTTACAAGGTAAATTGAACACATGTTTGCTTAATAGAAAAAATAATACAAATACTTATTTTCAATTAAGAATAAAACAAGAAAGCTGCCAAAATGCTGTATTATAAATGTATAATACTAACAACTGATTTTCAGCAGATTGATACAATGTATGGAAATTAAATTTGCTGAGGAATATTTCTTTTTTGCCGCTAAGCAGAAAGCGACATCTGAAAGCTGCATGATTGTATCTGCCTGTAAACATCTAAATGACATTAATTCCACATCTCAATGGCATCAATTTCATAGATCGTGGCGGAGTGACGTCATCCGATGAAAACTTCTACATGTTTTCATTTGCACACCAGTTTTCATCAGTTACATGTACTGTGTGTTATTATTCAGCACGCCAGAATCAAGAGCCTCGTGTTTCAAGGTCTGAAGGCTATACATGTATAAGCCAATCTAAAAACAAATCCCTGATGTCGGCGCCCAACTCTTGGACCCTGCGACCTTCGGACTACCCGTACAGGGGCGATTCTGATTAGCACCCTTGAGCAACGATACTGACTATTTAGTACAACCAGCATACAGGGCTGGATAGCTCAGTTGGTAGAGCACTGCATAGTAATCTGGAGGTCACAGGTTCAAATGCCGCTCTAGTCATTTTGTCTTTGCTAGTTTTTCTTTTCCCCAATTTGATTTTTTTTTAGTGAATAAAAATACGATACCATTCGAAATAAACCGACATACCGACATAAAGGTTTTAATAACATGGTTATATGTCATAATGCTGATGTTTTAATTCGAAGTTTGTGAAGAAATAATTCAATAACTAAAATGCTGGTTCATTTGTTGCGTTGGATGTCTCATTCAAAAGTGACTTCGATATTGCTAGGAAAATAGCAATTGGGAAAAAAAAGGTTTTTTGAGGTGAAACTAAAAAAAAACAGTCCGGGAACACATCTTTAATTGTCATGGGCGTCAATCCGTAGGCCCCCCGCCCCGCCCCATGTAGCGTAAGTTTGATTCTATAGCCAAGAATAGCTGATTTCAAACTCGGAAATGATGATTAAATGATTATCTTTGGCTAAAACAAAACTGGTTCAAGTGTTCAGAAATTGCCTTAGATCGCACCACAGAGCGTCTAGAATCCAAAATTTTCCGGGGCCCTTGAAGCGGGCCCCAAACCCCACACGCCGTTAGGGCCGCTCGCATTACTTCTGTAGGTCCCCCCCCCCCCCCGAAAAAAAAAATAGAGAGCCGATTGACGCCATTGGTTATACTTTTCATTTGCTAAAACTAGTGTGGGTTTAAACTACTTTGAGTTTAACGTATAGTAAATTGACTAAATTTTGTTCAAATTACCAGTTTCGTAAACTGATATTAAAAAAAATCATTCAAAAACGAGCATGTAAAACTTTTTCTGCCGAGACCAGGATTCGAACCTGGGTTATTGCGACCACAACGCAATGTCCTAACCACTAGACGATCACGGCACACGTTTGAAAATTGCAATACAATAGTTTTAAGTCGTTGGGATTGAGGCTGATGCAATTCGGTGAATTTTATTTTTGGTAAAGATGCAGGTGGGTATACATAGCTATCATAAGCTGTACGTAAGCTATGCATAGATATAAAGTGTACAGTATATCGTTATTATTTTATTTTGAAAAGACGAGAAAAAAAAGAATTTTGCGTCAGGATGAAAACAAAATACTTTCTTTAAAATTGCATTTGCCTAATTTGTAGAATGGGCAAGAAAAAAAAAATCCTGTTGTCACTTTCGTGTCAGAATAATTCTTCTGCCGAGACCAGGATTCGAACCTGGGTTATTGCGGCCACAACGCAATGTCCTAACCACTAGACGATCACGGCACGCTACGTAACAACTTGAGCAACTTGGGGGAACCGTAACATTATAAAGCATATTACAATAAAAATTCATCACAAATGATGTTAACTAAATGTATGTGGTATGTATTGATTAGAAATTGATCCATAATTTAAAATAAGTGATACTTGTAACGGAAAGGGAGTGATTTGGGCGACTATTTTCATGTATTTGCAGCAATTAATAGTCCATTGAGAACAATCCATTTATATTGAAGGGGTGTCAGCAGAAGGGAAAACTCTTTGCCGTACAAAATAGCCACATTTGTTTTAAATAAGTTAAAACACTGAAAGTATATGTTTAATGTCACTTAAGAAAAGTATTACAGTTTGAATATTCTTACGAAGGAATGATTTTTAGGGCCGAGCAACATTTTTTTCTGCCTCGTATTATAATCGTCTCGTCAACCCCTCACCAAATATAATATGACTGGTTCCCTGCTACAGGAACGAAAATGTGCACGTTCGTTTACCGCGTTATAATTGAACCATAATGTAAACCAGCACAGCAGGGCCCGTATACGACAGGCGAAAAGTAGCAGACGATTCTTGCAGAAATCGCCGAATTTCTTTATTTATCTACGATGTAAGAATGCTTCAGAAACTTGAACAGGCGTTTTTAGGTGAACTTGGAGTGTAGTTGAGTCCAGTACAGTCTGTTGGCTCCCCTGTTGACGAGAAATGTCTGAAAATTGGGAGGTTAGTGAAAACTTCGACTTGTTTTGTTAAACGACAATTGAAATGAGGTTTTGACTTGAGGGCGCTCTTTGTTTTGCAGTTCGGCGCTTCAGTCTGACTTTCATTACTTTCAATGACTTTCTGAGAAAGGAAAAACTTAGGGGATAGGGGCGAGGCACTAATCAGTGATGGTCTGCGCATGGTCTCTCAGTGTGTGAAGATATATTTTTTTTTAAATGGTCAATTTGCTTCATAAAGCGAAACATTGCTAGGCCTAGCCCTAGCTTAGTCCGAGTAACTTGGACCCAACTTATCGCTTTTTTTAACATTTGGACATGGTCTGGCAATAGTAAGGTCCAAGCTAATAATGCGAGCTGGACAACATAATCCTGTCACTGTCCTAAAAACCAACATTTTCCAACAAAAAACATCAGATTTCACCTTCAAAACGGCCTCCAAATTACTAGGTATGCCACCTGAGCTGAGGTACAAGTAGTCATCGTTGATTAAGATGTTTGTAGTACTGAAGTTTACTTACAATCCGGAAGAAGAGTGAAATTTCCCGTTCAATTCTGAGAACTCCCCTTGCGATCTTGAACACGTTAAATTTCCGACTCGTGTTAATGTTTGAATGACGCAATTTCTTCTTCATGCCCAGCGCACATTCGATGGTCCCCGTATCCCGAGTGCGATTCCGTTACCGAGCGCGCGCGATGCATTGATTATGATAATGAGTCACGTTTGTAACGGATTCGCACTCGGGATACGGGGACCATCGAATGTACGCTGGGCATGAAGAAGAAATTGCATCGTTCAAACATTAACACGAGTTGGAAATTTAACGTGTTCAAGATCGCGAGGGGAGCTCTCAGAATTGAACGGGAAATTTCACTTTTCTTCCGGATCGTAAGTAAACTTCAGTACAACCATCTTAATCAGCGTTGTCTACTTGTACCTCAGGTGGCATATCTAGTAATTTGGAGGCTGTTTTGAAGGTGAAATCTGATGTTTTTTGTTGGAAAATGTTGGTTTTTAGGACAGTGACAGGAGTATGTTGTCCAGCTCGCACTATTAGCTTGGACCTTACTATCGCCAGACCATGTCCAAATGTTAAAAAAGGCGATAAGTTGGGTCCAAGTTACTCGGACTAGCCCTAGCTCTACTGAGTGGAGCGTTGAACTACGGTACCCTCCCTCTGTACAAACGCTCCACCGATTTGGCATACTTTGGTGACACGGTATGCATTTTGTGCATGCCCTCGCGAGGACAAAAGGCCCCCAAAAACTGGTAAAGAGAATACAAATGAGAAAGACAGTAACCCTGGATAGATCCACACATTCGTGACGTTCGTTAAGACCCTTAAATTGTTCCAAACAATGGGTAATTTTGAAAAAAAGAACAAAATAGTCTGAACTTACCTTGCCTGGCCATGTTAATGCAGTAAAAATGCACCCATGCCCTGCATTCACCCATGCCCTTCACATCAAAAGGAAACCAGATTTATCTGAATACCAGTGGCGTACCCAGCAGGGGGTCATGGGAGGGGGCAACTTGTGCCTCCCCCTATCCCTTTGATGGCATTTCGATGACATCATGAAAAAAAATTTAGGCATCGAATAATCGATACTTAACTTTGCCACTCCCCCTCCCCTGCCATAAAAAGCTGGATATACTTTTGCTGAATACACATTGGAGGCATTCTTGTTTCAGAGGGCTTGCATGTAGTTGTTTGCAGAAATTGTTGTAACACGAACAGATGGAGATGATTTTATGTTTGTTCAACAAGGATAATTTATTCAAGTAAATTAAACAACACCTGTTCAATTATTTTGAGTTTGTCAGTGTGTCGAAATTGTACAGAGTGCATTTTACAGTTCATAGTCATAGACAGTAATGTTGTTCAGTTTATAGCAATTGTCAGTTGAATTCTGTGTAGTTATCTTCATCCGTGCTCCTGCCAGAACCACTACTGCTTCTTGCCTTTTTTTAGTGAAATTGACTACAATATCAACAAGACGGCAAATAAACACTCAGCCGAAATCGATTTATACCTTTGAAGGAAAAAAAACCTGTTCTGCTGGAAAGTACTTTATGAATCCAGAATTGCTTCATAGTTTATGATTTTGTTCCTGTGTGAAATTTTCAACATCTGCCGCAGCTCCAAGAACTTAATGAATGACTACAATCAAACACTACTGACCAATGGAAATGTCATATCAGGAAGGAGCTCCGCCCAAAAACAGTGAGGCAGCCAATCAAGCGAGCAGTGGCCCCTCTACCACAGAAGGAAGCTACAAGGTCAACCTGAATCTATTAATGTTTACTCCTTATTCAGCATTCCCAAAGATCTTCTTCAATTCCTTTATCTCTTCCTTCTAATGTTGCCCTGTGCTTTATCTTTGTTTGATGAATTATTGCATGGACTTCTGATGGTGGAGGACAATTTGGGCTTGACTTTGAAACATGCTGACTTGATTACACAACTGTTTGGGTTTTTAGTTGCGGCATGCAGTGTACATTACATGTAATATACTTTAACCTAGCCTCACCTAAAGCTGAACAATACTACTAGTTGCAAACTGTAGTAGTGTTAAATACTTCACCATATAAGTGTGCACAACACTCTTAGTATTCTGTAGTACTCAGCAGTCATTTATCCCAAAGTAATGTCAAGGATGTTATGGTTAATCCTAACATCCTAGACAATACTTTGGGATGGTCTTAATTTGCTTATTCGTATATATTCATAATTTTTAAGAAGGAGCAAAATGATTAGCTACCATACATCTTTTAATACTAGCTATGCCAAAAGCATGGGAATAAATTGAACTTGTGTTAGGATATTGCACTTGTTTGTCATATATTTTTGTCAAATGTATAGGCCTAATTGCGCAGTTCAGAAAATCTTGAACTTTTTTGCCAAAACACACCCAATCATTGATGTACATTGTACATACTGTTGTTTCAGATTATATTACACAAAAGAAACATTGCTTTTGGCTACAGTCATTTGAGTAAGTTTCAGGCTAAACTTAGTCGCTTGATAATTTGTTTTAAAAAAGTGGTTTATTGGCAATTGTATTTGTAATGTTCAGATTACCTAAATGCTACTTTTAAACCAATGCTAGGATCTCAGGGAGAAATCTCCAGGAAAAATAGCACATTATCATTTCAAACGCACCAGTCCATTGTGTACCATTTTGCTTACCCACTACAGAGTCCATACAAAATGCATGGTTTTTAGTAAATAATAATGGCTGAAAAGTGGGTTTCATTTTTACCACCTGGCAGCTGCATGCATGATAAAGCATTGGCTATGTTTATCCTGGGAATGAAAGTTCAGTCACTTGTGTTACATGCATGCATGGCTGCCCAGGATAAAAATGGACTAAAGCATAATGCATGTGCGGTTTTGAAATGCTAATATATTTTGCTGTGTAAAACTCTTTGTAATTTCACAGACATCCTCAACCAATAGGCCCGAGACCTAATGACGTCATGCTTTGTGCGCTTTCCTATGTAGTAGACGGTCCCCACTTTATCTGGCGTCCCGACTTTGCTCCCATAGGAAAGCGCATATGTAAACAAAGCCATTACATCATTAGGTCTTGGTCTACTCACTTCTTTTTCTTGAGTGTAAAAAAAAATGATATTCATTTGCATCAGTTGGCAAACTGTGGATATAAATTAATGTGATTGAAAGATGTACAGAGCCTAATTTTGTGGAAAATAATGCTTTACAAATTTATATACTAAGCAAAACTCGGTTGAGAACCAGTCACAAGCAGACAGCCTGCTTGACAGTTTTGATGGTAACCTGACTTTGCTTAGCAGATATATTCTGTGCAGCTCCTTGAAATTGGGCCCCGGTTCTGATGTGGTTTTGATTTATACTGATATAACTTTATAATCTCTCTAGTATGTACTTGCAAATGTAGTTGTCTGCATGCTTTTGGGTAGAAACTCACAACCATGCTTGGGTGGGATAGGAACCCACCATTCATGCTTACATGGATCTCAACCACAGCATTTTCTGGAGTCGGCTGACCATTTTGAGTCTTTATGTACTCTTGCTTATTTTAATTACTTACTGGGAGTAGCTGGACTTGATGGGTTTCTTTGCTTGTTTCTTATGGGATTGTCAGTCTACATGTATTTCTGTCAGGCGCTTGGTCTGTGTGCCAATCATCTGTTTGGTTGTCGATTTGTTTGGTTTGTTGGTTTGGGTGTTGGTTTGTTTGTTGAACTGTTTGTTGGCTGTTGAATTGCTGGTTTGTCTGTTTGTTGGATGGTTTGTCTGGTTTGTTGTTTGTTTGTTTGTTTGTTTGTTTTTTGTTGTGTGTATTTTTTTTTGGGGGGGGGGTCGTTTGCCTTTTAGGCAAGGCCAGGCCATCAGTAAATTGGGTTATTTGCTTTGGTCAGCAAGTCTGTCAGGCAGTCTTGAGGATTGTCTGCCTCCTTGTTTGGATATTAGGCTCTCTGTCTGTTTGCCTATTGGTTGTTTGTCTGTTGGTCTATTGGACTATTGTTTGGCTTGTCTGTTTGTCTTCTTTCATTATCACTTCATGTGATCTTTTATCCTTTTGTTTCCAATTACAGCCTCTGATTGACGGCTCGGAGGGAACGTATCAAACCAAATCCAGGAAAGAGTCTGAGTACAATGCGCCAGCAGCGTCCAACACATGGTATGTTATTGCTATATCCTTTTCAGTATGGGGTAGTACCCTCTCACAAGTGCGTTGCTGTCAAATGCCAGATGGTTGTGCACATTCAGAATAAAATTAATCGCACAATATGCACTACATGTATGCAAAGCAGTGCACACATGACATGTGTCCTTTCCACAGAGTTTTTATCAAGGCCACAAAGCGTCCTCTATTGTTCATTCACGGAGTCGATTTTCTTCACTTTCCTTCAACACAAGTGTAAATGCATGAAATGTATGTGGCATTGTGTGGCCGCTTAATTGACCCTAACTAGAGGCATTTTCGCTTGGATGCAACCTCAATCCTGCAAAATCCTCCAGCTGCTCCAAAATCCTATATCGCTTTGCATTTATATTTGGGGTCGCACTTATGTATGGAGTCCATTTTTTATTGTCCACACAACCTGCGTAATTTTTGTCATTGTTTTGATACTCCTAAATGTTTTTCCTTGTTGGGGCTTCCTAGGTGGTGGCAACACCCTGATGTCCGACAGAATTGGAAGGCCGTGGTTGGCTCAATAGTTATGCTTATAGTTGGCGTTTGTAAGTAGAAGTACTTCCTTTCATTGCATTAACCCTCCTATGCAGACATACGTTCTGTGCAGAGTTGTCAATTTAGTCAAATTCAGTAAAGTGACTGTTTTTAATGTTTAAGTGTTCCCTGCCCACATAGAGCAGGATTGACTGGCTGTGACTGTTTATGTAACTTGATGCAACTATTCTTTGACTGTAGGTAATTGATAAGACAACTGTTCCTACCAGTTCCCTGGTTTTGTCTGTTGACTGAATTCGACTAGTCAGAGTGCTTGCCTGAAATATGATCTGACATTGGTGACTAGCCTGTTTATGTGTCCTTTCTCTATGGTATAAGGCATGGCAGGGGAAGAGGATTGTTTTTGGACTGTGCCTGTATCGTGTAATGTATTTGTGTTGTCCCTGCTTTGGAGGTTTTTATGAACAATCAACTTTGCCTTATATGAATCCCTAAGTTGTACAATTTGGTAAAAGAATTGATGACTTACTGGTAATTACCTAGATTTATATTTCAAAACTTGCAGTTGACTGCAACTCATAACCTTGGTCTGTCTTTACTTTTTCCAGTACTTGTTGCTGCAGGGATTGTCTTTGAAGCTATAAGCCATGGTAATTAGATGTTACATTTCTTTTGTATTTGTTTTGAATAGTATTATTGAACATGTATCATTAAAGTACAAAATCCAAGTGGCACCTGAGTAATGCACAAGTGTATGCAAGCAAGCCTTGTATTCAAGCTGGTCCCATTTGACAGTCTGTCAATGAGGTAGGTAACCAGTGGAATCCACCTGTGACAGTTAGTCATTGAGTCAGGGACCTGCAGAAAACACAGTGTTGAGCATTCAAGCATTTAAATAAGAGTTGATTGCGGCATAAATTTATTGACATTTTCATTTTCTTTCCAGAGCACGTGGCGTGTGCCATATTTATCATCATTGGGTTTCTGTTCTTTGTTCCTGGTTGTGAGTATCAGTGTGATTTGATTCTATATTTTAATTCTCTCTTTTTTTCTTCAACATTCTGCTGTTCGATATCGTAGCACATTCATTTTCATTTCAGGTTTAACAACTTCCCAAATTGTTTAAATGGTAATCTGCATATTAGTACACAGCAGGGGCCTATTCCGTGAAGCTGCTGAAATGACCTAAGCGCAAGAAATATTTGCTTAGAAAAATATGGTTACCAGCCAAAATGCCATGCCATGTATATTGCACGTGAATGGTTCTCGGTTCATTTTTGCTTAGAGCTTAAATCTGCTAAGCAGTAATTTGTGTTCACTAAAACAATAGTCCTGACATTTGGGTTTTTTTTTTTTTTTTACTCACCTCTATATCATTTTGAAGCTGGAAAGCTTACAAAAATATGAAAATGCCAAAACCTAAAAAAATTACATTTGTCAACTTTGTCAGGGTTTGTGGGAGGAGGTCTTATGAAAATAACATTTTTGCACAATATTTCTTGGGGCAGTGTACCACACGGGATACATCTACTTTGCAGCAAAAGGCCTCCGCGGCTTTGAGATGAACCAGCTCTCTATCTTCAACATGTCAAGATGAAAGAAGAGGAAAGATCTGGTAAAATAATTCAACTTCTTCGTGGACGCTGTAATGCTGAAGGAATCTTGAGGCTAGACACTTTTCTTTTGTCAACTTTGTAACCCTCTGTCCTTTACTAAGGCTGCATTCAAATTACTCGGCTTGCAACTACACATACATCTATGGAAGCGGCTAAATCAACTTCCCATAGACGCGTGTGTTACTGTCAGCCATAGCCCATTACATGTCTTTCAGAAATGCGGCCTATGGGTTTTGTGCGCAAACAAGAGAGCCCGGCTAATGGGACACGCCGCGCGCATAGTGCGAAACACGTTCGACTAATTTTATTCTGAACGTGTACAAACTTCACACCATAGCATCTTCGCGTGAGCATCAGGCGTTGTTGGCAATGTGGTCGAATGTCTCTCCCTTTTCTTACCATTGAGGAGATACTTGTGCACGGAGCCCATTATTTATCCTAAATCCTAAAAATTCCAACACTGTGAAGTATCCAAACTAGCACATTCTTTGTAGTTTGGGCATCCAAGCCCCAGACAGAGTTATAGAACCTTGAATCTGCAGTCCTGTTTCTATCAAAATCTTAAAACATCTCTATATAGATTTTGATTGGTTACCTTAACCCCCCCCCCCCCCCCCCCCTTGAGTGAGCTACTAGGAACCCTCCTCATCACTGCAAATTCCAACACCATATGGTAAACTGTACACCCCAACTGTTGGACTGATTATGGTGGTATGTCTGACCCCACGTAAAGCATAATCAGCAGTACTCACTCCAACAGATTCCAACAAACCCTGGTGCTGGAGTTTGACTGGATGTGGATTGCTAGGGTAAAACCATTTTTACAACCCCAGTTACAAACTGTTCTGTTCCCATTAAATGCAACCAATTTAAATGTAAGATTCTTATTTGAGTGACTGTAACAAACCAATTGTACCAATAAAAAAACCTTCAAAATCCAAAGTTTGTATTTTGAAGGATTCAGGACTGTGTGCATGGACTCTAGATGAGAGTTGCAGTTCCGCGTACTGGTTTGCATGCCTATTCATGCCAAGTGTTATGGATCTGCACAGACCCATTGTGTCTTCAAAATGTCCCTCCCAGTGGTCTCCCTCAACTCTCTCTTTGTAATAGTTGAAGGGGTACTTACATGCAAAGTTCATTGGCCATCCACTATAACTCGCTGCACGATATCCCAAACTTTTACAAAGAATGAGACATTGGATAAATGCAGTTATGGATTTTTATAAGAAGTCAGGATTTCTTCGCCCCCCCCCCAAAAAAAATGCGTTTCCTTTATACAGCAACTTTGGACAATGGTAAAGATTTTTGTTTGCTCTTGTAGATCTCTTATTGTGAGAAAAAAAACCATTATTTTTTTTGTTCAAGAATTTGTATTAAAAAAATGTGTATAATTTGGGATAATTTTTATTTTATGCCAGCAGTTAAGTATACAAATTATTTAATAAAATACAATACGTTGGAAATTGGATTTGTTTTCAACACTAAAAAAATTTTTCTGAAATTTATTTTATACCAGTAAAACTGCTAAAGGATTGACTTTAAAGAAAAGATCACATTGCGGTTATAAAAACTACCTGATATAAATATTTGTATCAATGTTATAAGGGTATTAAATTGTTTGTCTATTTTCAGAGGGGAACTGCAGATAGTTTGCTGCAATTTGTGGTGTAAAGAGAGAAAATTGATATATGCATGGTATAAATATCTTCCAAATAGTTTACTAGAATTTCAAATTTATGTAGTTACATGTGTATGCATATTTGACACAAATTGATGGACCATTTTGTATTTTTTTAGCAGTACTATAGGAATGCATAACCATCAAATGCTGAGAGTTAAGCTGGGTTTATATACTTCACTTAAAAATGCTAACGAAAAGTGGTGTAATAAATGCTTTTTCAGCAACTTTTGCTGGGATCGTGAATTCAATATCAAATTTATATTGCAAATACCACAACCTCATAAATCTGTGCTCTGTTCGCATTCACAGAAAGTTTGAACTTATGGTTTTTTTTAAACAAAACTGTCATGGTAGTTTTTGGTCCTGAGTGTAATGTTTCCCATGACTTTTCGTTTTGTCTTGTTCAGACTAGAAGTCAGTGGATAGAGACAGTAGTATAATCGTAGTACACAATCAATTGTTCATTTACATAGCACCATTTGCTCTCTGTGAACTTTTTCCATTTAAAGCACAAAAATGCTCAAAATCACAAGTAGGAATGCAAACCAACTATTCTTTTGAAGTTGTAGTTCGGTGCCTACTAAACATTTTGAGACAACTGAGAAAACACACAATTTGTATTTATCATGATTTTACTGGATTCTCTTGCCAGTGCATTTACACATGAAAGTGTGTCCGTGGGCACACTTTTTAAAGAACAACATGTACCTTTCAGTGGTTATTTCTTCCAAACGATACCATATCAGGAGTACAAAATGAATTTGGGCCCATCGCTGTCTTCACTTAGATCAACGTTTTCTCATGAACAGAACGTACATTTCTAGGTGACTACAAATGTTCCGGTGTGACTTAAATGTATGTAGTGGGGAAAAGATATATGTGTTACAGGTATCTTTTGATAGCATAAATACTTTTAAGAAAAATATATGTGGTGAATTTGAAAAAGTAGGTTAGTATTACATTTTCAACTAAATTATGGAGAAAATTTGCTTCTTATCTGTCTCTAAACCCAAACCTTTGTTATGGATATGAAAACATTTACATATAAAACAATTAATTTATTATATTTTAATGCAGGGTATTAAACCCTTGAAACATGTTTGTATGAGATCATCTTGCCCAATTACAGTTAACAAAGATTTTGTAACATCCTCAAACATTTCAAAATAATAATTGTGCATTTCTGAACAATTGTACATTCACTAATGCGTTGCCAAAAAAGAAATAAAATTCAAGCCTTTATCAATTACCAGGCTTAGAAAAAGGTCAATTAATTTAAATCCATCTACCTTGAGAGGGTGATTGTGGTGTATTAAAATTGTACTGGTATCTACATGTATATAATATGGATAATGAAAGTTTGTTCATTGTTAAAGGGACATTGTGTCATTGTATGGGACTGAAGAACTTTTCTTTTCTAAATAAATCGTGAACGGGTGTTTGTTATCATTGAGAATCATGTTCATAGAAGGCCAGTATAAATCAATACACATTTTGTCTTTGATTGATTTAACTAAAATCAAGGAAATGTACAGACATAAATGCAACCCTTCAACATGAGTTTCTTTGATAGATACAAACAGATTCGGAAAGTCAACAATTTGTGAAAATAACATTTGACTGTGGACATCGATTTGATTTGACGATCAGATTTATTCAAACGTTACAAATTTATTATTAAAAAATTACATTAAACATAACATTTATTTTATACGGTAACCAGCAATAATACCTTGCGTAAATTGACAATTGCAATCAGCAGTTATCTTTTAGGTGTGTTTTGTGCAAAGAGTTATATAACTATGTAACTATATAACTTTACCTGAGGTTAGATAACTATACCTGAGGTCAACTCGTGGGCATCCCTGTTGAACAAAAGTACACACCGCAAAGATGGCGGCAGTGCAAACTATTATCCTGAGTGAAAATATGTCAATAAACAATGAGGGCTGTGCTGAACATTCGGTCAAATCCGAATTAGAATAATTGAATACTTAATTTTTTGAAAGTGCACAGCCCTTAAAACAGTAGGGAAGATAAATATATACCTTGTGTTTCCTTTGTCAATTCTTTGTGAAATAAAAGTTCTCAAGAATATTGTGACAATACCATGAATAGTGCACAAAGCCGAAGTTATTCCTAATGGGATCCCTGAATTTTCCAACTTCCCTGTGCATAATAATTGCGGGGATCAAGTCATCGTATGTCAGGGCTTCTTCTGCTTCATTTTAAGTGATGAATGGAATGGATTTCGAAACGGAAGACATGAAAGATGAGGTTCAATAACGTTTATTTCACTGAAAACAGCGCTGTACAGGCATACATAGACTAGTTTTGACTAGAAGATCAACAGAGGGCGCTCTTGCTACTAATTTTATTTGTAACGAAAGAAAATGTATTTTTCAAAGTCTGTCGGTTTTGAAATTGGAGAAAAAATAATTTTTGATAAAGCAATTAATTTTACGTCGTTTTAACATCAATTTCCATTTTTTTTTTAAATAGAAGAATAAAACATGGCTTAGGTACGAGACTAAAAAGTTGCCGTGGCTATTTTCGTCTGCTCGTGATACGTACGCGTACCAAACGTGTGTACATCGCATACATGACATATCACGCGCTCGCATCGGATACGGATTTGCGGAGCAGGCCAAAAAATCGGGCTAGCAATTGTGTTCATAACTTCTGGTCGCCGATAATTCAAGGTAAAACCAACCTAAAGCGTGCATATTTACAATGAATAAGATTTTTATGTTCACAATTGTTCTATGGTTGTGAACGTCGGGCTATTCGAGGTTTGTCGTCGGTCCACCTAAAACGACGAGGATCTATTTTGACGCACTCTCACTATTCAATTTGCGTTGGACAACGCGCGCGCGTTGCAAGCGTTACCTGCGCCAATTATGGTGACTCGAGGATACGTTGGTTTCTGCAAGTTCTTTTAAATCTTTACTTTTTCAATGTACACAATGTATCTTGTGCGCTTTCTTGCAATTTGCGCAATCTTAAGAATGAGCGCGCATTCTTATGCATGAGCACGCAATCTGAAGAATGAGCGTTCATTCTTATAATCTTAAGACTGCGAGGGAATATTACTTGCGCAGTTTATGAATTTTGCGCAATCTTAACAAACAGCGCACTGCATTATTATGTTAAAATAAATTAAACGTATTAGAAGTTAAAGGGGAAATAATCACATGACGAAAAAAGAAAATGATCTATGTTTCTGTACCCGTTGAACTACGATAATTTGAATTCAATTAAAGCTGTTATTATTGCTTTTTTTCTGCCCCCCCCCCCCCCTCATGGGAATTTTGTAATAAGGGAGGACTGGGAACTAGTCTGGAAAGTGCTTTGTTTAGTCTGGACAAGTTACAAGTCCCTCACCATACATGCCATACATGTACGCATGCTGAGTAATGTGGAACACTTAATAGGCCCTACGTTTTTGTTATCGGAATTCTTTCCATTATTTTCTCTTATTACTTGTTATTTCCCCCAATATGCATAATACTTTCATCTCTACATTGTCTTTTCCCTAGTGAATTTGCATTGCCACAGTATATCGTCAGTCCACCTAAAACGACAAGGATATATGTTTTGACGCACTTGCATTCAATTTGCGTTGGACAACGCGCGCGCGTTGCAAGCGTTATCCGCGTCAATTATGGTGACTCGAGGATAACTATTTAAGTACGGCCCAAGAATTAACGAGGATGCAGCTAGACTCGCCAAGTGCAGCCGGTGCTCGGCATCGAAAAGATCGCTTCTCTTGTTGCACATTCCTAATAATGTGCGCTCAATCTTGAAGATTTTTTTTTTTCGAAGATTGCATAAGGATCCAGTTGCGCAATCAAAAGAATGCGCATGCACATTCTTATGATTGCGTAAGTGACAAGGAAGTGCACAAGTACAAGATGTGTAGGCCTACATTGTGTGATTTTAAAGGCATAGCCAGGCTACAGAAGCTACGGCCTATGATGAACATGCCTCCATCAGGATTTGTTGTATCGATCGATAGTCAGTATTATTCTCTGCTTTTGATGGAAATAAATGTTATGAAATTGAGTTGAAACTGAAATTGTGCTGTACAGAAGAAAAAAACCACAAACATTAATTGACACGACATGTGCGACACTGACACTCTTTCTTTTCAAGAAGAAATTTTATTTCAGTTCAAAACGTAATTTTACATAAGGTTGACAAAGACTACAAAAAATTAATTGTATTGAATTATGGAATTTTTTCAGAAATAACTTGGTTTTCCAATCATGTAAATTGGAAGAGGCGAGTACGATTTTTTTTTCTGTTTTGTGTGATGCCCACTTCTAGACATTTCCAGTAGACGATTTGAAATAGGCCTAGCGTTCAAGCAGAGGACATCAGAGCTTTCTTCGTAGTTCCCAATGCTATACAGTAATATATGTTCATCAATGTACTTTATAAGCATAAATAAACACTGTTATTTTTTTTTTCAGTTCAACTAATTCAAGAGAGTTCTATATGGAAAAAATGTGTCATAACAGCTGCAGAAAGTCTTGATAAAACCCTCAAACAAACAGCACACTTTTTACAAACTTCCTAAAATTATGACTGCATCACAGTAACTGCCCATATATTTTCAAGCAACTGTAACAAAAGATTGGTACAAACACCCTGTGAATTACAATATTCAGTTGAATATCTGCAGAAGCTAGTTAAAATATCTAGTTACATGTACCTTTAAAATGTATTAAATCAGTGTCATACTCATAGTGTTGAACAGTTTATTGAAATATTACTTGGGCACAAACAACTGTAAACATCTGTCGGTAAATATATGAAAATATAGCTTTTAATTACAAAAAAATAAATTTACTCCATACTTCTTGTCCAGATAAATGGATAATTGGGATAAATGTTTGTGTAAAAAAATCTGTATTTGTTTTATAATTCTGATTTAATATTTCAGATCTGTTTCATTTTGCTTAGTTTGAAGCAAATTAACAAATACAAGCAATGGTACAGACATTTAAATTAAGAAACCGGTAACTATTCATTTTAAAGGAAGACATTTTTGTGAGCAAAGCCCTACCTCACAAGTTAATTAATTTAATTAGTTATTTATTTATTCATTCCTTCCTTAATTCCAACAGGTGTTTCTGTTCTATCTCAGGTTCAGCTTTGGATTGAGAGGAATGAGGAAATAGAAGTTTAAGAATTTGGCAGGAGGCCACGAGGACAAATTGCTGCGAAAAAATAGATCCAACAAGTCACATGGTAAGATAATTAAATTTATAAAATAGACATAATTTCATTATGACCACACTCTAATCTGCTATGAATGTCATTTAGATATCAAAAATATGAATAGGATAGCTTTGCTCTTTCAGAAAAGAATGTTGTTTTTTAATACTTGTAATGTCCTTTTGAAATGACATTATCAAGCTAAGATACAAAAATTCCAACAATTGTTAAAAACAAAACCCATCTTGACAAACAAATAATAAAGATAGAATAGTTCCAAAATTATTTAAAACCAACAAACAAATCATAATGAAATTACAATTATAAAATCCCTTTATGATATTATACACTTGTTTCAAACTCACATGTGCCATGTCTATAGGCAGTAAAGCCAGTATAGTGAATTATAATTAGTGCCGTTAATAAACAAAACAGTATTGTAAGCTTGCAATCATTACTCATTTATTCGATTCAATAACAAAATTGTTGATTCATGTACAATTTTCGGCTGACCAAAACCACTTTGTGGAAAGGAAGTGTAAGATTAAGTAGAAAATAAGGGGAGAAAATCTCAAGCCAAAATCTAAGCAAGTTAGTGTGAGTTGTGATGGGAACTATATATCAGTTAACAAAATCATAAATCGCTCTTTTGTTGCTGTTACACAGATATGCAACAATTAATACCTTCAGAAAAAATCCCCACAAGTGATTTACTAACCTTAAAAATAAGGCTTATAAGGCACTGATCTTTTAAAAAAGTTAGTGAAATCTGTTTTCTTGGTCATGAAATTAAAATTTAAAATGAAATGTAGTTAAGCTTGATCCTCCCGCACTGCTGGATTATGCTGAAAGTTCAAGATACATTTGAGGAAAAAGTAGTTAAAAAGCTGCGGAGATTGGGTACTGAACAAAATTATAATGTTTTCCTATTCGCATCACCCTTAATACAGGGTAGACTGCAATCAATCATTTGTTATTGTTAAATTTGTCAAAAAAATCTGTCCAGTCTTGATGAGTGGTACAGAAAATTTTGAAATGCATTATTGTTTAATGATTTCATTTAATAAGCACATTTCCCCCCACATCCTAGCATTTCTGAAGTCGATGACTGCCAGATTTTAAAATACGTACTTCCATGCAAAAATTGTATCGAACACAAACATTGTATAAGTGTGTGTACCGATAATATATTAAATCTGCCTGGTATTCAGTTACAACACTTACCCTAAACAGAAGTACTTGCATTTAATCATTAACTGCACATACACAGCATAGCTAAGAAAGGAAATCGAAAATAAACTACATTATGAAACATGTAATTCAAATATCTTGATCCTAAAACGTTTTGCCTTAAAAAAAAAAAAATTGTACACTAAATGTAGATGGGTTAACCCTCCTATGCAAACACGCATTCTCAGCCATGCTCTTACTCGGGTCAAAATTAGTCAGGTGACCGTGTTTGACCCGTTGGAATTATATGCATAGAACAACATTATTGAACCATTTTGACTGCTTAAGTAACTAGTCATAAGAACAACTTGACCAATTGTGACCCGTAGAACAGTTGTTGATAATGAATATTTGCTGACTGTTATTAAGGGAATAAATGTGTGCTCCGGAGGTTTTTATCACTCGTTTAATACCGCTTGGAGTCTGGGTGCTGATAATTACCCGAGCCGGAGGCGAGGGTAATTATCAGCACCCAGACTCTAAGCGGTATTAAACAGAGTGATAAATACCGACCGAGCACATATTTATTCCCATTCATAAATACCTTATCCGTAAAAAAATATCAAATAATTCGTTCAAAAAATCCCGATTTTGTTCAACAAGTTCACTTCATGCTTTTTGAAACATCCCTCTAGCAAAATAATGGAGTGTTCAGCTGGCGATGTAAACAACCCTTTTATGGAGATTGACGCGCGCGTAACATGTTTTGCGCGATGTCACGCAGAACGCACCTGGGGCGTTGCGTTTTGAATTTAGAACTATAAAATTCTGACTCGCTTGTAGTGTTGCGCATGCCTACGTGAGGATTGTGAACGTTCAACCAATGAAACGGTAAGAGGCACTGGATTTTTAGGAGTCCACATTTTATTGTGACACTAGAAAAGTGTTTAAGACCAGCTAGCCATGTCTTTATCATCCGTTAAGACCGGCCACGTGACGGGTTCTCGACCAATAGGAATAGCTAAACTGTCAGGTATTTATGAATGACTCGTTAAAGTACTGTTATAGTCGGTAAGTTGCTGGTATTGACTGTTTAAAACATTATCCCTGTCACAACAGCTGTGGGTGCTGATTTGCTCTTGACTGTTTTTGACTTGTCAAAGTGCTGTCCACAGTTTGTGTCTGGTATTGACTGAAACATGATCCCTTTCACAACAGCTATGGGTGCTGATTTGCTCTTGACTGTTTTTGACTTGTCAAAGTGCTGTCCACAGTTTGTGTCTGGTATTTACTGAAACATGATCCCTGTCACAACACACAAGCACCCCCCCCCCCCATTTACAAAACAAAAAGAAACACCAGCAACTATTATCCTGCAAATTATCTGAGCCCCCCCCCCGAAAAAAAATCCCCCCCCCCAAAAAAAAAATCCATGGGAATATCCCACAGGTAGTCTCCAGTGCATTTACAATGACTAACTGCCCCACGGTTCAAAACCAGTCGACTGATATTAACCAACCTCATTGACTGTCCCACGTGTCAAAACCAGTCGACTGATGAGTCGACTGATTGTGACCCGCCTTTCATTGACTGTCCCACGGGTCAAAACCAGTCGACTGATTTTGACCCGCCTCTCATTGACTGTCCCACGGGTCAAAATCAGTCGACTGATATTGACCCGCCCATCATTGACTGTCCCACAGGTATGTAAGCAACCCACCCCCCCCCCCCCCCCCATTACAAAACAAAATTAAAAGAAACACCAGCATCTATTATCCTGCAAATTATCTGATCCCCCCCCCCCTCCCCCAAAACAAAGACCCCCCCCCCCCCCAAAAAACACCATGGGAATATCCCACAGGTAGTCTCCAATGCATTTACAATGACTAACTGCCCCACGGGTCAAAACCAGTCGACTGATATTAACCCGCCTCTCATTGACTGTCCCATGGGTCAAAATCAGTCGATCCTGTGGGATATATCTGGTGTATAGACCTGCATATTCTCCCAATTTTTGAGACTCTTGGAACAGTTTAAATACTACTACTAGTCAAATTTGTTTGAACTAGACAAACAAATTGCTGGCTGTAGTATATTATACAAATATTGAATGCTTCGAGTGGCGTAGTGAAACTAGCCTCCCGAGGTGATCCATGGGCATTCTATTTTCCCGAGGCGAAGCCGAGGGAAAATAGAATGCTCCATGGATCACCGAGGCAGGCTAGTTTTACTTCACCACGAGATAAAGCATTCAATATTTGTTTTATAACACTTCACCCACACATTCTGCTTGGTTTTTGAATATTTGAAATTATTTAAATCTGAACACAGTTGAAATAAAAATAAATTTCAATACAAAATTGGTGGAAAATATATTTCTCTCTTCCAAACTACCCCTTCACGAAATGTTTGAACCCAACTCTGCGGCACGCTCTCTTTGGAACAAAACGCGCAACGCGCACACCAGCATGCATTTGCACACAAATACCGCGCCGTGGATATAGTACATGTACTTTGGTTGCTAATGGTATAGTATTTTGGTTGCTACGGGTATAGTACTTTTGGCCGTGCACAGAAAGATAGCAAAAATAGACAGTATCATGTGACTTGCTCTCGGCCAATCAAGACACAGTATCTGTGAGTGAGGTGTTTTAAACATTCATAGTGGTAGCCAAACGGACAACCAAAATGTATTATATTTTCACTCACTATATGTCACTTACCATCAGCAGAAGAGCTATGCATGCATACACGCCACCTGGAAAAGAAAGCTGCTACTTTACAAGTCATCCTTCAAAATGTCTTTATCTTAATCTTCTCTATACATTGAATACTGATTTCCACACTGAAGGTGGATATAGACCTCCGATGCAGATGTTTATAATTGCGGCTACAATGATGTAACAGAGAGCATCATCATGATGCACTTTTGGCCAATCAAGAAAGAGAACACTGGTTGGGATGTTATTTAATGTTCAGTTTAAATCCTACAATGAAATGGGGTTTTCGTTGCGTTTTTTTTTCAACCTTTGATCACACACACGCACAAATTACTCTAAAACTACCTCGGGCAAGAAATTGACGATCCAATTGATACAAATCTGATGATAAAACTTCTCTGAATAGCCTCTGAATGCCATTTCGAAGGTTTTGAACCATGGAGCATTGTTATTATAGAATCATGACTGGGCATGATACCTGCATGGCAAGAGCATGTGTTTTTAGCTTCTGAATTTTCCCTGGAATAAAGATATTCACACAATGAGAAACCGTACCAAAACATACAGATATACCTGGGGTTTTTTTTAAATGCCAGTACAGTATTCTGTGGACTATGTTCAAATCCCTTTCAGTAAACAAAAATCACGATTTGATAGTTGATTACTGTAAAAAAGAAATACAGACAGAAATGAAATTGTACTCACCAATACGCCATACTGCATACACTACTATCGAGCAGACTAAAAACAAAACAAAAATAGTTGATTTTTCTTATAAATGTTAAGGTTGTGTAATTTTCTGTTAGTCATTGCAAGAGTTGCTGAAACAGTATATCTTAAGGAATAGACCTTTCTTAGGGTACGCCATTTTGAAAATCAAAGCGAGGCAAATAACGCAAACAAACATGGCCTAAATACTGTGTCACGGTGAGCGAGTGACTCGCGCAACGTTACAGCAGATTAACAATCTTATAAATGAGTGCATGGTAAAAATTCCCCCAAAACATCATGTATACTAGGTAGGTCATGTCTCATTGCATTTTCAAGAAGGATCTTATAATATCAAGCCTACCTGTGGCCGAACTGAAATTTCCGTGTACATGTAGTACATGTAGTACATGTAGTACATGTAGTACATGTAGTTAATAACCACCGCCATCAGCGTCAGACTTTCCGTAGCGTTTTCCAAAGTGGACTTCTGAACAACAGCAACAAATTGTTTGCACTAACTTTCTTGTAAATATACTGTACATATACAGTAAATGTATTGCAACACCTGGTTATTTTTCTTCTCACTTCTCAATAACAGTCCACACTCACAATTTCTCTATGCTTACTTTCAAAGTTAACAATTCTGGGTGTTACACCTCTGAGATTCAGTAAAATTAATCATTCATCACTTTCTCTTGCATTAAGGTCCAATATATTACTTGGACATTGATTTACACAAGATCAATTCTCTCCTTCCAATTTTGCAGTTAATGTTTTTGCTCAACCTTCATACTCCCCATTAGGGCGCCACCAGGAGGATATATGGAGCCTTTTTCCTTGGATATATATAGGCATTATTCTTTATTCATTTTTAAGCAATCTTGTTTCAGTTTTCACATAAGCAACAGCTACATTCTTTACCTATCCCTTTTAAAAAGCACTTTTCTGATACTGTGTATTTTTGGCCCTGTGCTGAGTGGAAAACAAAAGTGGAGTTTTGACTTCAACATAATCCATATCAAACTTAGTGAGTACATTTTTGATCTCGCACTTGACCCTGTCGTGATCATGGATCCAAAAGACGGTACAATCGTGGCTTCTATCAGCCTGAAATTGCCACCATAATACTGGCCAGCAGACCCACAGTGTGGTTTGCACAAGTCGAGGCCCAGTTTGCAACAGGAGGAATAAAGGCTGGGGGAAAACAAAGTATGACTATATTATTTCAGCCCCGACTCCTGAGGTGGCGCAAAATGTGAGGGATCTTCAGCTCGATCCTCCAAAAGAATGGATGCACAATGGTTGCAGAATGGATGCACAATGGTCTGCCAATGGTCGCCACGTAATAGATCCGTTCTGTTGCAAATTTTACCGTCAATCTGGGCGATACTTCTGCCTCCCTTGTGCCTCAAGGGTCGCCTAGGAGGTAGAAGCATGGCTGAATGGTCGACCAGTGATTGCCGTTGGTCACCGATGATGATGTCACAGAGGAGGCTCAATGGTTGCCCAATCATTGCTCGGGGGTCACCTATGTTGCCTATAATCGCGTTGGTTGTCGTAGGTTGCACAGGGGAAGCACAGGGGAGGTAGGCAAGTATGGCTCAGTGGACGCACAGGTTGCTCGTAGGTCGACATGAAAATGCCAGAAAATTGCAGTTTTGGTGGTTCAAGGGAGGCACAAGGATCGCTGGAGCAGTTACATAGAAACAGGATTTTCTGGGTTTAGGCGACCATTGAGCGTCCTGGCCATTCTTTGGTCGCTCATAGGTGGTACAAATTTGTCGCAGCCTGTGTAAAGGGGGCCATATTCATTCCCAAGTAAGATGTCCTCTTCCAATCATTACAATCTTCCTTGGATGGATAGATGGATCAATAAACGTACCATGCGACGTAAGCAGAGATTGTAAACTATAACAGGGCCAGGAGATCCGGCTGTGCAAACCTTTGGGAGGAGTTTAAACAACTCCGTCGTTCAATACAGCATTCGTTCATCATAATCATCGCTATGTAAGAGATTTTACTGGCGATAGCTTGTCTACAAATTATACCAAATCATTTTGGAATTCTGTGAAGTCTCGGAAACGAGAAATCTTTGGAGTAAGAACTCTTAATACAACACAGAGCATTGCAACAACATCTAAACAAAAAGCTAAGGACTAAACAAGCAATTCATATCAGTCTATACCGTCGAAGATAACCTCAACACCCCTGACCTTGGTGCAAGTAATATTGCTGAACAGTCAAATACCGAAGTTTCTACAGAGGGCTTTGAAAACCTGCTACATATTTTGGAACCGCAAAACGCTCCTGGTCCCTGATGGCATAGCCTATCACCTCGTATTTTAATTATGTGCCCCATGAATAGCACCCACACTAAGACGCATATTTCAAAAATCGCTTGGTACTCCTGCCTTCAGACTGGCGTCACGCAAATATCGTTCCGTTAATTAAGCAAGAGTGGTGACGGGGCTGCACCATCTAACTATCGTCACATCTCGCTCACATCAGTCGTATGCAAAGTACTTGAACACAATGTCGCACTATTATGGGTCATTGGGAAGCACATGAAGTGCTATGAGATAATAAACACGGGTTCCGCAAAGGCAGATCATGTGAGACGCGGCTGGTTGCAACAACCAATGACCTTGCTCGAGCATTAGATCAAAGAGGCCAAGTTGATTGTATAATCTTAGACTTCAGTAAGGCATTTGATAAGGTTTCACAAGCATCACCAATTGTTATCCAAACGTCGACACAGTGGTCTGCCAGAATCATTGATTTCATGGATGAGATGTTTCCTTACAAAACGAGCACAGCAAGAAGTCGATCATTGATGGAGTTTCTTCAGAGAAGGTCCCTGTTTTATCGGCAGTACCCTAGGGTTCAGTCTTAGAGAAATGTTTCTTCTGTATATAAATGATCTCCCAGACACCATCATGTCAACAGCCTGAGTGAGACTGCTAGCAGACGATTGTATCATTTACAGAAGGGTCGCTTCGGCAGAAGACCCAATCACTCGTTGACGGCGGGCTGCGGTGTTAACTTCTATAATTATGTACACGGGAAGTTAAGTTCGGCCCTACTGTTTTATACTCATGATCCTTCTTTAAAATACAATGAGACATGACCAACCTAGAATACGGATTGATATTTCGGGGGAATTTGAGCTAGATCCATCCATTTATGAGTCACTCGTTCACCGTGGCACACTATTTAGGCCGCCATGTTTGTTGGCGTTATTTGCCTGGCTTTGATTTTCAAGATGGCGTTCCCTGAGAAAGGTTTATTGCCGTTTCTGTCATGTTCAAGGGGAGCTGAACGTGATTTACAGGTTGCTATCCTTATGGATCAAATCCTTGAGTTGCAGTGCAAGTGATATAAAATGTCATTGTGTGCAGGCATGGGCTGAATGGCACTCCAAATGTGAAGTAAGTCGTCTTGAACTTCAGTCCACAGATAGAATAACCATCGGGCCTATTTGTACAGTGAACATTGCATACTTTGTTCACCTTCTAGGAAACTGGGAAACCTGCTTATTTTATTTAGCAGTTACGACTGAAAATACTTAAACTTAAAAACACTTACGCAGTATACAGCAAACTCCACCAACAGCGGCCCTGTGCAGGAATAAAATAAGGAGATTACATCATAACCACTACCGCCACTATCGAGGGTTTGTTATGTTTAAGGAAGACTACGGACAATGAGTTTCCTAAGGACCTTTAGCTGAGCCAAGTGCTCGGGAGGGTTTCGTGTACAATTTAAACATTATGGGACATGTCGATTACAAACAATAGGAACAAAACAAGGAACGATAAGGGGTTATCATACAAAGTACAGTTAAACACGACTGTGCAGTATGCACATTCAAATAGAGGACCTTAACAATATGGTCCACGATTGACCGGAGGCCCACCGTTTTGAGGTTTGTGCACAAACAAACATGGGATTTCTTCCTAATAAGTCGAAGTATAACAAAAGAGGGACTATTGGGGGTCAATGATTGAATGTGTTAACACACCAAAGTCCACACAATGTGGATCAAAGTCAACAAAATAGGAAACAATTAGACAAAGGACCAATGAGGACTTCTCAAGTACATGTATATTAGTACACACGAATGTACCTCTGAAGCAAGTTTTGAGGATTATGCAACGATTTGTAGACAAACCATTTCTTGGAGACTAACAAAACATGACAAAACAAGAGCTTTCTTCCAGTACAACTATGCACACTTATTCTTAATCTTACTCTCTTAACGTCACATCCTCATATGGATTTGTCGCAAGAAGAGATTTCAATTGCCTTAGAAGAGCCCTCTGCTCCAGTAGTACACTTTCTGCCCGTGCAAAATCTCCAGTTCTACAGAGCATCTCAACCTCATGTAAACCTGCTTTCGCACTTTTACAGAAGAAAACGGAAACAAGTAGTCATACATTTCAAGCGTTGTGTCTTGCATATTCACAATGAGACATTTTATATCACTTAAAATCTGTGGGTTTTTTTTCTCATCTGATTCACAAGGCAAGTCCAGCGCAATTGGCCGGGTGCATCAGATGCACGCAAAGAGACTGTACTTTACATCCGACAGGAAAGCTTACATGTCTCATTGCCAAGAAGTTACACAGGGCGTCTTCCATTAAGATGCAGCAAGTTGTCTGTTTTGCTACATTGTATATGGACAGGATATAATAATTAAACATTTATGACCTGGGACATGTTGTTTACACTATTGGTAGAGAATTTGTGCATGCATGCACTGACCGGCATTCTGCCTCCACACACATCTGGAGATTATTCCTTTGCAGCAATTTGGCTGCCTTTAAGATCCTCGCAGTCAACTGCTGCTGCTTTCCACGAATCGCTTGTCCTCTGGACCAATTGGGCCAAGTCTCACACTTTGCTGCAGCCTCAAAACGTTCATTACTGGCACAGTCTTTGTACTTCGGCCTTGTACTCCGATCCATTTGGATGGGATCATCTACAAATTTTAAGAGAAAGAGAATCCGGGAATTGTCATGCTGGCTGTCCATTTATGAATAATACAGCATTCATTATTTGAACTGTGTCACCAAACATTTGAAAATTCTTAACCCGCTGATCATGTTTTACAAGTTATTTAAATATTCAGTTACATGTAATGATCAAATATTTCAATATTCCTTATATTATAGATAGCCCTATTGAATTTAGTATTTTCCCACGTATTTCGGTCATGTGGTTCCTGGACCCAGCATGCTGGCCTAGTACCATTATGTATTAGCATACCATGATGACGTCGATTATCAAACTGTTCACGCATCTCATTCTCCGACCTGCTGGCCGTCGTGCTCCACTTCATTAGACTTGGATCATTCACAAATTCTAAAAGAAGGCACATTGAATTGATTATTTGTAAAGATATTTCCAATATTGGTGGAACCCTGATGAAGGTCTGTCATCATCCAGATGTCACCAGAACGGTCGTAAACAGATTTAGTAAATCGATGATAAAAAGCCGTGGAAAAAAATATATGGCAAGACAAAATTACTCTGGACTCACTATATTCTGTTACTACCAAGTTGTTAGAACGAAGTAGGTCAAGCATAGTCATGTTGCCTTCCTCAAAGATCCAGAGCCTGTTTCGTGCCCTTGTGGTGGCTGTGTACAGAAACTTGAGCTCCGAATTGAGGATCTGTACAATTTAAAGCAAACAGCACAGAATAAAAAAGGTGTGAATGACATTATTATCTGATGAAGAATGCACACAATTTCAGCTAATTGTTCAGCAGTGCCATGAAATTTACCTCTGCTTGGTGAGAGATCATCTTTGTGGTAGTAAGAATACTTCAACATTACTTCTAATAAATAACTCCCAAACAGGATACGGTAATAATAGTTCAGGGTTAATAATTTTAATTCCATTCAAAAAATGTAAAATATTTATAATGGACAATTCCACACCAAAGTGGACATGACACCAAAAAAATCAAATGCATGTGACTTAAACAAATTTGGTGTCAAATGAAAGCTTAAAGTCTATATTTTCAAGGTTTGAAGTCGGAATTTTATTTTTGATACATTTCGGTACCGGGCCTATGTAATAGTCCTGTTTTAATCCTAACAATGTGATTAATAGTGATATGAAAGTATTCTACCATTACACACACACAAATATTAACTCATGCCATCAATTTCTGTCATGAGAAAGTATAGGTCATGTATAACTGACTGAAACTTTTTTGACATTTTGCGTAATTTGTTTCGCTTCAGTGACTTCTAATACTTCAGCCTTCGAAAAAGTCCTTTCGTTACCGGAAAAAATACATATTTTTAATTTATTTTAGAAACTTGCACTATGAAAGCAATGAAAAAAATAAAATTCTGACTTCAAATCTTGAAAATATAGACTTTAAGCTTTCATTTGACACCAAATTTGGGTAGGGTTTACCCGTACATTTTTTGCATATGCCAGTGCAATAATTTGTGGCCGTTTTCAAATTGTAGTTTTTCCCTTTTCTTTTTGTGATCTTATTACTTTGAACAGTATTTCTTTGTTTTCTTCGGTTGTTTATTTGTTGTTGTGCTTGTTCCCCTGTTTTTCGGATTTGATGTGTGAACAAGGGTCCCCATTTAGTGGGCCTGTGTGCCTGTTCGGGGTTTCCCTTTTGCACCACATGTCATTTTAATATATTTGTGCAATGAAGGTAATAAAATAAAATAAAATAAAATAAAATAAAATAAAATAAAAATGAAAGTTATGTAAAGCAAGTTCAGGTAGGCCTTGAATATGACATTATAACTGACACTTGTGTACTTCTCAATTTTTTAATTACAATTAATTAAATCACGTCCTTCCGTTACCAAATTGGTAACGGGAGGACGGTAACGGACGGACAAATGTTATTTTCATCACATGTTACGACACTTGTGCTCATGTTTGAAAAATGAAAATCACTGCAAATACATGCATGTATAATGAGCATTAAAAGGACATTTATGTGACCCACCTTCACAAAGGTGGTATAAGCAGGGCAATGTGTTCATTACAAAGGATGGCACAGGCATGTACAACATGTACATAGATAATATACGGTACATGTATGTATGTCTTTGTACTCGTACATGTATGGAGTGGTTGCAGAAAATCAAATCATAAAGTTGCTACCATCACCATTCAATTTGGACAACAATAGGGAAAGATACAATTTCTGTGAATCAAAAATGAGATGGCAGAGAGTACTATTGGGCACTTTCCTACAATTTACATTTGTAAGACATGTGAGGTGCACTTTTTTTACAATTTATGCCTAAGTTAACACGCTCAGTTGGATGTTTATAAGTTAATTATTGTTACTACCTAAACATTGTTACAATTATGATTTCAAACATTGAATTTAAAGTTCAATTAAAAGCAACACCTAAACATTGACATTTTTCAAAGCATAATGATTCTGATGCAATCAGGTCTACCGCTAGATGTTTTTATCTTAAATGTAGGCTGGTTGCCCCCCCCCCCCCACCCCTTAGGTAAACCACTGAACCTACTTGGATTATTAAAAGTTGTCGGTGAACATGTTACCAATATACTCAAGTGTTCAAATACTGTGTATTATAACTTTTAATGATTGAGGTGATGGGTTTGAAGTCTATTTCTAGTAGTCTCGTGTTCGTGAATTATGTGGTTTTTTTTGGTTGTTTTCGTTTTTCATTTATTAGCATTAATTAGCAGGCACCTATCTTTATCTCAATAATTTATTGGGTATAATTATTTACGCCAGGTCTGCATATTGTTGATTTCACATTCAGTGACACATTTCAGCAATTTGTTTCACTTGTATAATTAGTGTAAATTCACATTTTGTTCATGCTATAATTGAGTAAACCTTTTGCCCTTCCGTTACCGTCCTTCCGTTACCAAATTACAATCCACTTAAGATGTTGTAATGATATTACCGAAACACCAAAATTGAAATGAAAGGTGGCATAGTATAGTTAAAGCTTCAGGGATTCCATTTCCTATCTTTAAAATAAAATTGCCCCATAAAATTCCAAGAGTTTATGCAAAACACATGTAAGTTGGAAAAGCCTTGTCCGTTTTACCGTCCTTCCGTTACCGACCTCATTAATATTCATAATTCACGAACGAGAGGTATTCATGCCCCCCAAAAGTGTGGAAATTGAAGGTAGCATTATAGCAACACAATGGTGACATTTGTTTGATGTAACTAATAACACTGTCTGTGATAAACACTTTTGAAATTGTATATAATTAGTGAAAACGTCCTTCCATTACCGTGGAGTTGCCCTAATGACATCGATGCTTTTCGGTTTTGTGTCTGGGTGTGTGGGTGTGGGTGTGTGTGTGGGTGGGTGGGTGTGGGTGAGTGTGCTTGTCTTACATACGCAGTGTGGACTTCCGAACAAAAGACGTCCACATAATGTAGGTAGCACCGACGTTGTGTGGACTTGCCCACGTCCACACAGTGTTTCCCCATTTCTGGAAAACAGGTTTAGAGGCATTTTTGGGTTAGGTTTATCCGTAGCAGAATGAAGAGAAACACTAAAGGGAATCATAGAAAAAAAATTGGGTTGAAAGAGTTTTCACAGTTTGAGAAAAATGAGTTTTTTCACTGGTTTTTCTTAACTACACGAAAGCAATGGAAAGTCCACACTAGTCATGTGAAACAAGTATGGGTGTGTGTGTGGGTGTGTGTGTGTGTGTTATGAAGCCATGTTTATAAGAGAGGGGGGAAAAAACAATATAAAACCTTCAGTTCATCACGATGTGCCCGATCAGTCGTGGACAGCTGATCTAGGTTATATTCCTCCAACCGTCTCCCTCGTTGATTGCTGCGGTTACGGGGTTTGAAGCCATTGACTGCTCGCCACTCCTTGTCAGCCTGGAAAAGTTGGACATTGTGCAACATGAAAATTATATTATGTAGAAAGAACCAATAAAGAGTAAACTTTAAATGTCCGCGGACGTCAGTGTGCATTGTGTTGATGAACGTAGGGTTCATACTCAGCCTTGTTCATTGTAAGTTGCTGAAAATATTGTCAGGAGGCAGTAATGCTCCAACTGTGGTTATTTCGAAGTGGCTCTACAGTTTTTGTCCAGTAACTATACTTCTACCTCTTAGATTGAAAAATCGTACACATTTTGAAGGACTAAAAGGCAATCTCACCGCGGGTGAATTCTTGAAGAAGTTGTATAGGATGACATCATTAAACTCCAACCCCTTGGCCTCATTTATGGTCATTACTCGGCACTTGTCGAAGACCGCTAGTGACTTCTCTGAGTCATTTCTGACCAAGATTACCTATTGAAGGCACAACATCATACCATAACATCCATATTCCATGGTTTTATTAACCTACATATCATCCTGTATACATCTTGGATGCCTTTGTAGTCGATTTGGTTTGTTTGTTTTTAATCACCTTCTATCGTGCACATTAATTTCTATTCCGAGCCACAGGAACCATTTTGATCAATGATTGGCACATCAGAGCTCATATTTTTACGAAGATATGCTGCCTTAATCTGCAAGTTAACCCTTTAGTATAGATGTCAGATGTGGCTACAATTATTTATATATAAAACAAGACAAAAAAAGTTAGCTGTAACTTCTAAGCCACTATGTTTTTCTAGTAAAAGTTTAATGATTTAAAGCTGTAGACTGATTGTAAGCTAAATGGAATTGTTCACTGTGTATTCATGTCAATTGTAAACAGGAGGGGAAGGTGCTTTAGACATAATCCATGATTTCCCATGAAGGTTGAATGGTATAATTTCTTCTCTCAGTAAGGACTTGCTGCGAAAGTACCCCTCGGTTTCCCCGTCCCCCATCCCTTCTCTTGGTTACAAAAAAGAGTAGGAAGGATTCGAAGGCCTTGCCATTATACGTCTGGTGCTTAATTATTACGGTGCATAATGTGCCATATTATACCTAAACCATTGCGTACACGCAATGTGCGGAGCTCTACAGCCAGAAGTCATGAAACGGCATCGACTGTTCACGCACAGAGTCCATTGCTTTCTAACCCTTCAGACTAGCGAAAGTTGCGTTTCTGGGTTATAATTACATCTAAAAACGTCCTGCTTGCCTCAGCTTGCCAATTCAAACATTAATAGCTGCAGGTCACCTTTATCGTGACTAAGATAAAGTTAGTGTTTTTTCCCAGGTGATTATTTTTGCTTTAAACGCACCTGATCGGCGCCAAACTCTATATCAGAATTCTCCTCGTTGTTTTTTACCAGCAGTGAGACAAGGTGTTTGACTTCGTAGTCGCTGAATACAGGGAGAGGGCCATCAAACAGGCCCTGATCAGGCTCCAGATGATCAAAGGACAAAGGGAAAAAGGACTCCAGCAGGTCTACCACAGTAGCAGCAAGGTCTAAAATGCCTTGGTGAAAGAAGGTCAGCCTAGTTTTTATTACATGTCATACATAATATGAGGAAAACATTGGTCGATATTCCAATGTCTATACAAGTCGCACATGCAGCCTAAGCACTATCACCCTTCCGGTTGGTAGTACCAGGGAAAATCTACATGATATACATGTAAAAAAAAGACCTTAATTTTGAAGAAAAGCAGTCCTTTGATGTGCAATCTAGGGTTGTGGAAAAACTTCATCGTCCAAACACAACGGTATATGATCAGAACGATGGCAAATTCTGTAAACTTTTTCGAGTTCTTCAGTCGACAGCATTTCAATACTTCAATTACAACTTACCACAGTGAGATCTGTAGTTGTGTGTGAGTTGGTAGACTTTCTTGGGTACAGTCACAGCTGGCTTGCCCTGTGCCTCGGCGGATTTATTAGCATAGTGGAATAGCGATTTAAGGTCCTTAAACCGGAAGGCAACTCCTCGCGTAATGCTCTGGGCTGTGTCCCCTTCAAAATTTGAAAAGCAGTGGGGTCTATTCAGCCAAGCCAGTAATACTTTGCATGAGGCTTATTGTGGTCAATTTATTCAAGTACAAAGAACTTGCCAGTGGGCTAATACTGCGCAGTGTAGGATTTGAGTAGAGCCTGGACGTTCACGGCGAAAATGCCCAATACTATAGCGTCAAAGACGAAATGCCAAATAAGAATAATTTAGCCGCTACCTAGATTTCGGAAATCTAGGTACAGGGTTGGAATATTAAAATGGCTTGAATTACATACATGTGAATTATGTCTAAGCTACAGATCTGCATTAAGCAATCAAGTTTGACTGAAGACCATTTATTGATAGTTGTTGATTCACGGCATGACAGATGACGTGCATCATCCTAATTCATATTTGTAAGCAATCTAGTCAGACGATGGTCTTACATCGTGAGGAAACTGTTGAGAATACTACAAATCGTGGATATGGCTGCATGCCGTTCCGAAAAGACAAGAAGTTATGCCATGGTTCCATTGAAGCTAGTTTAATTATAGCCTTGGCTCTCATCAAACTCGATTCATATGCAAAGCAACCACTTTACTCTACTGAAACGAGCTTTCACTTACCAGTCAGAAAGAGTGAATTTGGATCCTGTGCACTCTCTATCAACAGCGATAACTCAGCCTGAGTGAAATCTTGCGTCTCATCAACATAGAACTCATGGATGGCCCAATCTGGGGTTTTGACCTCACGCAAACGACGGTAGACATGAAACACGAGGTCCCCTTCATCAAAGAGATTTTTTTGCAGGAGTTCTTGCTGTGTTACAAAATAGAGCACGCATCAGTAAAAATCGCTAAAAAAAACAATAAAAAACAATAAAAAACCATATGTGATATATCGACAAGCCTCAGTACCAATGCTATATTGAGTAAGTAGGAACTTTAGAGCACACTCATGCATGGCACGGTCACGCAAAAAAAAAAAGAACTTGTATTTGCAACCGTCCACAACTCAGACTCCAGTTTCTTTAAGCAAGAATAATACAGGGTCCCAACACATAATTGTAACCAAAATAAAAGAACAGTGGTACAAACCTTATACAGCTTGAAGATGGTGTAGATTTCTTCCCTGTCGGTGGAAAAGTTTGGGGCCATCTTTTTGCCGAAATCCACATATTCCTCCAAAGATAGAAAGCCAGTCTCTGAATGGAGCGCCTCAAACGAGCCTGTTGACCCGAGTGTGACATTTAGCACTATAAGTAACAATGCAGTTACCCTCGGCAACATATGTCATCTTTCACCTGAAAAGTGTCAAACTGCCACAGATCGTTTCCAGACTTCGGAGAGTGACCCACGTTAGGACTCTGTCAACCAAACTGTGAATTTACCTTTGATAGAAGATGTGATTTCCATCCACACCAGTGACGGGTGACACTTCAACTTCTTTTTGTTGATGCGCGGCCACAGCTCATTGGCAAATACCTCGTAGGTGACCTCACTGCGTTCGTCAAACCTGGTCCTTTCTGCCAGGCCTTTCCGGTCTGTACGTTGTCCACCATGGATGTTGCCGAGAATGGAAGAATAAATATGCACATGTATGAAGTCAACGACCTGTAATGCGTCAGTGAACGGCAAACCCAGTAGTGACAAATAAGCTATAGTTGCGGTATACCTGCCGCAGTATCAACTTTAAACCAGACGTCTTCACTAGTAATTAAGTCATGGTTTTACATCCCAACTATTAAGCACGTCCCAACCTCTACTTTGTCAGGCACAAAATGATAGCAGGTGATTCGACTTAAACATCACAGCTTACAGCTATGAGCTAATTATTTTCACCTCATCTCTCTCTGTCAAATTTTGATAATGCAGCTTAGAGTAAACACAAATCATTGTAACTTGAGAAAGTTTTTTACCCAATTCCTCTAGTGGTGAACCATCAACACCTTCTGGGAAAAATGGATTCGGCAACGAAGCGTCCAGAAGCAGAAGGAACTGGCGAGAGGTCAGGAATAAGGGGAACTGCGCCTGATGAACATCCTGGAGCTGGTGAGGGATTGGCCTGTCTAGCTGGGCCAGGGCCTCCTTAGCAAACTGACAACCACGGATCATGTTGCAGAAGTTTCTCCGAACCTCACGGCAAAGTTCAATGTTCTTGGTAAGGAAGATCTGATGGAGATGGTCGTACTTACTGGACACATATGCCTCTGTATGCGTGCATTAATGTACAAAATACCCATATTGAAAATCAAATATTCTGTATCACTCATGTTATTGTCTGCAATCTCGTTCGCACACTTGAGTGTATAATTCACACAAGTGTCTGCAACCTCATTCACACAACAGAATGCATCCTCATTCACACACAAATAAGTGTATGTAACCTTGTTCACACAAAATATTTTTAATATCTCATTCATCCATCCGGTCATGTTTACTAATGAGGACTCTTATGGTTCCCTAAGCTTCTTTTGTCCCTAATATTTGTACTGTAACTTTTCTCAACAACGGTCTAATAAAGCCCGCCGCACACGAGAGCTACGTGCTGAGCAAAAAGTCATTCGGGGCTGTTTGCTCAGCACGTAGCTCACCATGTGAAAGCACATTATTCTTGTTTGTCGGTCGCGTGATTTAAAAAAATGGGGACATACGCCAGCAGGCTTTAGAAGATTTGCACAACTTGAACATCTCAAACCACGTGTAACAGAGTACGTGATTGGCTAGTTAATCTTTTGCACGTAGCTCAGTTTGACCGTACACGGTGAGTTTTTGGCCTCGCGAGGCGAAATAAATTAAACAGAGGATATGTATTTGCCTCACGGCCTTGTGAGGCAGAATTAAAGCAAAAATCCCCCGCACACGGGGATATTTTGTGAACTACGTGTTGAGCAAACAGCCACCAATGACTGTTTGCTCTTGGGTTTGATCACAAAAACCTTCTGAGAACTTGGGCTCAGGTCCACAGTCATTGTTATCGCAGCTACCTATTGTCCCCAATCCTCATAAAAGGATAACAAGATCAGGTAAGTATACATGACCAATTCACACAAAGTTGTGTGCAACCTCCTCATTCACACAAATAGAAGTGTATATGGTGACCCTGGCCTGAGAGGCATGACCAGATGTGTCTATCCAAGATATCAATGGAAAGCTTACAACCCACACTTTATGATAAAACCATAATATTACGGTTATAAAGTTCATAGTTTGTTCAAATTATCCTTTTGTATTTGTTTTACCTTTTTGGGACACCCCTGTACAACCTCATTGGCACAAATGTGTGCAATCACGATCATGCATACACACAAGTAAAAGAACCAGGCTCATTCTCGCAGGTCAGGAGTATATCTCAATTGCTGTGATGAGATGCGTACAACTTTATCTTCAATGAATTATTGTATCAAATAGTACTAATATCAGTGTCTTTCTGCAATTGAGTTAAAACAAAGAATACTCTGACTTCCACTGGATGGAGATTCTAGAGAAGTTATTCAGAATATCTGATACACTGGCCCCCACTGTGGATAAACCTGTCCGCATCTCATCCTAGATATTCACCATGAGATCATTGAGATGACTGTTGTGTATGCAATATGCAAACTCTTTCATATTATATACTACATCTGCTTTGTGGAAAACACCATACAAGGATTTTACCTGTGTCGTCTTCTCCCCTATCTGGATGGATAAATCCAGAATCTCTCGGGATCCAGGGTCCTTCAGTTGTTTTTTGCCAATATTTGACAAATGTCGTCCACATGCGATAGAGACAGCATATAGTTTTACCTGTGTTAACACAACTTCATTATATTAGTACAAATTTGAAAGCAGACACATCATCGACCATTACAAGAACATCTTATTTTATCATTTATGCAAAACCAACTGTATTCTTGGATGCAGCAGTCGTCAGGGTTTGTCCCCCGAATTGTTAGAGGTTCGAATCCAGCTACTGGCTATATTATGTGTTGACCTTGGGGAAACTGTTTTTAATTCTTTCTTAGAGATTCGACTCCGACTACAAGGCATTATGATGTTGTCATTAGGCAAATACACTGCTTTTAACCCTTTCTTAACTCATTGGGGATGGCATCCCATCAAGTTAAATGCAATTTCTCGCAACTGTTTCCTGGCAAGGAAAATGGATATGAACACTGGCTTAGGAGCCATCATGGTTTGAAACAAATGTTTATTATTTGGCTGTACTGTTCTTGTTGTTGTTGTTGTTGTTGTTGTTGTTGTTGGGAAAGGATTTGGCTACCACTACCACACCGGATTACCTGTCCCGCTTCGGCCGAGAAGCAGTATTGAGGATGGTGGTTCTGGCTGGAGGTTGATGATGGCATGCTCCAACTCCGTCACTCGGAAGGGAAACTCTACTTCGACTTGGCTGTCGTTAAGCGCAGCATTGACCACATTGGATGTGAAAGAATAGAACTTCATTATGTGCTGGTCGGTGGCAGGAGGAAACCACTGCATCTCGTGTTTAGATGTCGAGGACTGACATTCCCGAAAGAGAGTAGGGTGGCGTACTTTGTTCCCTGTTGCAGCCTCTGGAAGTTTGAGTTGTGAACGGTATAAGAAATACTTAAATAGGAGCTATTCCACAATGCGCCACTATAGCATCTTTAGGAAAACAGTCACAGTGACACACTCAGGGTCTTTTTTTTTTTTTTTTTTTTTTTTTTTAAGTTTGTCAGTCTTACAGGGTCCTGTACTTGGGGATTTTGGGTATTAGGGTCTTGAGAATCTTGGGGAGCTCGGTGTCCTGCAGCCTTGTAGACTTCAGGGTCTAAGCGTCTTGGGATCTTGGAGGTTGAGTCTTGGGATCTCGGGGCCTTCAGTTACACCACTATTATCCTATAGCATGCATGATATTTAGACCTTCATAATAATTCGTAGACAGTTTGCCAGTTCTAACCTGCAGCTTTTCTTTTGGTGATTCCAATCAGATTTTTGCGGATCCTGCACCCCTTGCCTCGCTCCAACTTCTGTGTGATGACTTCAATGGCATGAGACACATTGGAATGGTCTAGTACGATATCCCATATTCGAATAACCTCAGAGTAGCATGCCTCACCAGACGCAGTGCCTGCAGATTAAAAAAAGGCTCTGAAAAATTCCACTGAAAATGGACAACTCAAATTTAACTTGCATTAATTAGAGGAATGGCTTTTTGCAATACAAGAATGCTGCAATAATGATGAATAAACTCGGCTGAAAACCAACTATTTCAGGCTCCATAAGTTCACAGGTAAACTTCAAACTAAGACAAAATTGCCAACTTAAAGCCAGTTTAGTACTTATTAAAAGCATCTTTTCAAACTCACTGTCAGACAGCCGTGGTGAGAACATGACCGCCAGCTCCCACAGCAGTCGTCCGCCTTTGGTCAGCTTGGCTTCATACAGTTTAATGTCATATTCCTGAGGACGGCCAACCAAAGGCTTGCAGAGTTTGCGAGGCCAATAGCCACTGGCTAACGTCTGGATCTTCCTGATAGCAATTTCCTTGATACCATGGGGAACTTGCTTACCCACAAGCAACTTCCAAACCTTGGACAAAAGCAATGGAGCCTCAGAATTGTTAAATAAACATTTTAAACTGTCTCCTGGATTTTCCACTATGTGTACACCGTACCACCGAAATATATGATTTTGTATGATGTATTTATATTATGTGGACACTGAGCACAGCGTTGTTGCTAATCAAGACAAAATAGAGGAATGTACAGAAAAGGTTGAATTTGAATTTTTCATACAGGACTGGTGATGTCGTCAAGAGTCAATCAGAATCATGCTGGCGTTTGTCTCAATCCGTCGCAGGTTTATCTCCCCAGTCAATATCAGTACACCTTTTTGATTGGTTGAGAGTGGCAAGCGTGGGTGATCGTGGCTATATTAGCTTACCAATGGACACAACATATCGGCCAGCATCTGGATTAGTCTTGCAAAACAACCTGACGTTTTAGTGAAAAGAATGACTATCATAAAACGTTACCCTGTGATTTCACAGGATTAAAGCGACAGAAGAATCACTGCATGCCGAATCGACAGTGCGTCAAGCTTACAAGCCTAAATCACCCTATTGAGGCAATCATGCATGCATGCATGCATGCATAATCATGTGTCCCAATGATACTAAATCCCCAGATGCCCCTAACAATGAGTTAACGGGAAAACATTATGAATCAATAAAATCTTGGGGAATGTAAGGGGACATCTAATCAATATTTCATCCGTTTTTATTTGATGAAAGGACTGAGGCGAGCATCATGTTCATATTTGAAGGATATTTGCCACGACAGATGTTCTGTTGTTTTCCTATACTGTGCATCCATTTGAGCAACTGCGAGTGTTAATGCATGCATTCTCACATCACTAAGCCTAAACGACGTTTTAGGGGATACGCACCAGTCCTAAATTCTGTATGACTAAATTCTGTTTGACAAAAAAAGGTTTAACTTCTACATGCTTTCACGGATTTTGATTAAACTTGGATGTCGCGACCCTTGGGTGCGAAGACACAATTCTTCATTGGATTACTGACGTCGAAAGTCATGTAGCGGTCATTAAAGGTTATTGTTCAAATATGCTTGAAATGTTCTTTGTCTACATAATTGATGGATTTTTAATGTAACTGGGCAGTGATCCTTGGGTTGGGTCACAACCCTTCCGAGATTTGAGGTCAACGGTCATCTAGGGGTCGCAGGGGTCGGTCGTTTTTACACTTTTTTTTTTTAAAGAACATAAAACATAGGGATCGACTGCGGAAAATGGCGACACATGCGATCCGCGGACCACTTGTTATAGAAGCAAAAGCATAATAATGAAAACGCACCTTTGCGGTACACTCCACCTCCCAGATAAGATGGTCAAAGACACTTGTATCAATTGCAGGTTTACCATGTTTTTCCTTGCGGTTCTCCTGCACGTTTGCAACTACCGTTTGGAAACAAGGGATTAGGGCAAAACAGTGTAAATGAACTTGCTATGATATGCTATGTACCTCAGCAAGATTTAGTGAAAGCGAAGCAAATTTCATGAATATAAAGTAAAGTTTCTTTGTGCGAATTCGCTCTGCGATGGAATGTGCATGAAGTATGTCTATATAGTCTGCAAAGTTTGGTGATGAAAAAGGCATTTTCTTTTTATTTTGCTACCAGAATTCATTTCAATTGTAATTTTGTTGAATCCAAAGTGTGACTATATATGTATTTAGGCCTATACTGAACTCTCTTTTGCTTCACTTGGACATTTGCTTTACTCTAGTTACCTTGTGATTGTTGTTGTCTCCTCCACCCTTCCTCCTTCAACTGCAGTCTCTTCTCTTCTACTTCCTCCTCCTGTTGTTTCTGACTCTCCCTCCCTTCCATTTGTCATAGCATGTAATGCCTCTTTTGATATCTATTCTTGCCTTCCGTTACATTGCCCACCTCTGAACAGTCATGCTGTGCAATTTATCTATTGATCAGTTTAACACATCATCAAGTAACATTTTTTTATATATATAAAAGAGACTTCCACATCAAGAACCTTAAAATGTAAGGAATTAAGGGTAAACTTGTCCCCTCCTGAAAAACAAAACTGTGGAATTTGAAAAGGGGAAACAACAGATGGTCAGTATATGGTGCACCTCAGCACGATGCACTGCTGTGTAATAAAATAATGAACAGTTCCCCAGCCCCAAGGCAAAATTATGTCAGCCTCTACCTCCACCCCCTCCCCATCCCATTCCGATCCCAGCCCCACCAATGGCAGTAGATGCAGATGGACAGATGGAGACATGAGAGAGCTTATATATGCCCCCGTGCTTTTCATATTAACAAAATACATTTTTTTTCTCCAAACGAATTCCATTGTGTAAAAAAAACACTATCCTTTTCCCGAATTTTGGAGTCTATAAGTATAACACTCTGAAAACAGGGCTGTCATTTTACGCACAGGCAAGTGAACCCCGCCTAGCTATAGCCCCATTCTATGGCCGCTCCATAAACTACTGAGTTTAGAGCGGCCATAGTTTATATAGAACCCGCCATGTGAACTAATAAGAGCAAAGTATTATTATTGTCGGGTTGCAAATGATTCGAATTTGGTAAAGAAATAATTAATGTCGGTGGATTTTTTTCGTTGCATGTCTCATTCGAAAGTGAATAACTTTTTTTTAATTTCTAGACAATAGCAAAGGACTTGGGGCGGGGCATGTTTCGGGGTGAAACTCAAAATAGCACTGTGCACGGGAATCCATTACGAATACGATCCGTCCAAATACCTACCTCGATGATGGCGTCCCCTTTTTGATGTATGTTATAAGCTCGGCAACCTTGGCTTTCAGTTGAAAACAAATCCTCGGTAAAACACATGAAAAAGAAACTCAAAAAGTGGCAGACCTCCAGCGCGATCCAGGTACTGTAAAATCTTACGTTCAGGAAGTTCTTTTAGTTCCGTGTGTATAGGCCGCGCAAAGATCGTATAAAGGGGATCAGGAAGATCGGAAACTGGTATATTTTTGTACAGTGACTTATGAAACACGATGACGTCATTAAATTGGATCACGGGGAAGGGCGCCCATAGCGTTGGGTATGTAAACGCGTGTGAGGCCTGAGAGTACGCAGAATCTTCACCTCATGCACTCCGCTGATCCGCGGGGCCGGTGTAAGAAGAGCGGGATTTTTATTGATGAAAGAGACAAACTGTTTTTAAAAAGATGATATAAAGGAATAAATAATGAACGAATAAATGAATAAAAGGGGGATAACTAGACTTGTCAGTGAAAATAGTAACATATGTTGAGATTTACAATTACATGTACATGTACATGTATCTTATTGGGCGAGAGCGGGCGATGTACGGTAACCAATAATAGTGGCGATTGCTTCAAAAGTCCACAAAATGTCCTAAAGTTGTTCATTATTCAAATATAAAAACCAGATTCATTTTTTTCGCCTTCAAATAAAATACATTTCATTTTTAAAATTAATTATGAATAAAATCATCTAAGTATTGCTCATAACATGAATAGAATGCTTGTATGACCCCCTTCAATTTTTGACGCTTTGAGTAAGTTGCACAATACAAGCGCTGTACAGGGTACGTCTTACTTAGTGAATAGAGCAATTCTGCTTGTTACCTACCTAACGCTAGGAGCGCCCTTCCCCATCATGACATCTGAGCAAGTACTTCCTGTTTCACTTTTTTTCGGCGGACTGTCCGGTATTCCCCTGTATCCGGCTCGTTAAAAAAAAAGTCATACACGCGCGCACCACTGATTACTAGCGCCCATTGGCTGCAAACGCTGGTTCCAATCGTGCAGAAAGTGCTGGAGGTACCGTCACACCATGTGTTTTATTTCTCCATGGTCACACTAACGAACCGGATACTATAATAATTCCGCGCTTAGTACGATCATGGTACGATGACCGCGGAAACTAAAACTTGGAAAAAGACGTACATGTATTTCCGTCAGTAGACTGGTTCCCAGTCCCTCCATTGCCCTGACTTCGAATGTAGGGACAAATAGCGGGTAATAGATTAGGAAGTACATTATTTCCTCCTAGTAGTGCAAATTATATGCAGGACTAGCTTAGGTCTGATTCCCGCCCCCTGAATACAAAATCACAACGACATTTCCACCCCTGAAAATGAACTAGTACAGAGCAGCTCCTCTAGTACAAAATGGCAACAATACTACCACCATTGATCTCCATATATCAATGGCTACCACTGTCACGCCCCAACTATCGCATCGGTCCCAACTATAGTTGGGCCTGTCCCAACTATAGTTGGGACAGGCCCAACTGTAGTTCCACAGTTGGGCTGGCCCAACTATAGTTGGGCCTGTCCCAACTATAGTTGGGACGGTCCCAACTGTAAATTCCATTGTTGGGCTGGCCCATCTATAGTTGGGCCACTCCGATCTTTTTATTTTGCGGTGTCCCAACTATAGTTGACATTGATGTACAACCATAAAACGTTCCCTACAGCTCTGATACACGTCTGACTTTACTGGGGACCACTGAAATTAGCTATTGATGGGGCGAATCTATAGTTGGGCCATCCCAATCTTTTTATTTTGCGGTCCCAACTATAGTGTACATTGTTGTACGATTATAAAACATTCCCTACAACTCTAATACACATCTGACTTTACTGGGGACCAATGAAATGATCTATGGGTGGGGACCATCTGTAGTTGGACCACCGCAATATTTTTATTTGGCAGTCCCAACTATAGTTTACAACTGATGTACGACTATAAAACATTCTCTACAGCTCTTCTTACATTGGCTTACATGTCCGACTTGGGACCTTTGACATTAGCTATGGGTGGGGCCCATCTATAGTTGGCCGGCCATGGCAATATTTGAATTTTGCAAAATGTTGCTGGATAATAAAACCCAGCAGCTGGACAACTCGTCCAACTAGGCAGTACCACGTGACCGGCCAGCCTTGCGGCATGCATGCACGACGAATACACGGTGCCAGCGCCGCGGAACATTTAAACAACAAGATCTATCAAGCATGAAGCATCCGGCGCAACTCCAGTCCTAACTATAGTTGGGCCGACCCAACTGCCGCACTATAGTTGGGACAGTCCCAACTATAGTTGGGACCGATGCGATAGTTGGGGCGTGACACCACTAATGTGCAGTTGTTAACGACCTTCGATCGCAGCCTCGACTCCAGGGGCGCGTGCTCGTTCCACACAACATGGAGAATGCATACACTAACCCCTGGCTGTGATGATGACGTAATTGACGCTGAATGGCTATTCACAGCGTACTGCGCGGGCATTTCGAAGATTGCACGCCGGGCGCGCCCATAATGCGCTCGCACTCGCGTGTTTAGCTTTACGTCACGTACGAAAAAAAAAATTATGATTCAAAAGTCGCGATGCCTGTACGATATGGATTATGTCAGCCGTGTTTTTCGCTAAAAAAAACCCCTGTATCTGTGGTTGTAAATTCAAAGGCACGAAAGGGGTACGTACATTTAATACAAATCTTTGCTAATTAACACAACGTCCAAACGTTGTGTTTGAAAGGATTGATTCATCAAAATCACAACTTTTAACATTTTAAATGTGGCGTCGTCATGTAAAACAGATAAACTGCAGCCCTAATTATAATATAGGTTTTCCCGGCTATTTTAACACTTGTATCACACGAATTTCCTATATCGATACATTTATTTCGTCCCCAAACATCGCCAAGCTCACTTCTCAATTTGAATTTCAGAAAGCCACCCCTAGATTTCATTTAAGGTTCAGTATAATTCAAATTGTTAGCATTCCGATTCGTCCAAAATCTTTGAAATTCGTCTCGTGAAGCAATCGGCGTTGAATTGAAAAAGCAAATTCGTTTTTTGTCATTCGTTTTAATGTTCTTGTCGTTACATTTCGTCTCTGGTGACTTAAAACGTTACGGTTAAAAATGTGCCCAATCTTTGGACTTGTTTGCGCATTAATGAAATTTTAATTTTTAACAAATATTCATTACTGGACCAAGCCCAGTCTAATGTGGCTTTCGCGAACCCGTGAATCCCGGGTTCGTATTCATGAGCCCCCTACTAAGATAATGGCTATTTAATCAGTTGATGACCATAAATATGTTCTTGATAAGCACTCAGGCTATCCCCAATGTATATGCGTCTGTTGTTTAGAGCCAGCCTGCCTCCCATCAGAATTTGAGTGATGAGTGATGCGCCAGTTAAGTGCTGGAAAGCTACCAACAGCTAAGAAAGCCACTTTAGACTGGGCTTGGTCCAGTAATGTTTCCTTATAAATGAAAGTATAGCTGTACGTTTTGAGGTTTTTTTTACAATTAACATTGAAATCAGAAATTGAACTTTCACAATATGCTCTTTGCTTTAAATTAAGCATTAAGATCAAACACTTTCGTAATGTTGCTCTTTGATATATGTTTATGAATAAAACAACAGAAATAAGGTATGATGTCTATCAAAGACCAACATTAAGAAGGTCTTTGAACTTAATGCTTAGTGTCCATGTCATAAGTGCATATTGTGAAATGTCAATTCCTGACTCTAATGTTAATTGTGAAACACAGAAATAAAAATTCATACCTTACAGCTAACTACTTTTATTTATACATATAAGGAAATGTATGTTGAATTATTATTGTTTTAATACGCATAATATTTCAAATAAGTCTAAAGATTGGGCGCATTCTCTAATCGTATACGATTTAAGTCACCAGGGACGAAATGTAACGACAACAACACGAAATTCGAAAACGAATGACAAAAAACGAATTTGCTTTTTCAATTCAACGCCGATTGCTTCACGAGACGAATTTCAAAGATTTTGGACGAATCGGAATGCTAACAATTTGAATTACACTGAACCTTAAATTAAATCTCGTGGTGGCTTTTTGAAATTCAAATTGAGAATTGAGCTTGGCGATGTTTGGGGACGAAATTTAAGTATTGATATAGGGAATTTGTGTGATACAAGTGTTAAAATAGCCGGGAAAACCTATATACCGTATTTTGGTATATTTAAATTACACAATTCCAGGGGTTATGATCGCGCAAGGCATGATGGGAAACAACATGGCGCTGCAAGATCGTACCCACGGGGCACGAGGTTGTTATGATCGCGCAAGGCATGATAGGAAACAACATGGCGCTGCAAGATCGTACCCACGGGGCACGAGGTTGCGATTTTCGCTTAATTCGGAAGTGTCTCTGACACTAAAGAGAGGGACAAATACTTGTCAGTATTTGAAACCTATGCAGTTGAAATGCTTGAAAGTTGCCTTCGTGCAGAGACACTGGCGATTTTGCCTACTGGTTTATATAGTCAGTTTTTGATAGCCATGTGTTCAATGTGTCATAATTTATAAGCATGCGCAAACTGTAAACATCATTTTTGCAAAAAAAAATCATGCTGCGCACGCGCAGAGGTTGAAATTAGAACTTTGCTTGAAATGGGAACTAGCAATAAAAAAAACCCCGAAATTTAATTTCGACCAGTCTCACCGCACCTGCAGTTTGAATTACCCAGATGGAATATTTTGGAGGTTCACCAACCAAGCACAAGTAGCTATCGGTCCCCAAAAAATTATGGGAGCGCGCGGGAGCGAGTCTATTCCGTCAGTAACTTTTAAAAGGCAACAGAGGGCGCTATAACATTTGTAGCGCCCTGAATAATTTCGTATTTGAATCATTGATGCACGTGAGTTTTCGTGTAAATAAATAATATTTCACATAAATTTACAAAATGAACATATGACCTAGTTTTAGAGAACAGAGTCCTGAAATCATTTGGCAAAAATAAAAAAGGCTTCGACTTGGTTCGAGGTCGGGATGTATCGTTGATGTATTTGAGTTGCATTGCCAGACATTGGCATTGCATTTACACTTCCATTGCACAATGTTGATCATGATACTGATAGTAATAAATTAATAGTATTAAACGTGGCGCGGCCCCCATCTTGGCGCACTTTGATTTTTCGCCTGTAGCGCCTACCTAGAGCAAAGGTTTTAACTGAAATTTCACAGAAAGTGAAATTTCATCAAGTTGTAAACACTCCTGTTCATAAATCGCGCATCGCGAGTGTAGGCTATTTACCCGTAACAAAGTTAAAAGAAAAAGTTATTTTGGCGTGATTTTCCGATTTTGTTTTCAAGTGCAAAGTGAACCCATTGAACATGTTGAAAATGCCCCGAAATTGGCAATTTTTTAATAATTTTCTGACAAACATCTGGCTGGGTATGTAAGTAGAGATCGTAATTATTTATCAGAATGTATCAAGTTTACAGACTTTCTAAAATGTTAATTTGGAATTTTCCGAGATTTATTCAAGTGCGCCACGTTAGGGAACACTCCGCTAATTTGTGCCCAATTTCCGGACGCCACGGTTTTTGAATTTCGGATTGAATTTTACCAAAATTGTTCACAGAGGTTAAATAGCAAGCATTAATAAGGTAAAAGTACTAGTCTTTTACTGCATGAATTTGAGGTTTGTCAACAAAGAGGTTTGGCAAAACCACACGAGGCCAAGTCGGGTAAGCTTCGAAGTGCGCCACGTTAGGGAACACCACTATATTCCTTTTTACAAATACAATGTCATGAAATGATGAATGCCGAAGTCGAACTTGAACTTTATTGCACATGTTGCATGATCTGTGAACGTGGCATTTGCACAACGCCACAGTCCGTCCTCACGTAGATACACTCATTTAGTCAGTTGTTTTAAATTTTGGTGAGTCTTTCAACCTTATGTAAGAACAGGGTCCTAAAGGTAAGGATTACCATAAAAATGTCTTTTGTTATATGGAACGGGGTCCTTAACTACATAAGGCCTACATGATTACCCTTAAAATATAGCCAGTCACTAGACCCACTAACTGGGGCACTAGTAGAACTTCTTTTTTGACGTTTGGGATGTGGTCTGTCGTACGAGTTGGGGGAGACCTAGACTGGTTCCTGGTTCATCCACTGCGTATTTCGAATGATCCAAAGTTATTGGAGGATGGGGATTAGTCTGGGAGACCATCACAAGTTAAATTCGAACGCATTCGCGCGCGACAACGCCTGACGCTCACACAAAGACAATGTGGCTAATAGGTTTTGCACATCAGGCAGTCGTGCATATTTTGCGCGCGAATCGGTACAGTAGAGAAAGCTCACGCTGTGTGTCCTGTCCTCAGAGCTCTCAAAAGTGGTAAAAGCACACCCTCTTTTGTTGGCGCACAGAGCCCATAGGCTCTCAACTTTCAATAGTAGTGAAAGTATGCAAGTAATTTTTCATTTAGATTTGGCCCACCAATCTCCCACCAATGCCAACAAATGTTCTGCTTCTTCTTTTTAGCCGTGTGAAGTTCACATACGGATGCTATTATGGACAAACCACTTCACATTTGCTCACCGCTGCTTGAGAGTCTGCCCATGGCCAAAGTAGCAGGCTGCAAAGTCTTCATCAAATGCGACAACACACAGCCCTCTGCTTCATTCAAGATAAGGGGCATTGGACACAGGATACAGAAGGTACATGTAGTTGCACATCAGTTTCAAGTCAATCATAAGAATATCACAATAATCACAAATTAGTCCCAATTATAGGTCAATCACTATTAAACAATCACTACAGTCAATCACACGTCAGTGTCAAGTGAATCACAAGTTGTAAAGAGACAGGACTTTTGGAATGAATTACGAGGGTAGTCACAACACAATATTGCAAACAATTGTAAGTCAATCACAAGTTATCCAGTTTGAGCCATGTTAATGAAATGTGTCAAAAACATTCATTTATTATACCTGTTCCCAGTGTTACTTCTGTCATTATTTGAATTGTGAACGACTCTCCCAAATTGACCGTTTTGTTGTGTAACTTGTGTATTAAATTTTTCTCAACATCCACTCACATTAAAAGAATGCAGTAACCCAAAACAAGATTAGTTATTTCCAATAACCAATTCAAAACTTGAGTCCACTCACAACCCCACCCTTCTCGTATTTTGCTACTTGTCTACAATTTGTGACAAACCTTGACAATTGTAATATTTTTCTTCCATTCCAGGCAATAAAGACAGGAGGGAAACACATAATCTGCTCATCAGGTATCAGCAGTTTGAAAACTTCTAAGTTTGTTATTCAAGTGTAACCAATATAAGTACAGAATTCAGTTTTGCCAGGTTTCCAGGTACAAATTTAAATGTACGTGTAAAAAAGCACACAGCCCCACATGTATTTAACTGAGCATTGTGCTTTGCACTTTAATTTCTTTGGGGGGGGGGGTGTAGGGGATGGGGGGAGACTTGCAACCCCCACGACATTTAGTCTTTGTTTCTCAGAAAATGAAAGCCCTTGTGAGGTGTACATCATTACTACCAGTGATACGTTTCCTGCCTTTTGCCATTATTTACTTAAACAATTGAAAAGGGGGCCTCTTTTTTCTAACCCCCCCCCCCCCAACCCAAAATCTGGCAATGTTGCTTTAAAAAGTGAAGTTCGGTGCGTGGGTTATCACATTTCTTTTCATTCTTGCAGGTGGTAATGCGGGCGTTGCCGCAGCCTATGCAGCCAGGCAGCTAGGCATGCCTGCCACCATCGTCATCCCAGAGAGCACCCCGACATTTGTGGCGGACGGACTGAGAGACGAAGGAGCGAACGTGATTGTTCATGGCAAGGTAAACGTTTCAGAACAGATCCTCAGAAAGCCATGCCACTGCTGTGCCGAACACAATTGAGCTCGGCAATACCTCAGCTATAATTTAACTTGACTATAGTCTGGCGGTGGCAAGAAACAGCCTGCTTATAGTCGGACTAAATCCACTTGAACTAGATTACAGTGGTGTGAACCCGAGAAAGTTTATCATGAGAATTTGCCATCGTAAAATGCAGACCTATCAAGTGTCACGCCTGTGGCATGCAAGGGCGGATCCAGAACACAATTTTGGGGGGGGCCAAAATTTTTTTTTGTTCCCCCCAAAAAGTGGGTCAAAAAATTACGGCGTGGGGTTCGGGGCCCGCTTAAGGGCCCCGAAAAAAATTTGGATTCTAGATGCTCTGTGGTGCGATCTGAGGCAATTTCTGACCACTTTAACCATTTTTTTTGGAGGAAAAGATGGTGGTGTACTCATTGCCTGCCTTTATTGCAATGTCACATAAAAAAAAAAAAAAAAAATTGGTTTCGTTTTGGGGGGGGCCATGGCCCCCTTTGGCCCCCCCCTGGATCCGCCCTTGGTGGCATGTTTCACATGCCTCGGAGTCAATTCACAAGCACTCTTGTTTCACTATGCTCTTGAGGACAATGCTTTGTGTTTCCCTTTGTCGCTGTAATATAACACTCTCCCATAGACTAAGCACACAAACTTACTACAGAGGATCCTTTCCAACAAAAGACCCAACTCCTGAGGACTGAAAGGATCTGCTGTTCTCCCTTTGTGTGTCGGTCCTCGGGGGTTATGTAGAACAGGTACACACTCGCATGCTGGCCAATCGTTATCACACGCCTCAGACTATTTGTTCTAGATTCAATTTTCTAGGTTGTTTAAAGTGTTTTGGTGACTGGTTCTGAATACAGATTGTATAGCAATGCACAGCATGGTTCTGGGTGAATGACAGTGGTGATTCAGTCAAATGTGTTTTTTGGCTATATGCACGCCAAAACAATCCTCCAATGCCATTGACCAAAAGAGACACCCACTACCCCAGGGCCAGCCAATGTTACAGTATGGTGGCATTTGCCGCTTTTACTGACACACTCTTTTGTGTGATCTTGGCATCTCTGAAAACGTTCGTTCCAACTTTGAATAGAATTGAGTTCAACTCTGCAGTGGCGTGGCAGACCATTTGAAGCTGAATGATGGTATAGAATTGAACTAAACATTTTCAAGCTGAATCGTTCTATAAAATGCTGTTGCCATGCCAAATTAAAAAGCAAAATAAACGGAGATCGGCACGGCAATACCAGGCTTTATCAACATTTTCTCTCTTTATTTCTCAGCATAGTTTGTTTTAAGATTTGCTGCATCATATCCGGGTTTTTTTTCACGGCTATTTTCAGGTTTGGGATAATGCCAATGAGTATGCATTGAAGTTGTCTGAAGAGATAGACGGGTCCATCATAATCCATCCTTTTGATCATCCAGATGTTTGGTAAGTGTTCCAGATTACCATCTGTATTTTATAGCAGCATTGACTCAGGACTCAATGAAAAATTTCTGTGCAACCATTTTACCCTACTATAGAGGAAACTGATTTCTTGGACATCGATGAATCACACGTCATACATGTACACGTAGAAGAAAAGGCCAGCATACAGCCATACTTTCACAAAAGTCCGTCGAATTGTACATATGGTTGAAAGGTTGCATATACGGTTGAAAAATGCATATGGTTGAGAGGTTGCATATGCATGAGAGGTTGCATATGGTTGAGCTAGAGGTTGCATATATGGTCGAGAGGTTGCATGTATGGTTGAAAGGTTGCATAATGGTTGAGAGGTTGCATATGTGGCTGAGAGGTTGCATTTATGGTTGAGAGGTTACATTTATATGGTTGAGAGGTTGCATATATGGTTGAGAGGTTGCATAATGGTTGAGAGGTTGCATATATGGCTGAGAGGTTGCATATATGGTCGAGAGGTTGCATATATGACTGGGAGGTTGCATTTATGGTTGAGAGGTTACATTTATATGGTTGAGAGGTTGCATTTATATGGTTGAGAGGTTGCATATATGGTTGAGAGGTTGCATATAGTTGAGAGGTTGCATATATGGTTGAGGTTGCATATATGGTTGAGATAGCACATAAGGTTGAAAGATTGCAGTGGTTGAGAGGTTGCATGTGTGGTTGAGAGGTAGTCGGGAAGCATATATGGTCGAGAGGTTCTATATGTCGTTGAGAGGTTGTATACATGGTGGAAAGGTTGCATATATGGTTGAAAGGTTGCATAATGGTTGAAAGGTTGCTATGGCTTAGATTGTTGTTTTTTTCAGGGAAGGGCACAGCTCTATCATCACAGAATGTGCAACTGAGCTCCCTTCTAAGCCAGACGCTGTAGTCCTCTGCATTGGGGGCGGAGGCTTATTTTGTGGGGTGGTGCAAGGAATGCAGAAGGCAGGTTGGCACGACGTTCCCATCATCGCCATGGAAACGAAAGGAGCAGACAGCTACAATGCCTCAGTGGTCGCTGGAGAACTAGTCACTCTACCGGACATAACAAGGTATGGCGATGCCTTGGGGCAAACTTCATGGAGCTGTGCAGCACACTAAGCTCGGAAAATATATGCTTAGCCAAAATGGGTTACCAGCCAAAATATAATATATGCATACAACTGGTTCAGTTTTTGCTTACCACACTTATTTTCCACTTACCAGCTTATTGAAATTGGGCTCAGGATGCATAACAGTGAGCAAATTGATCAAGAGGAATGGATAACCACTGTTTGACATTCTCTAAATTGCAGTACAGTAGTGCAAGGCTCAAATTCTGAGGGATTTTTTTTTCAGGTGAATGTCAATTTGTAAGGCCCGTCCATACTTTTCCCCGATATATTTTGCTCTGTCAAACGTCTTTAAAAAGGTAGTTTCATTCTGTTGTATTAATTGACTGTTCATTCTCGGCATTATATATACAACAGCAGGATTTCTAAATGTAATTTTCTCAAAAATTAGTTGTGCAAGTTTTATTAAGTTGTTGGTCTACATTTCTGTTCTGGACCCCCACATGTTTATCTAAAAAGCAAATACTTTCTGCGTTCAGCAGTTCATGAATTTGTTCACATTAATGGTTTCTTAGGCTTCCTAACTACGGTGCCTGTGCCCTTTTATGGAAACCTTGGTTTTATTACCAGAAAGAAATTGTAAAGAATTAATTTGTTGATTTCAGTGAAGCTAAGTGCCTCGGTGCACTGACTGTTTGCCGAAGAAGTTTTGAATACTACAAGGAGCATCCGATTCCGATTCACTCCGTGGTGGTTGATGACAGTGATGCCATGAAGGCATGCCTACGATTTTTAAGTATACGTTCATCGGTTATTTCACCTCGCATGCACACCTCAAGTCTTAACAATAACAGAACAATCTGCCGTACAATGTATGCGTGCAATATTTTAGAAGTGCCAACAAAATTGAAGGAAAGTTCACGTATTGACGTAAGTACGAAACTCCCTCCTATGGAAACATGCATTGTCAGCCTAGTTATTACTTGGGTCAATATTGGTCAAGACCCCCATTGGTTTGTTTACAGTAGGCCAGGAGGTGAGGAAGAAACTTTTGACCATCGGTGACCTCTTCGCAAGAGGAGGGTTAATTGGTACTGCACTAGGCATTGAATCTTTTGCACCAACTTATTTGACGATGTGTGTTGGAGTGATGTCAGAGAGGTTATTTAGGAGAAGAATCACAAGCTTTCTTTGGTGGGACTCGAACCCACAACCCCCTGCTTACTAGTGCAGATGTCTTAATGCGGTCCTCAATTGGTTCTCTGGATACCCCAGCTAATATCCCAGTATTATAGTCTAGTCACAAAGTAAAAAGTAAGAAAGTTTTTTTTTTATTATTCTTCATCCCCTGTTAGTTGTGATTGACTTGTGATATGTCACAACATTAACTACAACACTGTGAAATATGTTGCATGAGAGAATTTCAAACTATCAACATTTCCATGCTTTTTTTTCCCAGATGACCATAGAATGTTGGTTGAGCTCGCTTGTGGGGCGGCGCTGTCTTGCATTTACAGCAACATCATCCAGGATCTTAAAAACAGCGGCAAGTTGCGTTCGGACCTTCAGTCTGTACTAGTAATTGTTTGCGGAGGGAATGGCATTTCGTTGGAGAAACTGCTCAAGTACAAATCGTCCATCGGTCTCTGAGACAAAACCAAAATTTTCAGCAATTTATGGTATAGTTGGAGATGCGAATGGCCTCTTCCAGCTTTTCAATGAAACAGGGTGGTGTCAACCAAATAGATCACGAGTCAGGTGACCAAGTAGTTCGGTCAAACTTGGTCACAAGTATTGTAGGCACGAGCACGAGGGGAAAAGACTCGGCATTTGTCAAAGTTCTCTATACTTTTTTTTTCTTGGGTCTTCTATCATTAATCCCATAGACGAATGTGTGACGTCATGTGGCGAATGAGCAATGTATGCAACTTTGTTTCCAGTTATTATGATTGTTTGCGGTCTGACGTGCAGTGAATGGAAAATAGCAACGATTTTTAAAAAATCTTTTTGTGAAGGTGCCCTCTATTTTAAGAAAAAGGTGTTTTGACAGTTTACCTTGATGATCAGTTTTGGGAGAAAAAAAGTAGCTTTGAAGTCAAAGAGTTCAAAGTATTGAATAGCTGTCACTGTTCTTGTTGAAAGCCTAACGTTACCAAATTCCACCGTTTTATGTATTCTGGATACAGAAAGTATTTTTTTAAAAAAAGTATTATGTTATGCGCTTTGGGTTTTGTTGGAAATTTACTTTCAGGTATGAAGGCGGTAAAAAAAAGTTTCTTTTTAAGTGTATAAATATTATAACAAAAAAATAATAAATGCATGTATATTTATTTGTGGTACAGCTGATACAAATATTTATTTATGCAATTTGTCTTTTTCTGACATATTCTTCTGATACAACCTTGCGGATTTTATTGCTCATAAAGTTATGATAGGTATCCCTAGCTGTGTTGCCATTTAACAGGGTGATATTAAAATATTTTAAAACAAAAAATTAATTTGCTTCCCTACCTAAGGACTCCTTTTTGCGTTTTTCCTCTTTCCTTTTCTCCTTTCCACTTTCTTTTTTCCTCATTCCTCTGCCCCTTTTTACTTTCCTTGAGTCCCTCTTTTCTCTTCATGTTCCCTTTTTTTCCTGTAATACTTTTTCCTTGTCCCTTTGTGCTATTTCCGTTTTTGTCTTTTTCCTCCCCCTTTTCCCATTTCTTTTTTTTCTGTTCCGTATTTCTGTTTTCCCTAACCCCGTTTTCTCTTTAACTTTGCCCCTGTTTCCTCTTTCCTCTTCCAAAAATCATCATCAATAGTTTCTCTTTATATTTCGTGGCCTTGTCTCAGTCAACAGCGCCCTCTATACACCAAAAACTTTTCCAGAAGTTGTTAATGTTTCCCGACCCAATAAAGTGTGGTACCCTACCCCAAGGTCGATGTGTGACCTGATTTTCGGGAGGGTACATGGGGGCACCAGTCTCGGCGTACAGGTGCACGAATTTGCGACTTTGCAAGGGGGTGGTACTGACGTAATGCAAGATTTCTTTAGTTTTTAAAGCGCTACATTATCGAAACAGTCTTAAAAGTAAACCTCACAAGTTGCTTAGCCTCTGCACCCGTTATTAAAGGACTCAAGATGTGAGTTTCAGGTTTGCTGTTTGAAAGAAACGAGACATTTTAAGATGAGTTTGTACCGGGACGATGCGTTCGAACAGTTCGATGCGGAACTGGACATAAGTTACCACATACGCGTTGCTATGGTAGGGGATGCAGGAACGGGAAAGACCAGCCTGCTGCTAAAATACACGGACAATAACGGAAGCAGGACTTCCCCGGAGCACACAGTGGATGTCAGGACCAAAATGTTGATCAGGAACGGGCACAGGATCAAGTTGGAAGTGCAGGACACAGCAGGTATTTTTATTTTTGAAGTGGCTATCGTTACGGCACTCGTTGTTTAGCGCCCTCTACGATATTTTTTTGATACGCACGCAGGTATATAATTATTTGTTTCCCCACGTTTTATCGAGCAGTGCGCCAGCTCAGCCGATAGAGGGTAGGATTTTGCACCGCGAGGTTGCGGGTTCGAATCTCAGTTTTGCACTCGAATTTTTTTCCTTTTCTAACCTGAGGCTTTGGAGGATTTTTTTTAAAAGGGAAATAAAGTCCGAATTTCATAAAGTTCAAATTCACTTTTTTCCTTCTAATTTTATATTTTCTTGTCATGTTTTTTTTATAAAAGTTGCCAGGTTGCAGTCTACCGTAACGATAGAAAATGGGAAATGCGTTACGGCTGCCGTAACAATAGCCACTGCGTTTTATTTTAATTCACATTCACAATGGATTATTTACAGTCATGACACTGAGTCTGACAGACACAGTTAACATACAAGTAGGACTGTCGAGCGCAATTTGAGTCCTCAACTCAAGTTTAAACTTGCGCACGCAAGTTTGTCGTATTTTTTTTGCAGATATGTCGCATTTTTTAAGCAGATTTGTCTTCGATAAATAGCACCACTACGCTTCGCGAGACAATGCCTAAATGCCTTTTGTGAAACGTTTTATTAACAGTATTTATATGCTAATGAAGTTGACTGTAAAGGTTCAGAGATATACATGATATGGCATAACTATAGGGTGGTATAATGCCAAAAATGTATGCACTTTGCATCATGATGTGTATTATTGTTTATGGCTCATTGGGATTTTTGTTTAATAAACAACATATTTATTCATTAAGTCGAATTAATTAATTAAATTAATACATTAAATTAAGTAACTAATCATTAATAAATTTATTTAAAGTACTTTTTAAAATAATAATCATCTTATTTGCATAGCATTTTTTAAGTTAAAGCATGCAAACATTAACTATGAATTATTGAGCCTGCAAATAAAATAATTGTTATAAGTAATAAATTAATTAAATTAGTAATGCGTTCATTATTTTTTTTTCAAATTATGCATTTGTGAAGTGTGCACAGCGCTCAAAATGTTGTGCAAAGTATTTTTAAAAACAATATGAACTGTTGTACCGTCCAATTACAGTCGAGTCTCGTTATAACAAACTCGTTCGGACCTAGCCAAATTGTTTGTTATATCAGAATTTTGTATTAAGAGGAACATCAGTCCCATTCATTGTGCACATAAAAGCACAGTCGGGACCATGACTTTATGTTTGTTATAACCAGAATTTTGTATTAACAGAGTTTGTACTAACGAGAGTCGACTGTAATTGCTAAATTAATTAAATTAGTGAAACAGTGAAAAATAGCTGTTAAGAATATTTTCACTGAATGATTTTCATGAAAAGACCAGTTTCTACTGTGGTCATCTTACCCGCAAAGCATTACTACATAATTATTATTTCCGTGAGGGAGCTAGCCATTCGCTAAGATTTATTTCTCATAGTAGCTTGCGGCCGGACTCACCCTGCCATTATACATCGTACTTCCTCTTTTCTCTTAGTGTGCGCAATGTAAAGGACGTGTTTTCCTGAGCTCCCGAGTTTGCTCATATTTTGCAATCATTTAACGTTTTTCTCCAACCATTCCTTTGCTAAGTTCATGGTTTCATTCTGCTATTAAAACTACCATCTGTTTGTTTCTATAACTTAATGAGTTTATGGTAACATTTTGGTCGGTTGTCGGTACTCGCGGCCTTAGTTGGATGAGGCTTCGCACAGGCTGCAAGGCGCTCACTCTCGTTAAGCGGCTATTTACCCGGCCACTCGTGTGAGATTTTGCACAGTCTGCAAGTAGCTCTCGTCGTACCAAACGAGTGGGGCTTGGAACAGGCTGCATGCTCCCTACGTTGCACAGGCTGTAAGAGCGAGTGGGGCTTAGGCAGGGCTATCATTATTGTTCTAGCCGTCCTGCTGTTGTACTGGCCACCTTTCGGTATTACCCATTATTTTACGGGCCTTTCTCGCCCATTCTTCAGTCATGTCATCCACTGGGGACCCACTGTCCTATGGACAATTAAAGAAGAAATCCTCAGTGGCATCTACATGTAAGCCTGGGAACATCTTAAAGGCTTACCCAAGTACCACTTGAGAGGAGACCGATGGCCACTCGACAACGTCTGCCACACTTCCACTGGCCTCGTTGGCCGCATCCATAACCCCGTCGGCCACATCTAGGGCCCCGTTCCCCTGCAATCCAGGTGTCACAGCCCCACCTGCAACTCTGATTCATCTCTGCTCCCCCATCCCGCCACAAATCTTCTGACCGACTAGTCACCCTGATCCTCCTGTGGTTCCCTTTCATTGGGTTCCCATTCGTTCCCCACAACAAATGGGCGCTCCATCACACAGACAGTGCCACTTGTTCGTGTATTATTCACACAGAGTTTTCCCTATTACTGTCCAAATGCATGATTCAGTGGTTTCAGACGATTCCCCCATTCCAGCAGACATGCTACCGTTAGGCTCCACCTTTCGCTGTCTGGGCAACTCACTTTGGGCATTTCTTAGCGAATTTACTGGAGTTGCTGTCAAAGCATAGAGGCATGAAGGGCAACAATTTGATGGCCATTTTCCTGCCGTCTGAGCTCCCAAGCATCTCGAATCCCTTCCTTTCCAACGGCGAGCCCTTTTTGCTTGTCAGTTTCAGACCCGAGCACAGACTGAAGCTGATTGTAAAAAAGCCTATTAACAGAGAAGTTAAATTTGGCAAAGGTTCATCCCAAACTACCTGTCCAATACCAAAAGCGACCAACCGCGACCAGGTTCCAGGGATCCCAGGGACACTCCCTGGCCACCTCTACCGGCTTTCACTTTCAAGCCTCCCAGCTGTCTGGGCATCCTCCACCTCAGCCGTCAAGCCATGCAAACCCACGGGCCACAGTCAGTCCCTCAGCCTCTGTCGTTAACATGTAGTGCGCATGTCTTCTCTGAGAGAGGTTCATCTGGCGGGCACAGACAACACTTCAGCCGACACCTCTGCCGGGGCTGGGTTCACCAAACGGAGTGAACCCTTCCCACCTCAGTCACACGGATGATCTTCTCACAGTTGAACCGTCCACATATCAACCTGTTCGCAATGGTACTTAACTGCCAGCTGTAAGCAGCTGCTTACTACCTCGAGCACTCAGGAAGATGGAGCAGGATCCCTGCAGGGTCCTCCTTGCCTCGGTTTGGCCCCGATAACTGTGATTTCCACAACATGTGGGCCTTCTTTACCATGAACCGCTCCTCCCGGATTCAGTGAGACTCCACCTGAGTTGCAGGCAGTTGTTCAGGATTCCTTCTGACACACTGGACTTTCTCAGGAGGCTGAAGCCATCACGGCCCGCAGCCAGCATCAATCAACCCGAACTGTTGACGACAAATGATTACAGCATTTCTATATAATACCGACTGCATTTGGTGGATCCCTTTGCTGCGACTGAAAACGAACTTGGTGACTATCTTCTCCACCTCTTTCAGTCAGGCTTTGTGGTTCACACTGTCAAGATGTACTTTTCTGCAATTGTGGCCATTCACCCAGGTTTTGTGGACCTTTCCTGAATTTCTAAATTCACAACCCTTGCACACCTCAGAGGCATGTAATTTTCACCCCCCTCCCCCCCCCCCCCCCCCCAAACGGACACTCCTGTCATCGTGGGATCTTGAGCATGTCTAACACTCGTGTCCAGCCTCCTTTTAAACCTCTTGGCCATGCTACCCTTCTCAATAATTCCTTGCAAACGGCTTCCTCCTGGCGGCAGACACAGCCCGCCACTTGAATGAACCCCATGCCCTGACCAGTAGTCAAGGACACTTGCGTGTGGAGCCGGTGGGGTCCGCCTGGTTACCCCATGGCTCTTTCCTCACGAAGAACATTCTGGCAAGCTGTCTTCATTCCTGACTTAAAGTCTTGTCATCTGTCCAAGCTGACAAGCTCTGGTACCCCGTCCGAGCCCTTAAGTGTAACATCCATTAAAACTGCATTGATATGCAGTGATCATCAGGTTCTCTTCATAACCATGGTTTCTCTGCAACATCTCGCATCCTGCGATGCAATCGTCCGCTGGGTCATGATGACCTTACGATGGACATTGTTTGACTGCCCTGCCCCGGACAGAGTACATGCCCCCAAATGTGCAGCGTGTCGACCTCTTGGGCCTTCTTCAAAGGAGTGTCCTTTGCAGACATCATGCAATCTGCATGTTGGAAGTCTTCCAACACCTAAACCTCCTGTTAGCTCAGAGATGTGCTGCAGGCTGATGGCAGAACCTGTTGTGCAGCCCTCTTTACTGGCCAAGCGGTGCAACCCAATCCGGTTCCTCCTCCATTGGCGCCCCGCAGTACCGACCTGCAGTACCGACCAGTGACGGCCTACCTCACTTTGGTGAGTGCCGATTTGCCTAGTTTTCTCTAGTAGGTTTAGTCTTGCTTAGGGCTCAAGTTTCCTTGTGGCCCTAGTTCCACTGTGTACACTCTCACGTCATACGCTCCAACCCACCTACCTACAACGGTGCTACCTGGCATATGTAGTAATGCTCTAGGGGAAAGACAAGCACTTAAACCCCCCCCCCCCCCTCCCCACAGAAGTGTGGGTCGATTCTACTGGTGAGTACTTACTCTTCTGAACTTGTTCACTTCTGAGCCTTACGCTCGAAAAAAAATTGCTAATAAAATCAGCCTTCACTTCTGTGAGGGGGGGGGGGGAATTTACAGTTGTATTCCTGGAAAAACTGCACTTCCTTAAAACTTTGACTGTCCGTATACATCACATTAAAGTTAGAGTAAAAAAAAATATTGTAAAAATATCAATTAGAAAACTCTAAATATAAATTAGAAAAACCTCTAAATCAAAATAAGTTTCTCTCACAGATGCCCGCAGGAATAATTGCCCACAGGAATAACAATTGCATTTTTTATTATTGCAAATAAGAAACCTTTTTCTCATATGAGGTTTGGAACGGTATCGGAGCCTGACCAGATCACATTACAACAACATCACGGGTGCTCTGCTGGTATTTGATCTGACGAATGAGGTCTCCTTTCAGCACCTAACATACTGGTAAGCCAAGTTGAAACAGTTTGCACATTTTGTTGTTAGGGTCCCCAAATAAACTAACCACCCCTACTTCCATATTCTGCCCTCACCCCCTCCAATTCACCCGCACCTCCTCAGACCCACTGTCGCCCTCCTATCCACCATTACTCCCTCCGACAAACCCTCAACCCTTTGACCTGACCTCAATCCTTCAACCCATCCTAACCCTCCAGTTCACCCTGGCCCATATTAGGCCATTTGACCCTCCCTAACCCCTTCAACCCACCCTCACCACTCAAATCCACCCTCACCACTCAAATCCACCCTCTATCCCAACCCATCCTCTACCCCAACCCACCTTCCCCATTTTCATAATAGAGCAAGTTAGACTGTAATTACATTCAACTGATACATTTTACTTAAATACAATGTAAGCAAACGTTTTCCTTACCACGGATATAAAGGAGTTCCATATTCATTTGAGGCCATTTACATCCCTCCGATAGAAGCATCTCAATAGGCACCTTGTTTGCAAGTTACTCTGGTCATGCCAGTCTGAACTCCATGTTTTTTTCATAAACAAAAGGTTTTGGTGGAAGAAGACATGCTTTAAAACTATGTTAAAGTTGTGATATTTTGGATCTTTTTTTCTATCCCGTTGAAACCAAGGCACGAGGAGCTATACAAAAACGCTGACAAACTGGTACAAGCCATTCTAGTCGGGACCCACTGTCAGAACAAGGAGAATCGTGAAGTCGCAGAGGAAAGCATCCGCAGGCTGGCCGAACACTTTGAGATGCAGTACATGGAGGTGAGTTCCCAGACGAACCATAACGTGGAATCCTGCTTCGAGACACTGGTGGACAAGATTATTGAGAAGCACGCGGAGAAGGTGAATGTGCTGCCCTACGAGGGGATTCAACTGAAGGAAGACCCAGATAAAAAATGGTCTTTCTCACAATGCTGTAAATAATTAAAGTTTAAATAATTGCCATGGTTCTTGTTGCCATTGCAAATGGTTGCTTAAGAGAATTTAAATTTAAAAGAAAAATATCATGAGACAGTTTCCTCCATGTCTCACTGACTATCAGCCCAAGTCACCAAATAAAATTGTTATTCTTAAGAGGCATGGACAACATAAGTTTGCTGAAATTTTTATAGTTTTCAAAAGAATTGTTTTGTACCTTTATAGATAAAACATAGACATAATTAATGTATATAAAACCTGTGAGCTTATCATTGCTATTTTCATAAAGAGGTATATTCTAGTGTGTGGAAGAAAATGGAATTTGATGGCAGTTTAACTCTGTCGACTTAATTAACTTAATTAGACAGGATTAAAATGATTCACATACAACATAGCATTAATTCGGGCGATTCACAATGCAGTGCGCCACCAAGAGTTTGCCATGGTGAGTTCATTTTTCCCAGAGCATTGTGGGAGATGGTCGACAAATTCACAGCACGAGACATTTGAAATTGTTAGTTTTTCCGGTCAGTGGTTTCGTAAGCGTATGATTCGAGGATCAGTTTGCCCATTTCTTTTCTTGTTTTCAATATGGTATTTTTGGTAAGGCGGCAGAATGCTATGCCCCAATATATGGCATACATGTATTAGCTCAAGTTGTCTACCGACACTCATTCAAATGGGCCATGACCATAAAGTTGAAAAATGGACTATCGTGGCAAACTCTTGGTGGCGCACTGCATTGTGAATCGCCCGAATTAATGCTATGTTGTATGTATCAGCTTGTCATTTCCAATGGATGCTAAAAATTTCCAATTTTGAGCTGAAATTTAATATTCACTTTTCATATGCAAAGATTTTAATACTGATGCAGCATTACTTGTAATCTTAATTGTGCCTTTTTGCAGGAAAGGGTACTATATTTTTTTAAATAAAGAGAAAATTCATAACTCTTTGGATAAGTAAATAGAGCCTGAAAGTTCACCTCTTAGTGGCAAGCTTCCGGAACAGTTGAATAGAAAATTAACGTGCGCAAATTCTAGAATTTGCATTTTTTTTTGGTACACTGATTCCTTAAGAAAATCATCCCCAAGAAAGGCCTTTGTAAGATTGTTACTAACATGTCAATTTATGGGAACTGATAAATCGCTTGACGTGAAAGAGAAATATTGTGCCAAGAATTGACCTCTCACTTCCAATAATCTACTATTACATACATGTAGATGAAAATTTATGAAATAAGTTTGTGGCGGTCATTAGATGAAAAATGAAAGTTAAATAGGAGACCAATATGTCTTTTAGGATTCACAATTTTTTAAATAAACTTAAAGGGAATATACAACATTTGTTTTTGCTGTAATTTTCAGAAATGGATGGATTTGGGGTTAATATCTTATACAAATATTTGTTTCACTGACTTTTTAAAAGTTTTGTGTTCATAGATGCTGGAAAAACCAAGAAAACAATCATGTTCATGAAGTCTGGTTCCCTGACCCCACTTAAGATGAAACGGAGCAATTTATAGACTTTGGGGAATTGTAAGGTCAGGAAACTAGCTAACTGGCTTGCACCCGTTCCCTCGGCCGACCACGTTGGAAATTGGTACAAAAATACCACTTTTCTTGAAAATAATAGCACACCAGGTGCCGTGATTTTACAGGATACTTTAGACTGTCATTCAGTAAAAGTTCAGTAAGGTATTTCATAATAATTCGGTATTTTTGATGTTTGTAAATGTTGTATATTCCCTTTAAAGGACTCATTAGCATACGAAAAACATGAAGTGACCGCTGGTAGGGATCAAACTATCCAGACTTAAATTTAAAAACCATTGACTGTAGGTAGGTAAATCTTCGTGACGTTATAAATTCTCGATCTCACACAAGCATGTGATGTAAAAACAAACGTGACAAGAAAACCCAGGAACAAAAACCCAATCAAAAATGCATATAGGTGGGCTGGACAAGGATTCCGGAAGCTTGCCACATGACCTTTTACATTCAGACTCTATTTCACATTCCTTATAATAATAGGGAAGTATTGGAAATTGCAACATTTTTCTCGTAGATCTTATGCAGTTAGAGAGTAATGTTTTTGCACATGCTTTTGTACCTAGGATTGGCATGATGATTAAACCTCTTGTGTATTCAGTAATAAATAAAAATAAAAAGGGATACCCTCTTAAACACCTGCAGTGCAGAAAAAGTAGTACAAATGAGGCATTTCAGTTAGAGAAAATGTTTAATTATTTAATCTGCCAAAAGGCTGTTTGTTATTCATAACATTTAACCCATCACTTTCTCTGTCATAAAAAGGAAACACTTGGAATACTTTTGTATATTTCATACTGAAATTGTGTGATTAGTTAGCTGAAATATTTTTAAAAGAAAAAAAATCCCTCTTTATTTTAAAATTGATAGTATTTTATTTTATATCATAAAAAAAAAAAGAAACATGGAGTACATTGAATGTACCTATATAATTTATGTCTTGAAATCCCTGGAATTGGCCCCGAAACACGGATTTATGTGCCAAAATATGTTTATAAATAGTTGTAAACAGTTTCCCTAAGCATCAAATGTTGCTCAGCCCCCCCCCCCCCCTCCCTTCATGCAATTACTATGTCTGTCCGTATGTACAAATGTATGTATGTAGTATGGATGTACCGTATTTTGGTATAAAGTTTGTAAAATTGGCGTCCAGTTAATACCAATTAGAACCAAACTTGAATCATGGATGCAACATAAAAATCTTCATATGATAATGAAGTTAAAGGTCACACACCAAGGTCAAAGGTCATCTGAGGTCAAGTTGTAAAATAGGTTTAACGTGTTAAATTGGTCTCATTTGAAAAGTTGACGTCCAATTGGAACCAACCTTGCCACTACATAATTTGGTGATTTGTTAAATACTTAATGATTTATTGTTATTTCTAGACCTGTGAAATGTAAGCATATGTAAATCATTGGTGTTTTTGGTACATGTAATGTATGTATTCAGAATTGTGCTGATTTTAAAGATTTTTAAGAATATCTGCAGATGCAATTTTAGTTACATTTCAATTTTATTTAAACAATCAGACAAAATGAAATTTCAGGGAACAAATTCTACTTTTATCAATGTCCAGTAGATAAGACTTTTTGACGGCTGTGCTGAACTACCCCCTCTAGTGGTAAGATTGTGACAGTTTATATACATGTATCTATAGGCATATTATTAAGGTGCAGAATTTGTCAACTTTTGCACTCAATCATTTGGAAAGCTGGTGTTGTAGTAACAAAATCTGCTTTAGTAACAAATAATAACAACGTTAGTATGTATTGTTTGAAAGCAAAGTTTTGAAACTGCACAGTTGAGAACAAGGGGAATTTTGAAATGATGTATTGTGAATATTTGGAGTACTTTAGTAAATATTAATTCTTTAATTAATTATTTATTACAAGTAAAGGATTACAACATTTTGGATTTTTGAGCATTAATAAGGGAATAAATATGGTATGGTATATAACATGGGAGGTATTTAACATTTTGTTTAAGACCGGTGGGAGTCTGGATGGGTAATTTTCACCCATCCAGACTCCCACCGGTCTTAAACAGAGTGTTTAATACTGACCAGACACATATTTATTCCCATTCATAAATACCTTTTCGGTCAAACAAACAAATCTTTTTAGTCCAAAAATCAAAACAAGTCAAAAACTAGAGCCAATTATTTTGTTCAACAATTTTACTTCATGTTTTACGAAACGCCCCTCTGACTATAATATGGAATGCCCCTCCACAACTCGTTACCTTATAAGGATATCGGCATGCGCGCCGCAAGTACTGCGCGATGTCATGCAAAACGCAGCTGTGCTGGTGTAGCGTAAATTTCGGATCATGAAATCACTGATTCACTGGTAGTATTGCGCATGCATACGTGAGGAATGTGAACGTTCAACCAAGATGAAACGTTAAAAGGCACCGGATTTCATGGGAGTCCAAATTTCATGTGACACTGGAAAAGTGTTTAAGACCAGCTAGCCATGTCTTTATCATCCGTTTAAGACCGGCCATGTGAAGGGGTCTCTACCAATGGGAATGGGTAAACTGTCTGAGGTATTTATGAATGACTATAAATAAGTTCAAAAATAAGTTAATATTAAAGTTTGTACCCCGACCAGCAGAAAATTGCTGGTGTGTAATATTTGTTGTTACAACTCTGTGAAAATAGTGAAATATTGGCTGTAAATTATGGACAGAATATTATGGCAATAAAAGCAATGCTTGCGAGTATAGTTAAAACGAACACACAACAGACCTTAGTATTATAAACCATTCAGCTGTGCAAGTACAAATATGAAGCATTCACTACTGAGTGGCTACTCAAAACTTTAAAAATTCCAAATTGATTTTGACATGATTTTCCACGCAAGGCAACTTCAGACTTCAAACTTCGAGAAAATCTCCTTTTTTATCAGCCAGAACCAATCGAATCAAGCATATTTTCTGAAAAAGAATTGTTTCATTTTCCAAAAATGGTTTATTCAAGAGATTTCCAGCAAATTTTAAAAAGAGAGAAAAACGTAAGTGATTTTGATACTTTTGTCTGCAGCGCAACGGCTGGAACTCGCTCACTGACTGAAAATCTTTGACCCAGCACAGAATACGTCACACAAAATTGATTAACGCGCGTGTAGTTGGGTCATAAGTAAGTGCACGTGCTATCCGGAACAAGGCAAACGGTCGTTCGTTGGCGAATTTTCTAAAATTAGAGACTTTACAACTTATTTTGATTCAACAAGCATTCCATGGAAGAGTTTGCACGACTGTAGTGTATGAACAAAATATTCGAAATCACACGGTACAAGTGATATACCGAGGATTAATTAATCGTCGATTCGCAGCTCCCGCAATTTTCTACAAACCGTCCAAACATGTCAAAGTGTGAGTCGGAAATGTGGCCAAAATTCCTCTTCTAAAGATTTTATCGGAAATATCTTTGTGTATCAAGGAGCTTACATTTTCCTTTTCAAAATGCACATCGTCAGAAAAAAAAAGATTGGAGACTAATCCAAAAGAGGTAGGCCCTAGGTTTTTATTTGAAGCTATCCGGAACTAGGAAAAATCCGGAACTAGGAAAACGACTGTACTTCATTTTTACTGCACTGCAGCATCACATCCCAGGGGCGACGTTGTCCGAGTAACTAGGACTCTACGAATCGCTTTTTTTTTACTTTTGGACATGGTCGGGCGAGGTCAAGGTCACCGTGGTGAGTTTAAGGTAAATGGTTTCCGGATGATAACTTGAGTCAGAAATGAGATTTTGGTGTCTAAGCATTGGTACAGGCATGTGGGGATTGTTTCTGGGGTCAAAGGTCAAGGTCACCATGTTGAGTTAAAGGTTTCCAGATGATAACTTGACTCTGGCTGAGGGGTTTCAACAGCAACGCTGTTATTTTTTCATGAGATCTTGCTTTAATACAGCAATTTCAACTCTTTGCTTGGGCCTTGGAATTCCAAGCACAGTCTTGTGTACAACTTCTGCATGAAGAGGATTCCTGTTAGGAATGGCTTGCTGCTGTGCATGCAGGTTTTCTCAACAATAGTTTGTTCCAAATGGGCACATGTTCCCAATTGGGAACAACATTTTTGACCAGAAAGGCTTGGGAGAAAAATACAAAAAAGTACAAATGTACATAAAATTTTTTGACAGAACCTTGTCTGTGATCATTAGCCTGATAATTGTGAACATTGTAATTATGATGATAATGGGAACTTGGCTATAATATATTTCCAAGAAAGTTAATAATTAAAAAAGAACGTTCCACTGAGAGCATTTAACAAGCTTTTTCTCTCTGAAATTCACAGATAATGCAACAACCGGCCAAATGGACATTATAACAAATGCAACCTTATTACCCAACACCACTTCTCCAGGAACGGCGTCGCCCACACCTACCGCGCCCATTCCTGCCACGTCCGCACCTGCCACGTCTGCAACTGCCACGCCCATACCCACCACACCTGACCCAATCATAACTGAATCCCCCACCGTCGTGCCCCTTCCTACCAGCGTACCTTTTCCAGCCAAGACACGGCCACGTGGGTCCTGGCCCAGCCGCAGATCGTGTTCCAAGAGGGCGACGCGGCGAAAGCGTTGGACATCCGACTGCGTAATGCTGGGAGGGGTTTCCAGGGCGGCCTGCTGGTGCGATGCTGCTCCACGCCTGATTTGAACACGAGCCCCAAGTACACAGACTTGTCTAGCTCAGTCGTAGCCAGGATGGAAGTGGCTGCGGCTAGGTCCATTAACTGGACCAGTGCTACAGGTAAGAATGAAACAAAGAAACAGGAATTTCTTTGCCCGAGTACGGCTGATCTCCCTTGTCTATGACTATGGCTATCTCCACTGCATACAGTGGTAAAAAGAGAAGATGTAGTCACAAAAGTTCCTGATTCAATTTTGAGGTGACCTCTAATCTCCTTTCTCCTTGTTTTATTGGCAGACGCAATATGATAAGATTGGAATAGAAATCTATGGGTCTGTTTTGTAATTGAAAATGTACATATGTCAAGTAATATTCACTCTTGTGTTCTTATTACACCCTGCTGTATCCAGATGGACTTGGATAGCCATGTTTTTAACCTTTTTACCAAGTCCAACGGTCACTGTTAGAGAGTGATGCTTGTCCGATATGCCGCTTATATGATTTTGCGTCTGCGTCAACCCTTATAAAAAGGAAAATTGAGGTAAGAGGTCATGCAAAAAAATTCTTCGGGGTCTGACTTCATGACATGTTAAAGTCAGGGGTTCACCCTAACTTGTTCTTTTCACAAGTCCGCAATTTTGGTTAGGGACACTGACAAGTATCCGTACTAACTGACTGTATAAAAACTGCCAGCATGCCAGGGGGATTGCGCAAGGTTTACTTGCATTATTTTTGTATTTTACAGTCCACTGTTCCTTTGTGTTTTTTTATCACTAGCTCTGTACAGAAGATGACATTGTGGCTTTCAGCTGTATTTCTGGGATACCCGGCGGCAATTGTACCAAACAGCACGCTTATAATTGCTCTAGCGAGGATATCTACCGACCGGACTATTTCCCATTCCTCTGTGTGCAAACGGACAATAGCCCTTTCCTACGCCTGTACTACACTGCCAGATCTGGTGCGCGGGATGCCGCAGGTTATAACACCCTCAAAGCCACGCCTTCAGACATTCAGGGTACGACAAGCTTTGAAGATACCCAGCAACGTTCGTTGGACTTCCACAAACGACTGAATCTCCTACAATGGAATCTCCAACAACCAATGCGCAGACAACACAAGGCCAGACGACTACCGATACACCAACAACCCAATCAGATCTGACCAAGGACTCCGGCATCGTGACCACAGACTCGCCCATCGGCAGCACCAACCAAACCAACACCACTCTACCCTTCACCCAGCATTTTGCCGTCACGTTTATTCACCTCCCGACGCCCCTCACTGACCCCGCCCCCGTCGATCCACCGGAAGTCAGCACCCAAAAAACTCTTTCAGGGAATCCCGGCTATATCACCGGCGAGCGGGTCTTGACGGGTCTTGCTGTCTACAACTCGCTGGTCGAGTGCAACGACACGGGTGATTGCGCACCTGTGGATCCTCCTCAGCCTGGTGACTTTGTCCGTATCGATGATGCAGGGGCCAACAGACTGAGAGTCTGGGTACCAGGTAGGTCCACATCTATTCTATTTTAAACTTTATGCATTGCCAAGTTTCATGGAGCTTTCAAGCAGATCATATGACTGTGCAAATTTACTTGCAGCTCCAAGCAGTCTTTTTTTCCACAGATTAACTCATGTTTTTTGTAATTTTGTTAAGTACTTATCTTTAATCACGAATTAAGCTAGCTGATATTCAACATGGTATCATAGCAAACTATTTAGAAGATCCCAAACACTTAAAGTGACTTTTCATGCTTGCATCATCGCCAAATATTCAGGCAAGCCCCAAAACATAAAACTGTCTTTTTGTTCACTTATATGACCGGGTTCTTAAACTACACAGTTGCCATATTTTATTGACAAGAACAAAACAACTTTATGTGCTTAATATCAAGTGTATGCAATCTCTTTATTTCCCTACTATTTCTGTAGGTCCAGGGAGTCTGTGTTCCCAATCCAGCCTGGCCGATGTCACGTTTGGCGAGGACCACACCTCTGGTTGCATACTCAGGCTAGGCTGGACCCGCCTCAGCAACTGCACTACGCTACGGGAGGCCATGCTGGCCGAGCTGCAGACCACGGTGGCAGCAGACAGGATCGGCAAGGTCGGCAACGCAAACACCTCAATCGAAAACAACTGGGCCCCCATTTTCAAGTAAGTCTTGTCAAATTAGTATCTTCAACATAAGGCAAGTTCAATCAAGGACCATAGTTAACCATAGTTCAACTAACCACGGATCCTACACACAAGGATGAACGACTGTTCTGAGCTCCAGTACAATATGCATTGAGCGGAGTTATCTTAGTAATGGGTTGGACACGTGATAACAGGCATTATACCTGTTGGCATGTTAATGGCGAATGTTCCAGGTGTGTTGTTCTGTCGGGTTTTTGTTGGCATGACATCTAAAACGGAAGTATTCATAAAACTGTAAGCAAAACCACTCCATATGTAACAAACTTGTTCAAAAATTGTTTTAAAAAATAAATACTTTGGGATATAACAGATGGTATTGTGCACTTTTTGTCATCATAGATGAGTCTAACCAGGAGTTTGGCCGAGTCGTTAATCCTTGTTTGTAGGATCCTTGAACTAACTCTGATTGAATGGGATGCTTGTCAACCATGGTTGGACTTGTCTCGTTGGCTATTCAGGACCAGCCTACTGCTGTGAAATTCTAAAATCTAAAACTGTTTTAAAAATTATTTCTCAATACCCTTCCCCATCAGCTCTGAGGAAGATGACATCCCAACTGAACCTCCACCGACGACAGTTGCCATGACAACAAATGAGCAGACAACACCAGAGTTCTTCAACGAGACGCAGCCCAGTCCCATCGACCTCCTGCAGGGATTGTGTTACGAGGTACCGACAGCGGTCAACATTGAGATCCTGTACGCAAAAGCTGGCGAATACGGCTCGGTCGTCCAACGTGAGATCTTGGCAGCATACATAAGGTACGTCTCAGGCCCGAGCTGTATTTATTTAGTACTCTAGATTTTACCTTTTATACCCCAGAATGGCCAGGTTTATTTAAACTTTTCACAGCCACAGGGAGTGATTTGTCCAGTATATCTTGACCATAACCAATTTTGTGACCCTCCGTCCACAAGCCAGTCACTTGGACCAATTTTATTAAACGGGGGTTTTGGGCTCATTGGAAAGGATATTGAATTGCTTTCCAATGCTGTTAGCCGTGAGGCATAGGAACAGAATTGCGCATTTTGTGATAAAACTTGAAACTTGGCATGTGAGGTCTTCATACCATGACAAAAGAGGCACCCCAAGCTCATCCAGGTTTAAAGACATCTGCATAGTTTTCAGTTCAAATGACAAACAATTTTTTTCTTTTTTTCATTAATGTCATTTTCAATTCACGTTTATGTCTGTGAGTGATATATTTGTCATATCCGCCGTCAATGACAAGTTAATGTTTCACTCTATCCTGCCACCGACACTTAATATTTCGTATTTTTCGGTAAACTTGAGAGGCTTGAGTAGAGCATTTTCTTCAGCGTGAAAATCATTTTATGACCATTTATTTGATGATTATTATTATAATTTATGATATCCACAGATACACCAGGTCTACCGTTAAGCTGAATTGCATTGGAGCCGATGGTTTTGCTTGTCATCTGGATCAAACCTCCAACGAAACCACAGACTGGGTCCAGTCCTTTCCAGTTGCCAGCACTGTCACCTTTATGTAAGTTCCCCCAAAATATTTTTCGAATCACATTAAAAAAAAAAACCAGAACCATTGTTTGATGAACAGAACACAGACTTTTCTGCATTTAAAAAAAATACTTGTAAAAAATACTATGCCAAAATTTTGCTTAAGAAGAAAATGTAAACAGTTTATAAATTAATTAAAAAAATTAGGTGATGACGTCACTTCAGATTTTGCACACCAATATAACAGTACCTGCCCGCCAAGTCTCAAGACAATTGGATTTGTCCTTTTGTCCTTGGCATTTTTGATGATGTCATCATGATGTCAATCACGTCACCACAAGTCTGCAAGTTATTCGCTCACAAGTTATCCGCTATTCAAGCAATCTTTTGGACCAAGACATTTTTTGGTAATAAACTGTTAATTCCCTTGTATTTGTGACTTGACTTGCGATTTGTCTTTTGATTGTTCTGTGATTGACGCTGTTACTCTTCTTTTTGTCTTTATCCAGCCTTACTGAGCGTCAAAGCGCGAGACGCTGTGACTATGACCAGTGTGACGAGGAGATGCTGTTTCTGCTGTCGCTGCGTTTCCAGGGGGACTCGCGGACGTACACGGTTGCCATGTTAATGATTGTTGTCTTGCTCACCTTAGCGTATTTTGCCATTACTAAACCTGGGTCGTTTATCATCTAACCAAAAGCCAAAATGCTTTAATACAAGCCAAAAATTATCTGAGTTGAGTTAAGACCTCCGATTTAAAACTTAGCATCTATTCTTAGGGATTCCAATGGCAAATTTCATGAAAATCATCTTGTCTAGAACTGGAGGCAATGCAACCATCGTTTATTGGATTAACAATGACCTTGATCTTTGCCTCATGACATTTGCCATGTTGCCCCTTCATCAGTAGGATACTTTAATAGGCTTACACTAGCTATGCACCTACCAAGTTTCATGACAATACATCATGTCTACCGTAATTTTCGGAATATAAGCCGCACGGAGTATAAGCCGCACCGACCGCAGCGGTTTCAATCTTGTATTGGCCTCCAAATTGTAGTCAAAATGCTCTGAACCAGTTCCATTTACACTACGAAAACTATCAAAAGGGCCACAAAAGTTATATCAAATCATTTACAGTCGATACTCTTACAAGCAAATATGGAAATGGATGATGAGAAATAAACACCGGGAACTGCTGCCGGCTGGTAATAAAGGGGTGTATTTTCTTGGGAACAATAATTACCAATATTTCTGCTGTTTAAAAAAAAAAAAAAGACAACTAATACTTTTTATGGAGTTCTAAAAATTTCTTTATTCGATAATCAGTTGTTCAACGTCTCAATATATTTTGTTTTCTTGAAATGTATTCAAGAAACGATATAAAACTCCAAACAGGGCTAAATCACCCTGTACGAAATTAATGGATTCGTCCATAAAATGTCGGCATCGTGTTGACTGTTTTCGAAGAAAGTTACGATCGAAACTTGAATTTTTGATGTTACTACTCTTTAGTAATAACAACAATTTGATAAGTTTTGATATAAAAACGGACCTGTTTATTCTTAGGACAAAACAATCAGCATCTGTTGCCACAAAGCAAGATTTGTAGCACTCCAGTCAGACGACACATGGTGGGATACTCTCTCAACGGTGCTGCTTTCACTCACGCATGGCAGGCCGGCCTGCCGTACTTTTTACCGCTCGGTACCTTTTCGTGGGACGTGCTTTCGGTTTGTGAATGACTTTCTAAACTGATAATTTATTTCAGCAACAGATCTTTTCTTATACCAGTACATTAAATACACGTGTAAATTTCATTTTTATCCTTCAAGGCTTGACGTATAAGCCGCCCTGTGTATAAGCCGCAGTAAACAATTTCATGGGCAAGTTCTACGTATAAGCCGCGGCTTATATTCCGAAAATTACGGTAATTTGAAATACCCCAATAACATGTTTACATGTGTTTACACCATCGACCTTGACATCCATATTCAATTCGTTTTTTTCCGGGGTTCACTGACATACTGTTAATTTGAAACTTACTGTGAGTTTATCTTTACTTCTTGGTTTTAACTAAATTGGCCTTGTATTTTGACCTGTAGCCTCTCATCGCCAATTACAATGTAGGTCTGTTGAGGTTCCACTTGCAAACTATTTAAGCTTTATGAAATATATCAAGTCTAACTACAATTAATTTGCCATGCCTTAACTTTCCCTGAGTACATGTCCGTCATAGGTCATAGGTCATGGTGTACCTCGTTGCAAATGAAACCAGCGTTACTTTGACCTTTGACACCTGTTGCTACATGTAGGTGCGTATAGCGCCCTACATGTTGTCAACACAGCATTTTAAATTGGTCACAAACACTGGAAGTAGAAGTAACATACAATATTTGCTTCCTGTAACTTTCAGAAATGGATGGATTGGGGCGTTCGTATTTTATAGCAACAAATACACTGACGTGTTTAAAGTTTTGTGTTAATAGATGCTAGAAAAAGAAAGAAAAACAATGCTGTTCTTGTAGACTGGTTCCCTGATCCTACTTGAGACGAAACAGAGCAATTTCTAGATGTCGGGGGGGAATTGTCAGGTCAGGGAACCAGACTAGCTGGCTTGCAACCGATTGCACACAAAATGTAGACTAACAAAGTTTGGTAAATTTGGGGCAGTATTTTTGGGGGAAAAAAGGACTTTTTTCCCAAAGATGGTTGGCCTACCACCGTTGGAAATTTATACCAAAATTCCACTTTTCTTGAAAATGACAGCATTTCATGGGCCACAATTTCACAGGAGGCTTTTATTCCCTTAACAGTCAAGTAATGTATTTCATAATAATTTTGTGGGTAAATTTGTTGATGTTTGCAAACGTTGTATATTGCTTTTAAGCAGTGTGTAAAGAAATGTTCCCAATTTTCTGTAAACCTAGTTTATTTGAGAGAAATTTCTCAGGAATTCCTTGGGATCAGAGTGAAAGAAAAATTGCTAGAATGTTGAAGGAACTAGTGCTTTAAAAGTCCGTCCATTGCTTTGATAAGTTGTATAAAGTTATACCGCGTGTGTACAATCACGTCTAATTTATACTGACGCTTTTTTTTTTTTTAAGAGGAAATAATGATAAAAGTAGAAAATATTGTTTTCTGAAAAGTTTGTGTAGATATTTTGTAAATAGCGATGACGTTTTTAGCATTAATGCATTGTGAAGTGTGCGTATTATATTTGTGTGTAAACAGTTTAACGTAGTTATTTCTGCTGGACAGAAGCACTTTCCAACCAGTTTTGTAGACAAATAATGTTCGAATAATGCTCCTTTTGCGTCATCAGGAATATCTGATTTGAAAGTAAATTTTTGTCCACATGTTTGACACTGAATGGCACACCTCTAAAAAAAAATGTATGTGTTGTAATAGGGTTCTTGGGCATCTTCTCAGTATTTTGCCAACAATTTAAAAAAAAATTTGCCAAAATGCAAAAACAAACTGCAATTCTAATGAATTTTTGGCAAAAATTTCCAATTAAGGTGGTAGTTCCTTTCGATGCAAGAGGAACAATAATCAATATCTGAATACTCATCATGTTAAAGCTTTTGTAAAAGATCATTGATTCATTCCGGAAAAAAAATTTGTTTAAATGGGACATTTGTTCAAAAAGAACCCGAGTGTTCTTATTTTGTATTGGATTACACTGGCAATGCATCTGATAGTTACATGTGATTGTGTTGAATTACAGTTAAACGTGATAAGTTTTACATTCAAATTATTACTTTGATAGGTTTTTGAGATTTACCCCTTGGAGTAAAAAATGTTTAATATAAACAACATTTCAAATGTGCCCTTATTTTTCCTTTGTAAAAATGGCAGACATTTCACCATGGCTAATCGGTAGTTGTTTGTGTCGTCTTGTAGATTTTTAATAAATGTTCTGTTTTTGTTTATGAAGAAATACCTGAAATTGTATTATTCTTTGTCATTTGTTTCACGTCTGACCCACCCCTAGCAGAGTTAACCTGAATTTGCATGTCATTCCACGCCCCAGCCAAGCCCCCGGATCCAGGCCCCGGCCCAGCCCCTCAAAACCAAGCCCTGGCCCAGGCCCCGGCCCAGACCCGGGATCAACGCCCCTGCCCAACCCCCGAAATCCAGGCCCCGGCCCAGCCCCCGAAATCCAGGCCCCTGCCCAGCCCCCGAAATCCAGGCCCCGGCCCAGCCCCGGGATCCAGGCCCCGGCCCAGCCCTGGGATCCAGCCCCCGAAATCCAGGCCCCTACCAAGCCCCCGAAATCCAGGCCCCTACCCAGCCCCCGAAATCCCGGCCCCAGCCCAGCCCCCGAAATCCAGGCCCCGGCCCAGCCCCCGAAATCCAGGCCCCTGCCCAGCCCCCGAAATCCAGGCCCCGGCCCAGCCCCGGGATCCAGGCCCCGGCCCAGGCCCCGGCCAAGCCCCCGAAATCCAGGCCCCTACCCAGCCCCCGAAATCCAGGCCCCGGCCCAGCCCCCGGCCCAGCCCCGGGATCCAGGCCCCAGCCCTTCCCCCCGAAATCCAGGCCCCGGCCCAGCCCCGGGATCCAGGCCCCGGCCCAGGCCCCGGCCCAGCCCCCGAAATCCCGGCCCCAGCCCAGCCCCCGAAATCCCAGCCCCAGCCCAGCCCCCGAAATCCAGGCCCCTACCCAGCCCCCAAAATCCAGGCCCCGGCCCAGCCCCGGGATCCAGGCCCCGGCCCAGGCCCCGGCCCAGGCCCCGGCCCAGCCCCCGAAATCCCGGCCCCAGCCCAGCCCCCGAAATCCCGGCCCCAGCCCAGCCCCCGAAATCCAGGCCCCTACCCAGCCCCCAAAATCCAGGCCCGGGATCCCGGCCCCGGCCCAGGCCCCGGCCCAGCCCCCGAAATCCAGGCCCCGGCCCAGCCCCGGGATCCAGGCCCCAGCCCAGCCCCCCGAAATCCAGGCCCCGGCCCAGCCCCCGAAATCCCGGCCCCAGCCCACCCCCGAAATCCAGGCCCCTACCCAGCCCCCAAAATCCAGGCCCCGGGATCCCGGCCCGGCCCAGGCCCCGGCCCAGCCCCCGAAATCCAGGCCCCGGCCCAGCCCCGGGATCCAGGCCCCAGCCCAGCCCCCCGAAATCCAGGCCCCGGCCCAGCCCCCGAAATCCCGGCCCCAGCCCACCCCCTGAAATCCAGGCCCCTACCCAGCCCCCGAAATCCCGGCCCCAGCCCAGCCCCCGAAATCCAGGCCCCTACCCAGCCCCCAAAATCCAGGCCCCGGCCCAGCCCCGGGATCCCGGCCCCGGCCCAGGCCCCGGCCCAGCCCCCGAAATCCAGGCCCTGGCCCAGCCCCGGGATCCAGGCCCCAGCCCAGCCCCCCGAAATCCAGGCCCCGGCCCAGCCCCGGGATCCAGGCCCCGGCCCAGGCCCGGCCCAGCCCCCGAAATCCCGGCCCCAGCCCAGCCCCCGAAATCCAGGCCCCTACCCAGCCCCCGAAATCCAGGCCCCTGCCCAGCCCCCGAAATCCAGGCCCCTACCCAGCCCCCGAAATCCAGGCCCCGGCCCAGCCCCAGGATCCAGGCCCCGGCCCAGCCCCCGAAATCCCGGCCCCAGCCCAGCCCCCGAAATCCCGGCCCCAGCCCAGCCCCCGAAATCCAGGCCCCTACCCAGCCCCCAAAATCCAGGCCCAGGCCCAGGCCCCGGCCCAGCCCCCGAAATCCCGGCCCCAGCCCAGCCCCCGAAATCCAGGCCCCTACCCAGCCCCCGAAATCCCGGCCCCAGCCCAGCCCCCGAAATCCAGGCCCCTACCCAGCCCCCAAAATCCAGGCCCCGGGATCCCGGCCCCGGCCCAGGCCCCGGCCCAGCCCCCGAAATCCAGGCCCCGGCCCAGCCCCGGGATCCAGGCCCCAGCCCAGCCCCCCGAAATCCAGGCCCCGGCCCAGCCCCCGAAATCCCGGCCCCAGCCCAGCCCCCGAAATCCAGGCCCCTACCCAGCCCCCGAAATCCAGGCCCCTACCCAGCCCCCGAAATCCAGGCCCCGGCCCAGCCCCCGAAATCCAGGCCCCGGTCCAGCCCCGGGTTCCAGGCCCCGGCCCAGGCCCCGGCCCAGCCCCCGAAATCCAGGCCCCGGCCCAGCCCCAGGATCCAGGCCCCGGCCCAGGCCCAGGCCCCGGCCCAGCCCCCGAAATCCCGGCCCCAGCCCAGCCCCCGAAATCCAGGCCCCAACCCAGCCCCCGAAATCCAGTCCCCGGCCCAGCCCCCG